GTAGAGCTGTGCGTGCATCGCTAACGCGATGCCGTGACTCGTCGCGTGTATGATTCGGCCCCCAAAGGTCGGCGTGCGGTACGAAACGCGAAGCGTTTCACATAACAGCGAGCACCTCGCGAATTTTCACGAAGCTTTAAACGCGCATCTCGAACGAGCGACGGTGATAACACGACGATTAAAAACTATTCTTTAACAAATAAATAGGTAGAAATAATCGAAATAGAAATGGGACGACGCGCCGTACGTTTCATTTTTTGTTTATTTGAAAATTCATTGATAAAACTAATTTTTTTTATATTGCTATTTTCTAAACAATGCTGTGTCGAATATATATATCATTCTTATCTATAATTAGTATTGATGTCGCGGATAATTAATATCCGTGAGCTATTCAGATGAACTAAAGAATTATTAAAGAATATTTCTGCGCTCAAAAAATGGTCAGCTTTATAATTTCTTTCGCAGATAATAAAGTAATAAACAATAAAATAAATTGAGACTAAAATCGTGCGATATGAAAGAGCGGTACGTCTTCATCTCTTTCATCGTCATTTCCTTTGTCCCTTCAATCGAAGGAGCCACTTACTCATTGGTCACACGTAATAATGCGTCGCGGGGTTTGCGTCAGAACACATCGTCGCGAGAGTGTCGCGACCTTAAGGAAGGAAAAAAGAGAAGAAAAGAATCTAGTTTATTTCGCAATAAATTCCCCGTCGCGAGCCGAGCCGAGTGAGCGCGCGGCGCGATGTGATTTGTGTCTCGTGCCGGCCCTAAAGGTCGAGAGTGGAGGAGAGATGCGGTTGCATCCTTCTTGTGCAACGATCCTTTCTCGATTTGCGGATTTCTGCGAGAATCTCCGACGCGGGACGACCTCCTCCCGAGAGCAGGCAAGTTGTCGAAGGTAGGCGGAGATCGCGTGATAGAGATAGGGCACGCGGGTGACTTTCTTGATTTAGAGTCGCGCTAATACCTGCTCCCGAATTGCCGAATTACTATCGATAATTTGTGGTTGGACGCGATCGAAACGCGAGATAATTTTATTGCAGACACGTCATTAATCGTGTAAATGTCGAGATAGTGAAACCTTTTTGGTCAATAAGACACCTTACAATGAAAGCGTTCAAATAATATATTTGCATCGCGTGCATGGAAATTAAAAATGATGGTACAAATAATTGTGTATATATGAGCATAAATAATATATTTATAATAAATTGTGTCTGGTAATAAATATACTGATAACCCATATGTCGGGATGAATATAAATATCGGATTGAGAACAAATTTCTTATAGGAAAATATTCAATTAAAAGAACTCTCTCTTTTTAAGAAGCATTAATTTTGAATAACAAAATTAATTCCTTTATGTAGGTTCGTGATTTTCGAAGATTAGAAACTTGTTTCATAGAACGAAAATTCTCACGAATTCCTTTGAATTCGCTCATTTTCCGCAGGGTATGCACTCTTGACGTAATCAAAGCGGTTAGATACGAGCCTTCCAAAGACGGAGGAGGCGAATTACCGTCGAGTTGATATTTGCACTAATCGGATTCACGAGCGAATATAATCCTAAACGAACACGTGAACCGTCCCATTAAACTCAAGCGGAAGTTGAAGCAAATTTCATGATTCGGTCTTTCACCGTACAACATTTCGTCGTACTTGTATTCTATAATATTATCGATATTAAAATTGTCTCCGATGATGGTAAACTTATTTTGTCTTATGATACCTACATCAAAAAAATCTCGAAACCGAAAACAATAGAAATGAAATTAAAAAACATATCGCAGACAATTTTGACACACCGAAAATTTTTCGTTATAGATAAAACATGAAGCTTCAAACGAAAACAGCGGCAATTTGATGAATCCGTATAGAACCCAGTTGCCCGGGACGCAAATATTATGTCTTGAAATAATCCGATCGATACGCGCAGACAGTTATTTCTGAGTCTCGCTTTGGTATGACATAATTTGATAATAAATTTCATATTCGCGCCATACGGAGGAATCAAATCACTGCTCTAATTTCAGCGAACTCGCTCGCTGGCTCATCATAGAGACATATGGCAAAAATATACCTGGCTAGGTCAAACTTAAATTTTTCATTTTACAAAATTATTATTAGAGGTAAACAACATCGCGCCGTGAATATTTTGCTCGAGACTTGAAAATTGAAGATAAGAGAAAAAGATAATAGTGCTGATCGAATCGAAGCTGAAAACAAAAATTAAATTTTAATTATTCAATGATGATGTAAAATATTTGTAATATGAAACGAATGAAGGATGATGCGAAATCGTACATCACAGTAAAATGTAATAATTATTTATTTATGCAGAATAAGGCATTTAAATTAATTTCGTTAGGCATGGCCACGGGAAACGCCACTGAGCGAACAAGAAACCGATGAAATCCAGGAGAGACTTGCGTTACATGCATAAACTCCTCGAGGCCTTTGAAACGAATGAAGGAACGGTCTTGCAATTACGCGTTGACGCAATAGTGCGAGGGGCGCACCGCGCTCCGAGTTCTCGCTTTCTCTCATCTTCCGAACGATCGAGCGGCTGGTACGTTGGATTTATCGAACGGGGACGGAACGAAGGACCTTGATCCTTCCCCGACACCGATCCTCTCATCGTTTTCTCTTCCTTTCTCCGTTATTACTTTTTTTTTTGCTTCCTCGCTCGTCACTCGAAGCGCGCGACGACAGACGTGGACGTCGCTCGGTTTTTCACCAAGCTGCGAACGCGTTACGTAAAGTTGGGGTTAACAACGAAATTCTCGATTTCCACAGCCGCAGTCTCTGGTGAACCGCGTCGAATCGCTGGGGATACGCGTACAGATATGCAACGTGCTCGTTTCTGCGGTCGTGCGCGACTCGCAGTATCGCTCGCCAGAAAAGAAAAAAAAAGAACACGCTGCAAAACCGCATCGACGGCGCTTCCGGAGAGTATGTTTTACGTCTTGTTTGCGGCTTGTGTTCATTTTTCTGGAAGATAAAAGGGACAAGAACGAGTGTCCTCGACACTTTTATCGCGATCCTGCGCAAGCAAGAAATTTGACAATGCGACGTAAACGCAGAGTGCTCCATTCCGCTGCGATGTTTCGAATGTTTGGAGTGCCCACTTCTCCTTTCGAAATTTAGCGATGTAGCTCTTTTCCGCACATTTCTTTATTTACAGATGCTTCACGAGAATTAAAAATCTTGACTGAAATAAAATCTTCGAGGTTTCGCTTGATGCTCGATTTTGCTCCTTCCTTTCCCTTTGAATATTTTTCGACTCTCTTTTATTTCTAATAACTCCGTGTTTCTTCCATTAAGGATGCACGAGATGGATCAGGCGGGTCGCGGGACACGGGCCTGATTGTCTGTCCATCGCAAACGGGGCACAGGCAGCACACGTAACAGGCACGCCGAACGTGTACCGGATGGATCGCTCCGTGTTCCAAGTATTACAAGAGCGATCTCCTGCGTGTCAAGACTGCCGATGTGACAAGAGGCCGTGCGCGGGACACACGGTCTCTCTCGTCGTTCTTCGTGTGCCACCTTCGCCAGGGAACGCCAGGGTGTGGCGCCAGAACCCGGAGAACGACCTTAGAAACGACCTCGTCTGAGACTGACAAAAGCCGTCGTCGTCGTCGTCGCACCTCCGGTTTCGGCAGCTGAACGAGTTTCCGCGCGGGAGGAACAAGAGCCCTGCATTCCATTTGTAATTGATCACCGATCGATATACCACAGGCTGTGCAAATGCGTAGCACACTGTGTGTTAACTCGTTTCAAACAGTTGCATATGTCTTTTTAAAACGTTCTTCGTAACTGTCATACGTGTCTATTCGCTGACACTTAATCGATCATCGTAAATAGAACAGAATCTATTATCTCATTATCGATAGTAACTATAGTAACTATGTAAAACATTCTAGTTCATTTTTTTTAAGCTCTTTCTTCGGACAAAATAAATTCCAATAAATCTTCCGTTGACTTTTTAATATTCACTTTTTGAAAATATTAAAATTATACGAAAAAAAATGTATTTATGTTAAAAAATTGATCTGGATCTTTTGGAAGTTGGAATAATTACGATTTCTCTTACGATAAGTATATTTAATAAATTAATTCTACGAATGATTGCTGAAATATAATCATCGGACGATTAGTAGCATATCCGAGTACTCCAGGTACTTGCGACTTCGCCGTCGGAATACGTTTCGGTTGCGTAGGCGATCGATCCGCTTTGGGACTCGCACCTCGCACAGCGGGCAGACAAGTTTACAACGCTACGCAACGGCCGGCGTGTCCTGTAAGTGTATCGTCGAGTACGTAACAGGAAGTAACGCGGTGCGAATATTAACGAGCGGGCGCGCACCACGAAAGCGTTTACGGCTCCGCTCTCCGCCGCTGTACACGCGCCTTCGCATTTTGCAACACGTGCAATACGCGCGCGCGCGCGCATCGATGTTTTCGCACCGCGCATTAGCTCCGATAGCGCTTCGCGGAATGGATGGAAACAATAATGCTTTACCTCGCACATTCCGAAGTTGCGAAAATTATAAAAGAAGGAAAATAGATGTAAGAAAATTTTGTATTTGCGAAGAAAGTAACTGCTACATATTTATATAAATATTTTATAAAACGAGATAAATATCTTGATTGTCTTTCTTGCGAATTTTGGAACTTGGAATAAAGCATCTCGTATATATTTAGAAGTAATGTATCGGCAAACTAAGAGATGTATTGGAATCTCCAAAATTTGGATGACAAATGTGTTATGTAAAGACAGAAAATTTTTAAATTGGGGGGGGATATCAAAATAATAAGACAAAATAAATTTTTAATGTAAAATCTTAACAGTATAGTGAGTTTTTAGAAAACATTTTAATACTTAAAGTTGTTGAAAATAAATTGTCAACCACATTTGTGAGAGACGAAACAGACAACTCTTACGAAGGTAAAGATCGCAAGGAAAGAATATTAATAGATATACACATTACTTTGACATTGGACTCACATTTTATGTGCAATTGCTACAAAATGTGCCGTGGATTTATGCTCGCTTAAGTACATTATTTCTCAGCTGCGCTTAAATTTGTCTTGGAAGGGCGGCAAGTCCAAGATCCTAGCTGTGCCGAGAAGTACTAGCACTGGAAACGAAATTATCGTGTAAACATCGATTGAATAAGATAGGTCGACATCGATATACTTTATTGATAAAATTTGCGCTTTGAGTGTAGGGCGCCGTTCGGCGATATTCCCGCTTCCCGCATAGAGTAGAATAAAGCCGTAGTGCGATAATCACGCTTGCTCGAAACCAACGTACCCGAGGCAACCGAGTACATAGCTGCCTTTCCTACTTGTTTCTGGTACTGTTTGGAGTGATGACAGACGTATAGACCGGCGGCGACGAGGCCGCCGCCACTCAGCAGTCTGCATTCGAGGCAATCGCGATTCCTGTTGCTGATCATACTGTTTACCGTGTGTACGTTCGTCATACTGCGATTTTAGACACGGCTTGCGGAAGTGCCGCGCGTACAACAAAGCCAACTTCTTTCGAGGAGGTTAGAAAACCGGAGCCGTCAGCCGTGCGACGTCTCACCAGCTGTAAATAGCCACTTGTCGATTATTCGATCATCGATATAATTATATACCTAGAAACGAAAAATTCACTCTCTCGGACGCGATCGGGGACGTTTCGCAACGCATCCGAGTGTGTCTAGTGACTTTTCGGAAACCAAATTTCGTTGCTAGATGTCACCCGCGTTCCGAAACTCGTCATGGTAGCGTTCTCGATTTCACGTCGACTGTGCACTTCTTTGAGTTTTTCGTTGTTTTATGCCTCGATTCAAAGGAAGTGTGTGTGATCGAACCGGAAGTCACGTGACGAGAATCTGATTCTCAGTTTCCGATCCGTAACGCGTTCTTCTTCTCGTCGTGCCGTTCATCGTGAGTGAGTTTTCGACCGATTGCCGTAATTCGAAAGACTGAAATATCAATACGAAGGGAAGGATTGAAGACGTTTTCACGCGGCAATAATGGCGGCGACAATGAGATGTCTTATGAGGTTCAATGTGGGATTGGCGAGCAATGTCCTTCTAAGAAATAGCATTCTTAATTGTACGTAATATTCGATCTAACCTCACATTCTCTCTCGCGGCGCGGCGACTCCGAATATCGTCCGTCCAACACATTATTAGTACATATCGGTGTACGCAATGTCATAATTTTCAGTTAATACTTCAGAATATTATATCGGAACGGATGTATATTATATACTCGATTAGAATTTAACGCGAGACAAGCGTAATTAAAATGTTTTTTTACAAGTGCTATTTTACACGTTTAAAGTAATTGTTCTTTCTTTTTACACGTCTAATGATGCATACATCTTTCAGCTGCAGCTTGCAGATTCATATATTCGGACGTTAGCCTGGGTCTACAGGGCTACGAAAATGCACGATTGAATTTTCGCAATCAGTTCTTAAATGTGGAGAATACATTCCGCAGCAAAATGGAGGAGGTGTGCAACGCAGACTCGAGTATGATCTTCACAGAAGATCTGAAGTCCATGCTGCATTTAGCCCAGAAAAAACCCGAAGACATTGAGCTTCTTATTAAGATGTTGACAAAGTTTAACAGTCAATCCAAAGAGATGAGATTTGGTACTTTCATCTTTGGTCCCGTGGTGATGCGCACCTTCTACTACCTGGACGAACCAAACCTCGCGTACACTGCTTTCAAGGATCCTAAGTTTGAGAATTTCTTTGATCAATTAATCAGTTACCAGATTCTCTTGACTCTATTATATAAGCATGGAAAGTACCCAGAAATGAGAGATGTGTACGATATAATTAAGAACAAACCAATAGATCAGGGATATGCCAGAAATTCTTTTATATTGGTTATGGCTGCCTGTTATAAGGAGGTAACATTTGTGCGAGGAATGATGATTAAATTTTATCATATATAATAATATAAATGAACGAGCTTTGTCTTTACATAATTATTCTTAATGCTTGTAGAATACACCAGAGACGTTAGAGTACGGCTTGCATCTATGGAAAGAAATAGATGAAAAGGGACACACAATCATGCGTAGAGCCACCTCATTTTTAGCAGCTCTAGCAATTAAGCAGGCTTCACCTCACATAGCTGTAGAGATCTTAAGTTCAATAAGAATGGCCCGATACATCCATGTGAGATGTTTGAAAGTTTCAGCTTATACAGATTTGAACAGATTTACTGAGATAGTGCCTATACTTAGGGCATCATTAGAGCATGACAGACCAAATGTCAACAAAGAAAGTTATTTTGGAGATGTGGTATGTATTCAGTTTAAAGTCCTTGTTTAGCGATGCAACACACGTCTTATTTTTATTGTATTTTCAGATTGAAAAGCTGCAAGTAGCTATGGCACAGGAGAATATCCCTCAGGACTTTGAACTTTACAAGTTGCTTAATTTATTGAAATCCAACGATCAAATCTTACCCGAGGTAAGTTAAAGTCAAGATAATCACTCCTATATTAATCATTGATTATTACTGATTTATCGTGTCTTTTTTTTACCGGAAATTTATTTTATATCATTTTATTTCTTTATTTTTGTACAATGTAAATATTTTGTATATGCATGTGTGAATGTGTAACAAGTTCAACATCGTTCAACATCTATTAGAACAAAAGATTCAATATAAAATCATATTTCTGCAGACTTTGGAAAATTCTCTCTGCGCGGAAATAAGGGTGGATAGATCGAAAAGGAGAGATTCTGACATGTCCAATCGTGGCTTCTCACGACAAAATTTTGGTCAAAATTTTGGTCAAAATTTTGGTCAACAGCGTCAGCAACGACAGCAGCAAACGTTTTCGCGTAATAGTAGATCCGCAGTGCAAAATATTCTTTTGTAAGTATTGTTTATGGAAACGTATCCATACAGAAGATGTAGAATGCGTCTCGAATAATTCGCGCGATAATTCATTTACCCGAGACAGTTTTAAGATTAAACAAATGAATAAATAAACATGATTTGTTTCGATCGATAACGGACAGTTTGTTTTTTATTAAATATAGTAATTTACTTACCTTTTTCAATCAACGCCCATTTCTATAAATTGATACATTTTTCACACAAATGAATAAATACACATGATTTGTTTCGATCGATGATGGTCAAAGTTTGTTTTTTATTAAATAATTAGTAATTTACATATCTTCTTCGATCAACGCATCTTTCTATAAATTGATACATTGTTCACGTAATAAGAGTCAATAAAAGATTTACAATTACTTCAAGCTAATTTAGATTTATTATACACAATTTTACAACATAGAAAAAATACACTACATATTTTTTTTACAAAGAACCATAATAAAATATTTTTAATTCACGTAAGCTGCGAGGTTTTGTTAGCTTCGAGATTATAGTAAAGTTTTTTCTCGTTATGAAGTAACCATTGTGATATATTTTCGGTAGTTTGAAATTGCGATTTTATTATTGATATTAATGACAATACCCACTGACTGTTAATTGGAGTGCAGTCTTTATTTACACATCTGTAAACGAAAAAAGATATATATATATATATGTTGATTGATATTGTATATATATGGACTCACAGTCGAGAAAAATAGGATCAATACCAACCTGAATAAAAGGGCTGCAACAAGACCAGCCCAGCTCTCAACATTACTGGGATATGTAAATACATTTTTCTGAGCTTGTCTGAGACCCTCTTTCGTGCCGAAATGACTGTACGCTGATGCGCAAGCAACATGTACAATATCAGTCATGGATGTATTTCTGCTTAGCGTCAATGCTGCTGGAGCACATTTACGGAAAATATCCAAATTTCCATCCAGCAATGAAACTTGAACTAAACGCACCCAATATCTAACATCGTCTACAATATCAATGTATACATTCATTATAAAGAATAAATTTACAAGTTTTGTTGTTTGATAATACATGGTAATATATATATATATATATATAAATGAATGTTACTTACTAGGATGTCTGAAAATAGCCTTGGTGAGTATTCGAATGGCTTGGGCGAGATTTCCCTGTATAACTTGATAATATGCTGACAGTGTGACGACGTGATAACCGTACTCGTGATGATTTTCGTATGATTTCAATTCGTTCAATACCAAAGAAGTCAAATTAACGTCGTCATGCAAAATTCCTAATGAAGCGGTCGCTAAGAGACCAGTTACAATAGGTGGTTCTATTTGTACACATTGGAATAGCAGAGTCTTGACGGCATCTGCCCCTTGGAACATGTAAGCAATCGCAGCCATCGCGCACAAGATATTGGCTTTATCCGCGCCAGTGTCTGCTAGCCAGTGTAAGGCTGCTTCATATGTATTGTACGATTCTTCATATTGCTTGGCTGTAAGTACATACTGACTTTATTTTCATCAAAATTACAATATATTTTAATAAGATAAAGATAATTTCTATAGAGATTTCCATACCTTTGAACAACGATAATGCTAGATGGCACTGAGAATTGAAATTTGCACATTTGACTTGTTTGCATAATGCCACCGCTTCTTCGTATTTTCCGATTTGAATCCAGATGCGTGCTAAGTTAATGGATATCATATCCCTCTCTTCATCCTCGCTCAGTTTTAAAGCTGTGGCAAATTGCTTAGCCGCCGTGTTGTACAATTTCAGTCGTTCCAATAATAAACCATGGGTATTTAAGGCATAAACATCATGCGGCTCGCGTTCTGAAAAAAAGAAAATGTCGAAATTTGCTTTAAGGTACAAAGAGAATATCACGTCAAACTGAATAATCTGTTAGGATGTAATATCTACTAACCCGTGTACCAAGTAAGAACGTCGGCCGCTGCAGGTATCGCGTGCATGTTTTCGATAACGTACACCAACAATGGATCTTTCTTCATTGCGGGATTTAGGAGAATAGTAAGTACCCAATGAGCATAGCCTAAAGCTGCTTGATTGTGATAACTCAATTGCGTCGAATGCCGGAACAGATCCATCGCTTCCTTTCTCTGGGTCTTGTCCGCGATTAATCCTTGTCCGATCCAGCTGTTCACGTAATTAGGATCCGCGCGTTGCGCGCGAGAAAATGCTTCGTTCGCTTTGTAGATATCTCCTACATATCAGTAACGCATATCGAACGATCGTCATAAAATGCATATAATTGTAATAAAATTTTTAAAATTATCTCCTTAGATACCTAAATGCAAGTACAACGCTCCCAAATTGCTCCAAGCTACTGCATTGTTCGACTCTCTATCGATCGCCATAATAAAACAATGTTGAGCCAGGGCATAATTTTTTATATATATCGACATACAAATAACACCCAGTACGTTCCAATGTAGCCACGATTGCGGGCAGACTTTAACGGCGTGTTTTGCAGCCGCGTAGCACTTGGCTGCCACGTCGTTCTTATTGACCGTAGAGTGGCGATCTAGTTGCATCAAATAACAGCAGGCTAAATCATGCCATAATGATGAAGAATTTTGCATGGATAATGCTCGACAAAAACATCTGAAAATAAGATAATTTATCGATAAAATTAGATTTTAAAACTTAAAAATGATACAAAAAAACACTGAAATTTTATAAGGATTCGATATATCATACAAAATTGCTGTACACATTAACAATTACGTTTAACTGATATTGATTTTAATTGATCTCGGTTTTTTTAACAAAGTCACATAAAATAGTTTATAATGTGACTTTGTTAGAAATAAAATTCTTTTTACCTTATTGACAACATGAGTATTTCATCTCCTTTAATATTTATATATTTTTCGTCACTATCACACTTCATTAAAACAGATTTAATCCTTAGATAACAATATTTTTCTGGTATAGTGATTATTCTGTTACACACGTCGCCAAGCAATTTCCAATTGCAAAGCAGATCACTGCGTATCATAATAGCATCTGTCAAACTGTCTGCCGCTTGTTGTAAATTTTCTCTCGCGCGACATAGAAATTGTTTCGCGATATTTTGCCTCGCTAGACCTAAGCACGCTTGTGCCAGACCTTTTAACGCAAGAATATGCTGTTTATCGTTCTGTAATATACTTTCGAAGTCTTCCTTGGCTTCGTTATGTTGACCAATAAGCTGGAGAAAAAAAAATTTTGTATCAACCTTGTATTATTTATATTTTCATGAATTTTACTTACCAGTTTGATATTCGCGAGTTGTATCATGGGATACAGGGATCCTGGGCTCAGCTGTAGCGCGCGTTGATACGATTTTAGTGCCGATGTGTGAGCGCCGCGTGCTAAATATGCATCTGCCAGAGATTCCCAGCTGTGACTGTACAAAGTGCAAACTTGTGATAAGGAATATCATAATAGCGCTCTGTAACACAGCGAAATAATAGCGAGTTATATTATACTTGTCATTAGGATCGGCTCTAATCACATGCTGCAATGCCGTGATAGCTTGTCCCGCGTCACCTTGATCCAAGTAGTGTAAGCCCAGTTGGAGCCAAGCCCATTTCGGCCCAGTACCTTGCATAGTTACTCTTTGCAATAGTTGTATATTGGCATCCTAAACAATATATAATATGACAATTAGAACAGCCGTCACATAAATTTGTGTTCTAAAAGAAAAAAATAGAAGATATTCATATAACGCTCACGGTATTTTTTAGAAGACGATAAGCTGTGCTTAATCCGATACCAGCTTCCTCGGAATTCGGATTGATTTGTAACGCGGCGTGGTAACACCTTCTCGAGCGTTCGATGTCGTTACTATGCTCGCGATAATAATGTCCTAGATAAAGCATGCATTCCCAATTATTGCGATCCACTTGGACGCCATTTAAGAATGCCATTAGACTGTGGTTGTAGTCTCCCATATCCCAATATATTTTACCAAACAGCAACCAGGCTTCGGAATTTTCTAAAACTAACTCGAGAGCGTTAATAGCTTCCTCGTATCGTTTGTGCTTTTGCAGATGCAACGCTTTGAGAATAAGAGCTTGAAGTTTAGTTTCGTCCTGAGATTCCAAGCTACTTAATACAGCAGTAGCATTAGGCTCGTCCAATAATATATTTGTGCGTGCATGTATCACTTGCAATTGTACGGAAGACTCGACGCTCAACAACTGAATACAAATTCATTATATTAATAAATATCGAGACATATTTGTAACGTTCGCGTTAAATAATACTCACCTCTTCGCACATCTGACGCGCTTCCATCAATTTTTGTTTGTTACTACTTCTACTTATTGCTTCAAGCAATCTCAACTTGATTTCATGTTGAAATTTGTCCTTTAAATTGGATTTTATCGATCGTAATGCTTTTCTGGAAGCATTCTCGGTTTCTTCCCAACAGTAAAGCTTACAGTGTACTTGGCTCAACATCAACCAGGCATAAAACGATTGTCCATTTAACGAGATTACTTGCTTCAAAGAATCACGCGAATCAATTAACTCGTTTGTTCTTTTTAAATACGCCGCCTTTGCAATAAATGCAGTCTCGGAATTTGCATTCAATTTTAAGAGTGTCTCGTAAAACTGAGTTATGTTAATTTCAAGTTCATTTTCACGCGATGCAGCCTCTTCGTAGTAGACACGGCATAACCATTCTATTGGACAAAGGAACCAGTTAAATGAGAGTATAACAATACGTTACAAATTTTCGTTAAAAAGTAATTTACCTAGAGGACAAGTATCCTGCGGAAATTGAATATGCATGTCTTCAGCGGCTATTAGCAACCTTCTAAATTTATTTGAATCATACAGTATTTTAAGATATTTCCTGTAATACTCTTGTCTATTCACTAGATCTACATCTTTTATTACAGATGCCAGCACATTTTCATAAAGCTCCTGATGCTCGGTTATTCTGTTACTAGGATATTCTGATAAGACCCATACCAGGGTCTTATCGATCAGATTTATCTTCTCTTTGTTAGAAACTTCTCGTAACACGCTGAATGTGCTCAACGCCTCAGACAGTACGTCATCATTCTTGATACGTAAGACAATCTCGGAAATTTTATTCACGAAATGCGTGAATTTAGCAGACTCACTAAAATAGATATTTACCTTTTTTCCTGATTTTTATACAGTCTAAGAAATTTTAAGAATTGTGATATTTTACCTATCTAACTGTAACAGTTTGCAATACGCCAGAGCCAGTTTTCCCCAATTGTCATGGTCCTGCGGAGCTTTTTCATAGTGTGCCACTAAACCTTGCCAGGCCAGTGGATTGTTCGGTTGCACCTCCACAGCCTTTTGAAGGACCAAGGACACCTGTGACTTAAATTCCTCCACCTCCTGCATGGAACGGGCTAACAGAACTAATGCCCCATAATTGCTTTTGTCTTTTTTCAAAACCTTCTTGCATTTCTTCATAACTTCCAGATACTCATTTTGCTTGAAGGCCTCGCGGGCTTCCTTCAACAAAACCTTCACGTCGTCTGACATTTTGCTCTCTGATCAAATTAAAATAAGCGTTATTGTAGATTTTATGAAAATCTTTTGCCTTTAATATTTGAGTCCATGTAACGTAATAGTAGCAGCGGTGAATAATATGTAATCACTAATTTTTAATTTGTAATGAAAATATTGAAACGCTTTAAATGATAGATACCTTATCAAGATATATTACCTTATCTTAAATCCGACTTTGCAATATTTTTATAAGTAATCATAGATATTATATTCAATCAGCTTTGTTAAATGTAACAGATATTCGTAGTAAAAGGAGTCAAACCAGTCAAACGTAATCACGTAAATGTATTTATTTAGGTATATATGTCGTGCCACTTGTACTTTTTGCACTCATAGCTTTGCTTTGTCTTTCTCTCTCCAATGACTCCAACGCCCGAATACACATTTATCTCGTTTTAAGTGCAAACGCGACAAGCCACATGTTTACAAATATCATGTGTTTCGCTTTGTAGCGAATGAAAAGTCCCTATTTCAGGAGTCGATCATGAATCTTTCGTGTCTTTTATTTTTCTAGAATTTTAAGTAATTCGAAATTTTAAGGAAAAATATAAATTCTTGAAAATCAAGACAAAATAAAAGCAAAGTAGATAAAAAATGTGCGTTCGAGTCACGAAACTCAGCCGTGCACGCGCTCGCGAGCGTGCGTGAGAACGCGGCTTGCGTGTGCGGGTGCCCCCCGATGGGGGCCCGATGTCGCGTACATGCGCGTACGTACCTGTCGTGCGAACGTGTGCGAAACGTAGGACTGTCGGGAGGTGTGCGGAGGTAAAAAGCTGCTAGAGAGCCGCCAGGAGGCCGCCCGATGGATTCGCCCCGCTCGTCGTGTTTACGTCCGTCACTCGCCTTCCTCACGACGTCCGCGCTGGTCTAGATTCACGCCATCCTCTCCTCCCCCTTCGCATCGCCGCGTATCGCCCGTGGTTTCTAACCTAAAGATCGCACCCCCACCGCACGCGAGGGAGATGAATGCCATGCTCCTCTGATAGAGGCATCACGTCGTCGCCGACATCATCGACACGCACCGGACCTCCCGTCGCAGCCCCCCGTCGCATCGGGGGACCGTCGTCGTTGTCGTCGTCGTCGTCGTCGATCGAACCGAGAAAGGCTGACGACCTAGGGAACACGGCGCTCGTCCTAAGTATAGACCCCTCCCCCGTTTTTACGCAGCTTCTCACAAGTCCCCTTGTGTCGCACGCAGCTTGTCGCGAATCCGCGTCGCGTCGTTCGCGCGGATACGCGGGGTGTGGCTACCGGCTCGTCGTTATTATTTGTATTTTCGTCCGATCGCGATATTTTAGGCTTACGCGAATCGCGGTCGCACGTCTACGGTGCGGAGGATTCAAGGTTAGGTTAAATCCTCGCGGGCATTGACAATCGATGATCGTACGACGGATTTTAAATACGCGAGTTTCGTCTTTTCTTTTTCTCCCCCTTTTTCCCCCTTTTTTCGCGATAATCTCTGAATTCCGTGCGACCTTGCGACGCGACGAGATAGCGACACGCTGTGTTTCCCGTTAGAATCTCACGTGGAAATTATAAATCTATTTGCGTTTGGAAGAGAAAGATGAAACAAAAAATAGTATAACGATTTGTACGCCAACTTATATCAACGGCTGACTTTTGTGTTTTATATATTTCAGGTACAGTTGCTATACCTATACACACAACTACTACGTATAGTAATGTCTGTCCCTCCTTCATCCTCCAACAATATATCTGACAATAACAAGCTAGGAGGTGCCAGTCCTAGTCCGATTGAGGGTATCGAGGGAGTTCCCGGGCCAAGTTCCTTGGATCCTATGCATTCAGTGTTGCCGCAAGATGAGGAATCTGAGGATTATGGAGAGGACGAGGAGGAGGGTGATGAGGAAAGTAGCGAAGGAGAGAGCGAAGTGAGCATTGGCTTTGTTTATATTTTGTTTTTTTCTCTTTTAGAGCAAACTAAAACGATAGTCGCTTCTTTAGTCTCATCTTTGTTGTAAATAACATGTGAAATGACTTTGTGTTAAATTTATAACTACAAAATTAATGATTTCCTGCTAATTAACGTTTCGCTATGTTGTCAGATTAGCGATAGTGGATTGTTCTGCGATACTGAGTGTACAGCAGAAATCGAGAGCAACAATTGCCAGTCGCCTGTGTCACAATCCCAAGCGATTCTTTCTGAACAAGTTCAGAGTCCAGTATCGCATAATTGTGTGCCATCGGATGCTGTCCAACCTCAGAGGAAGCGAAAAAGTGAAACAGAGTGCTATCTACCTTGTAAAAAGCTTAATCCAGAAGAAAAATCTCATACAATGTGAGCATTATATTTCTTGTTACACAGAATTAGGAACTTTTGTTTTACATGTTTTAAAATTCCTATATTTCTCTACTGATTTAGGACTGCAAGAAAGCTAGATGACAAAGGTAAACACGTGCGATGTGTTATTCCTACTAAGGACAATCCTCCTCCAGAAATGAGTAGTTGGCTTCTGCAATTTCAGGTATTTATATAAATGGCCTTAATATTACTTCAGCAATTAAATATTATAATAGTAACAAAAAAAAATCACGTCGATGAAGAAGATATATGATTAGCTGTATTTAGTAGATCTTTTTAAAAAGCAAGTGAAAATATTCTTGTTGCAGAGATGGTCAAACGCCGAAAGGATGTTAGCGATAGACGAACTAATAGAGAGATGCGAGCCCACGCAGGTGCGTCACATGATGCAGGTGATAGAGCCACAGTTTCAACGAGATTTCATATCTCTACTGCCGAAAGAGTTGGCGCTGTCGGTGCTGGCCTTCCTGGAGCCGAAGGATCTTCTGAGGGCGGCCCAGACCTGCCGAAATTGGCGATTCCTAGCCGACGACAATCTACTCTGGAAAGAGAAGTGCAAGGCAGCTGGTATAGAAGACTTGAAGGATCTACCACCGCCGAAACGAAAGAACTGCCGAAGCGGCAGCCATAACTCATCGCCATGGAAGCAGGCTTACATGCGGCAGCACAATATTAAAATGAACTGGAGAACGAAGCCGATCCGCACGCCGAAAGTGTTGAAAGGCCACGACGACCATGTTATTACATGTCTTCAATTCTCCGGTAACCGGATAGTTAGCGGTTCGGATGATAATACTCTCAAAGTATGGTCTGCTGTTACGGGCAAGGTAAACTAAATTGCAAATGCAAAAAAAAAAGATTTAATCGTTACGAACGAGAGAGAGGAGATTGCATGTGTTTTTTTTATTTTACAGTGCTTACGGACATTGGTTGGGCATACCGGGGGCGTGTGGTCTTCGCAGATGTCTGGCACGATTGTTATCAGTGGTAGTACGGACCGTACTTTGAAAGTGTGGAACGCGGAGACTGGCCAGTGCATTCATACATTATACGGTCACACGTCGACGGTTAGGTGTATGCATCTGCACGGTAACAAAGTCGTCAGTGGTAGTAGAGACGCGACACTGCGAGTGTGGCAGGTGGACACGGGGGAGTGCTTACATGTGCTCGTGGGGCATTTAGCGGCGGTCAGATGTGTGCAATATGACGGAAAGTTGGTGGTCAGTGGTGCCTACGACTATATGGTCAAAGTTTGGAATCCAGAACGTGAGGAGTGCCTTCATACCTTACAAGGACATACTAACCGCGTTTATTCCCTCCAGGTAAGTGCACCACACGTGTTAACTCTTTAAGATGTTTGCTTTTATCTCTCTCTCTCTCTCTCTCTCTCTCTCTCTCTCTCTCTCTCTCTTTTCCTCGGCATTGACAAGTGTCCGTTTTGTCGTTTTTCTCGTTAGTTCGACGGTGTGCACGTTGTTAGCGGATCATTGGACACGAGTATAAGAGTGTGGGAGGTAGAAACAGGTGCTTGTAGACATACTTTGATGGGCCATCAATCTCTCACCTCGGGGATGGAGTTGCGCAATAATATCTTAGTATCGGGCAACGCTGATTCCACCGTTAAAGTATGGGACATTGTTAGCGGTCACTGCCTTCAAACCCTCTCCGGTCCGAACAAACATCAATCGGCGGTTACTTGCCTTCAGTTCAATAGCCATTTTGTGATTACGTCCTCTGACGATGGTACAGTAAAACTCTGGGATGTTAAGACTGGTTTGTATATTTCTTTTTTTTTACCGCCGCTTAGAATTTCTGATCGAAAATGCGTATTGGTCGTCAAGAACAACTTGTGCTGTGTGTTCGCAGGTGATTTCATTAGGAATCTAGTTGCTCTGGAAAGTGGTGGTAGCGGCGGTGTTGTGTGGAGGATTCGAGCGAGTGATACGAAACTAGTGTGTGCAGTAGGTAGTCGTAACGGTACCGAGGAGACGAAACTGCTTGTCCTCGATTTCGACGTTGAGGTAAAATAGTGAGCTCCACCATGTGGATCCAATCGCCCCCTTTGTACGACTTCTGTACATATTTTCAATTAAGTAGTCTTAAAAAAAAAAAACTAATCTACGCTGTACAATGATTTATGTATTACATGGTGTGATTGTGATAAGACTGTGTACGCGCCGTAAAAATCGGGTAAAGTTCTTGCGCAGAGGAAGTGCGGGAGGGGGGGGGGAGAACCGAAGGGAATGAGAGTTGCAGCGAATGATCTTCAGGATTCAAGTGCCCGTCGAGAAATTATAATTATATCGTTTTGTCGGAGCGCGCGCGCGTTGTTGTCGTGTACAAACGTAAGATTTTTAAGTCTCATAAACTTACGGGGTGGGAGAAGGGGGGAGGGGAAGGGGCGGGAAGAAAAATGAGGAGCTTATCAGTGTACTTCTGAATTTTCGCTGTTATAACGATTCAGTGGAATCATCGATGATGCAAAAGTAGCAAACGTCCCTAACGAGATTCGTTGTAAGTATAACAGGTTTATTATGTGGGCATTTAGGAGCATTTGTCAACGGTGGCAGACGAAAACGAAGACGACTGAGACGTACTGAAACTGCGAGGCAAAATGACATTAATTGAAGAATCTCATACCTCCTGGAGCAAACGAGAAAAACTGTCGTCGACAATTCCGACACGTGTCATTCGGATCATACAAATCTTTTTTTTTTTTACGAGAAATTTCAAACGTTTGTTACACATATGTCGCGTTTGTGTAATTCACTGGCCGATTCGTCAAACTGTCAAAACAGCTTCGAGATTTCCTGATCATATTAACTTTAGATTTTACTTGCCTATATAAACATCGATCTGGTTAAAAACAAATATTTTTATAAACATTTACAAGCCAATATTTTCATATGATTGACTTTTATTGAGAGAGTATAAGATTTCTCGGCAATTGAAGCAAAAAATGATTCAAATAAAAAATTTAATTTTTTCTTTTTGCAAAGTACAAAAACTACTTTCTATGTCGCACGTTTCGTCCCCGTCGTGGTGCAATATATAAATATAGTGCACTTGATCGCGTGCAATATAGATTTACAGAATAACGAACCAGTACAAGTTTACACAGAGCAAAACGACTTTTTCTTTTGCCTTTATTTTTGACTAAAATTTTTGATTTAATTTCATCAATTATTGAATGGACTTGCTAAAGGGAGAATATTTGTATTAGCCAGATCTTTTACATTTAGTGCGAATTGTATGAAGAGACTTAGAAACATTGCATCAATTGTCTGACGAATTTTATATGGATTCTACTGAATCATGACATTATCGGATAATGCAATTTGTGCAAATGCATCTTTATTATTGGACCTAGGTTAGACTAGGTGTCGTGTTTATTTGTATATTGCTCAATAGTTTATATTATATAAGAATGTGTTACCTGTTGTATCATTTTTTTTTATAAGAAATAGAAAAAAGAATGTTGCTGCATATTTTAGATTGTTTTTTTTTTTTTAAATTTATTACAACTGTACACATGTTCTTGTGCTAAGAAACATATTTTGTACAAAATAAATGTTCGATTTCGACCTCTTTCTACATAGCTGTGAGTATTGTCATACTGTATATAGCGTATAATCAAACGCGTAGAAAGCGCCTCTTATTTCGTCGTCCTGCTTGCATAAATATTCGCTCGAATAAATAAAAACTCAGTCATGTTTTACAGGCTTCTAAAAAAAAAATAGGAGTCCATAGGTGCCATCAAAGATTGTACTTTGTTGCACAAGCCGTGTAATGTCGACGTGCTACGTTTCAACAACGATAATGAGCGTACAGCCGTCGCACATCACTTGGAGCATAGTGTTCTTCTCCCGAAGAGCCTCTCGCTCAATGAAATAATTTTCGCCGCATCTACAGCGGTAAAACAGCGTGCCTTCGAGAGCGGATTCCTCAAGGTCGCTCGGTGAGAGACGCGCGTACACGGGACTGTCTTCCTCCTCCAACTGCTCCTGCTTGCAGGCCGCATCGTACTTCCTCCTGGACTGCGGATTTCCAAGTACCCGCCAGGCTTCCTTGACGTCATGGAACTCCTGGATGTCCGCGGCGCTGTTTTTATCGGGATGGAACTGCAGCAAGCGCCGATGGTAAGCACGCTTTATCACCTCCCGAGAGGAATCCTCGCCGCAGTCGAGCACCTTGTAGTAATTCAATCGCATTTTCGCGAACGTCCTAATATACAGACTATAGAGTATTATCACTCTTCGTGGCTAACCTATACCTGTGGCTATCCATATATGACAACGCCATGCTTTGTGTCGAGATCTCGACATTTAAACAAATCGCGCAGAACTGTCGATTATAAAGCGAGTTACTAGCGATTTTAACTATGCTAGGGAAATTCTAGTTTTAAGATAGACAACGATGCGCGCGACTGTTCATCGCTGTTCATTCTTGCTCATCCTATTATGTCCTGTTATCGCGATTAAAACTGAAAGTTCTTTAAACAGACAAGACAACATAAGAGCGAGACTCTAACGATGGCAGTTACGATTAATTAAATATGTATAACAATATTTATAAAATCAGCTTGTTCTAACCACTAAATCAGATTTGATTATACTTATTTATACGTTATCATTAAAATTAAGAATCGAAAGATATTTCATTAATTCATGACAATCGTCTTTTTATCGTTTTAATACGTTTATCAAATCTCGATTACACTCGCGGATAATAACAAAAAATGTAAAATTTTGTATTGCTAGATATAATTTTTAGAATAAAATAACTGATAAGGATTGAAATTATGTTAAAAATGAATAGATATTTATAAATTATCATTAAAATTAAGAATCGGTAAAGACATTTTATTACTTCACCACGACAATCGTCTTTTTAATCGCTTTAATACGTTTGTCAAATCTCGATTGCACTCGCGGAGTAATAACGAAAGATAGAGAGAGGAACAACGAGACAAATGTACTTTCACAGTTTTTTTTTACATTCAATTCGTCTAGATTCAATGATTGCGATAAACGTTAAAACCTGAAAACTGCCAACGTCTCTCCATATTTGCGCCGATGCCGAACAATTCCTGTTTGAAGACCTGCGGGAAGCGCTGCATCAAAACTTCGACTTCATTCGGTTTAATTCCGGGCTCCATTTTCTGCAGGTAGGACCATAAATAATCCACGCTCGCACCAAACGGATGGATATGCAGAAACGTCGCTATAAGTCCTGCAACGTGTGTCATATATTAGTAAGTTTCAATTGACATCGTAAAGTCGCCTTTAAAATCATTTTTCAATTGTTTCTGAATTTATTTATTACCAATGAGCTTGGCATCCTTCTGGGTGACTTGCACGAAGCTGGAGGTGAGAATGTGTTGCTTCGGCGTGCGTGGCTCCTCGCTAATATCGTCGTCCTTGTCGAGTGTAATAACCTCGCTTTCTCTGGGCTCCTCCTTCTTCGTGGCGTTCAGCTTGACGGTCAAGTCCTTGATCTTCTGATCGTCCTGCGCCTGCTGCTTACGCGACTGCATCAACTGCTCCTGCATACCCTTCAGCGTTTGCTGCAGCATCTTCATTTGCTTCTCCTTCCCCTCCAACTCGGCTTTCGTTTCCGATTTCAAGAGATCCACCTGCGAGGATTTATAAATTGAAAATTTCGTCGAAAAATCCCTCCATCAGGGTCACGCTAAATTCGATTCGCATTAATACGCACCTCGTTCTTGTACGCTTCCAACTGGCATCTCAGACTGTCGTTCTCCTCTTTGAGACTCTGCAGTCTCTCGACGTCCTCCTGATTGCCGTCCAATTGATTGCGCGTTTTCTTACGTTGAGGCTCCTCCTCGGAATCCGACACATCCATCTCACCCTCGCCTTCAATTAGACTGTCTTCCAACTGTACCGCTTTTATTTCCTGTATTCATCACGAATAGCGAAAATTATAGAGTGCCCCAAACCATGGCCGTCGCTTTCTCACACAAATACATGCAAAATAATGTAATTTTCTATCTGTCGTTCAAACAATGGTATTTAAATATATCCCTAAACGTGGCTGATTTTTGTTTTTTCCTTTTTTTTTTCTTTTAATTGATGTACCGTTCTTTATGTACACGTTGTTTCGTACATTTCTGTAATTCAGAGTTTCGACACGATACCGCATACACGATTTTGTCTCAGTTTTTCATTACGGAAGTGTTTCCAGGACTTTTGCTCGCCTTTTCAGAACGATTTGGGCTTACCTGATCTTAAGAAGAAGATGCAGCTCTGAAGTACAGAAATAACAAGTATTGTATCGAGTAACGCTGTTCGAAAAAAAAGAGTGAGATAAATCCATGCTGGATAGTCTGTATAGTTGCTTTTCGATCCGAAAGTGCTAATCTCGTATTACCTTCTGTTCCATATGTTGTTCTTAATGTTGTGCGTGTTGCCGGCAGGATTTATCTGCTGTCACGGCATTCCACGATAAAATTGAATTGAAACGCACGAAGAGAAGCGTGTGTCTGACCGATTTCTTTTTTTTTAATATATATATACAGCAAGCGATTCGGTTCTCTCTCCTCAATTGTCACTTACCTGTGGTACCTTAGAAATATAATTTGCAAAACGAGCGTGTTTGGGAGATATCGTGCAAACGCGCAGAGGAGCATATTGCGACAGAGAAGATTTCGGAGATTTAAGAAATTACGCAAGAGAAAGAGGAAATATACAGAGAGGACACGCTACCAGCATGTGAGAGTGCGTTTACATACATACCGAGGATTGTTTCTTCCACATCTCGATATTCTTCCGCTGCGCCTTAGTGAAGTGATCCCAGACCTTCTTGTGGCTGGCCGCAGTAAAGACTCGTTCGATCTGACTGACTGTTGATGACATGTGGTCGCATGTTGCATACAAAAAAACACAACAAATCCTCCGTTGATATACCTTTTGCTTGAAACTCTAAGCTCGGTAGTTTCGTCTATGCTTTTTAGTACTCATTACGCATACTCGTTATGTTAAACGTTTAGCTTATATCGTGATATTCCTCGTACGGGAACACGGTATCTCGATCCCTCCTCTAATAATCGGAGCGTGTTTTTCGTACAGTATGTACAGGCTACGGAGTCTCACAAAGTCTCACGTAGATTGTGCCGAGTGTTGGAGCGCATCTAATCTAACGTAAAGTTGGTTTCACCAAACATCCCGCTCTCATTGTTCGCCTTTCCACCATACTGCGGATAATGATAACCCCGAAGACTTGCAATCCGTGGACTTCCTATGTTAAACGACTATTTTGAACGATAACGAATACGATCTCGTGCGTTATTAAACATATTTTGTCACATGATAAGATGATATTATGTGTAAAAGTTTCAATCTGCAGTTCAAAATAATCTTTTGACAATGGATGCCCCCAGCCCATCACCTTTACTCCTTAGCATTGCCAAGCATGCAACTTTCAAGTACACTATGACTCTATGAGATAGAATTTGCGACAAATCGCCTTCGTTCATCATTGGTTTTGTTGGATCCTAAGTCCGAAGAAGACAGGATTTTTTCACCCACCTTATCCACGCCTACTATCTCTGATCCTTCCTACCGAGTCGCCTCCGATCGTGCATTGACCACAAACAGAATTCATAGACGAATTTGCCATGATACACTTGAGAGATTGCTAAAATTAGTGACGAAACAGAGAAGTACTTTGTCGGTAGGTATCAAGAGTAGGTTTTTACATCAAGCGTGTCACTTGATATGCAAAAGTCGGTTTTCGGAATAATCATACGTCGAAGATCGACAAGCTTAACATTCGATTTGACTTTGTACCTGATTACAATCGGTTGCCGTACCTTAATGTCACGAATCGTTTTTCTTAATTATCACGTAACGGATGTGAACGTACCTTCGTAACTGGCATAAGAAAAATCTCTGCTTTTTATCGGAACTCAATTTGCGTGGACTGTGGACGCACGAGGATTCGTCGTACACACAATGCGAAGAATGCAGCGACACCGCTGTCGTTTACTTTTAAGATTATGAACGAGATAATCACGATTTTTGTTGCGTTTACTTTATATCCAAATGAGGATTTCCTCTATCGGTTGTTGGACTCTCTTTATGCCAGAGTGAACTTACCAGCCAATGCGGATTTTCTTAGCGCACACGAAATATGTACGATAGTATGGAGCTATCTTAGAGATAGGAAAATAAGAAAGCGTGTAAACGTACATTGTATGAGGAGTCCTTGCATTCTTCCTTTCATTAATTCTTTGGCTTTTTGCAGCTCCTCCTCGTAAGCAGCCTTCTCCGTCAGGAGCCGTCGCACGTGAGAGTTCGTTGATTGTATCATGGAGTAAAAGATGTTGGCGTTACGTTTGATGCAGTCTCCTCGTTCTAACCACGTTACAACAATCTACAACATGTTCAGATTATGGAAATTCAGAGCAATTACTTGACGTAATTCTTCTAAAAAATAAGAAACTGGAAAGTGAGGTATATTATCGTTCATTATCGTAGAATGACTCACTTGTACTGCTTTCATAAACGTATCATCTTGTTTAATTTTTTCGCAGATATTCGACGCCTCGTGGTCTGTATAGTGCACCACCGGAGGCGGACTCGACGGCGGCCTCTGTCTCTCCTTTTCCACTCTTTCTCTGTGACGTTGTTCTCTTTGCAATTGTCGTTGTCTGCATTCCCATTCGTATTGATCGTCTCTCGCCTAAAATCATTAACGATTATATATAAGTAGAATTGAATTACATAATTAATTAATTATACATTTTTAGATAAACAATTTCCAAAGGAGTTAACAAACCTGAGCGAAATCTACGTGAAGTCTACCGGTATTTGCAGGTTCTCCACTAGATCCTATTCTTACTCTGTAACCCGACAAATAAATCGCTGCATCCACACTAGCTTCCAAGACAAAGCGTATATGACAGAAGTTCTTCTTGGAAAGGCGCAAAGTAGTTATCTCTCCACACCGTTCGAATATTTCCTGTATTATAGCTTCGGTAATGTTTTCCGGCAACCCTGCGCAAGCAATTACGATTAAAACTTAAGTAAATTTATTTATATTATTCGATGCAATGCTTACCTCCCACAAAAATTGTTCTACAGCCCGGTGGCCTCTCTCGCGTGGTAGGCGGCGGAGCGTTCGGATTTGGCGGGAACAACACGCAACTTTTGCAGTGTATGATTTCTTTGGTACCCTGAGGCGTCATCTGAGGCGGCGGTGGCAAGCTCGCGGTCATTATCTGCGCCGCGTCCGTCATGATCTGCTCGGCGCCCAGTATCTGCGCGCCTATCATGCTGCCGTCGTGCGACATCATGCCCATGCCCATCGGATTGTAGCCATGCGTGTGGCTCATGTGCGGACCCAGTGTCATCTCGCCCATCATGGGCGCCATCGGACCCATGGGGCCCATACCCATCATGGGATAGCCCACTCCCATTCCCCAGACACCGGCGGCAGTCGGCTCCATCTGCGTGCCTATGCTCGGCGCGTTGTTCGTACTCGCCGACGACAAGACTTCGTTGTTGTTGGAATTGTTCGCGTGATTGTTATTGTTCTTGGAGGAATTTGCATTACTTCGCTCCTCGACTCTTCGATCGTCCCTTCGATCTCGGTCGTTCCTCTCCTCCCTCCTGTCGCGGTCTCTGTCGCGTCTGTCGCTGCGCTCCCCCCTCGACCTTTCGCAAGACAATGTACAAGCTATATAACTACATGTCAAGTGGATAAATTGTACGTGGCCTATAATTTTGTTAACTCAACGTATGATTCGTCAATTTTTCCATACAGTCCCGAGGGGACGAATAATAATGGAATATAAACCTTCGGTTGTCTCGTGCTTCGCGGCTATCCCTGTTCTCTCGATCCCTTCTATTGTCATTCTTGTCGCTTCTCCTGTCACCGCTGTCGTCCGAGGTCTCTCGCACCACCGGGGGCTGATTCTTATTCGTACTGAACTCCAGAGGCGAGTCGTTCATGCCAGGCAGTGGTATGGGCGGTGGTGGCAGCGGCGGGAAACCTTGACCCGCTAGCTCCATAAAGCTCTGTGGTCCCGCTATGGGAGTCAGCGGACCGATTGGTCCCATGCCTGTGAATCGCGCGATCGATGAGAAAACGGCGTACGAGATGACAATTTGGGATCGATTTGGAGGAAGGTAATAATAAACCAAGTAACGATTAAAGAAATCGGTTGTCACCGCTTACCCATGGGCGGCATAGCGGTTGCCGGTACCCCGGGGAAGTTGTAAGCCATTTCGCGCGAGACGATCTTCGAATTCTTCCCACAGAAAGCAGGAGGCAACGGAAGTAAACACACTGCTCCGAAATCGCTCTGCTCCGATGTCGCGACTCGAAAGTCGCGGATATGGCGGCGGTGAATTATACAGGGTGGCCACAATCGAACGCGATTATGCGGCGGGGGGACGGTAGTACGTGCGAGCGTGACAGATGACACCACCTGACGGCCGCGACCGCGCCGACCGTACTAATTACCATGTCCTCTGAATTTTCTATTTAGGCGTAATCGTATTTTTGTTTTACTCTTAAATATGTGCGACAGAGAAGAGGGAGAAATCGTAGAAGCGATTTTGTAACTGCATGCATTCATGTTTCTCTCAAAACATGAACATGTGGCCGCATCTGACGCAGGATGCTGGAAGGAGCAGCTGGGAGCAGCCTCCCGCACGTCACGTGTCGCTCCGTCTTGGTTGCCATTTAGCAACGGCCGGTGTGTAAACATAGATGGCTGCCTCCAAACATCAAATCTTCTCGAGACGTTCTCGCGACGCCTTCTCGTGTGACCATGTGCCCGAGGATATACTTACCTCTTTACATCTCACATCGAGTAATGACTAACGAGGTTTGACCGAGGTACGTATTTTCTGTCTCGTCGAAGTTCCTCGGATCGCGACTTACGTATTATCGTACATAAATATCTTGCAGTAGTACATTTGTTTACGTGAGTAAATTCATCACAGAAACAAAGCAGAAACGAAAACAATACATGCGTAATAATGAACAATAACTATGCTTTCTCAAATTAAACTGTGCTTTTCAATTAAATTTGTTCAATTACGGCTTGATATTATGGCAGTTGTTTTGCTTAGAACATAGTTGTTCTATTAGATTTTAGCCCTAGATACATTTGTGGTAACAATTTAAAATTAGAAGATATACATATCTTTTCTCCTCCAATTTTATAATATATAAATTTTATGCAATAATGTACAGAAAAATCTATATACATGTAGTGATGCACATAGGTATTTGCATCTCCCAAAGCTTGATAAATATATATACATTTGTGGCAACAATTTAAAATTAGAAGAAATATACATATCTTTTCTCCTCTAATTTTATATAAATTTTATGCAATAATGTACAGGAAAATCTATACACGTGCAGTGATGCACATATTTGTATCTCCCAAAGTTTAGATAAATATATATTTTTTTCTATGCATATTTTATTGATACAGTTTTAGCTTTATATTCTATTTGAATCTAATAATGATAGGAATCTAAATTTAAAGCTCTTTAAAATGGAGGGAAGGAAAAGAAAATAATAAATATGTAATTATATGTATAAAAAATAAATATTGCCTGTTGAAATAATTCAACCAATTCTTTGCTCGTAAGTTGAAGCTAATATTACATAATCAATTTTTCACAGAGAAAGCATGTACGTCGATTAATGTCAAAGTTAATCTGTATGTAAAACATATTTATATGAGAGAATTATTTTCAGACTCGAGAGCACAAGTATAAAGTGTCATTTCACTTTATTTGAATCAATCATAACATTCAATAATACATAATTTAACTGATAAATGTATTTTGTGTTTAAATTTTTACATAAGGACATGCGTTTTGTTATGTTACGATACACTCGATTGTAGGTAATACCTAGTTTTCAATATCGTAGGCAACTATGTCGTGTAGAGTTTTGACAAGATTCGAAACACCTCAACGCCCCCTTTTTTTTGTAATTTACATACGTAATACAAACAACGACTCCAAGTAGCATATGTGTGCGATTGTATTTACATGAGTAACTTCGTTATCGCGCCTCGGCATTCTAACAGGTAATTTAACGTATTTTATTTATACGTACTTTTCTTTAACCACCCTTAAGTATCAATGGCAAGAACTTGCGTTTCTTTTTCTTTTCTTTCTCCCCCTTGAAGAGCTGTATAACTGCGACCGAAAAGATGATGCCTTGAATTACGATGTAACTTACAAAGTATGAATAATATTACACACACGTTTCGAATCCTATTGTATTAAGAGTCAAATGATGGTGCGCATCGATCGTCGCATTCATTCATCCAAATAACATATGTACATAGTATATTCCCCGAGACCCAATCTCCATACCCCACCCCCGTCCCCCAACGTAAAGTGAACAGATTAAGGCTCCAGCAGGCTATAGGCTACATTCTACAATGTACAATATATTATGTACTTTGTTAGTTTCCGTTTTCGCGTACAATGTCTGGCTGTGTAATGTGTGTAGTAAGCGATAGCACCAAGAGACTTCCCGCTTCTGCTTTCTCGAGCTCGAATACGATTCTTTTCGTGACGGTTTTACACTAATGTGATTTAATTTAGAAACCAAGTTGCGCAATGATTAACATTTATTTCATTCAAGTAGTTCATTAAACTTTGCAACGTATCCATCATATAATAGACATACTTATTATAAAACAATACATTTTAACAAAAATGTATATAGACTTATACCTTTATGAAATGTAAAAGTTGGATAAAAATAGTAGGCCTTGCCCACCAATATCTGTTAAGAGTTATGTTTCCTTGTTTCTCGTACTTTGTGTATTAAACGCGGTAATGAACACTTAACGGTGTTCCGTACCGGGCTGACAAATCATGGATCGACACATCTAATGTCTTTGTATTACATTTGATATATTATGCGTTTGATATCACCCATGGCCCCAGCATGTTGTATCGATAAGTAACATAATAATCAGAGAATATGTATATATTTTTATATATATATATATAATTAAAAAAATTCGGGTATAAAAAACGATATATGTACATATATATCATTCTTTAAACCGTGAATTTTTAAATACACGAGATGTGTCATCGAGTCGCTTTAAGTGATCTAAGACTTAAGCGTTACAGATTTGTCTTCCTTTTAAAATGAGAGTCAGTCTAAAGGTCTTCCTTATATCTGACGTAAACTATTCAATTTCGCTACTTTATTCGCACATCATCACATCCGTAAGAAAACTTTTCTTTCGTATCATGTAGTATTTTTTTCGTACAAGCTTTATATTCGCGTTCCACAATTATATTGGTATCATAAAACGTAAACAACATACTGTTTAGTATTCAATTATCGGAAAGACTGCCTATATAATAAAATAATTAATTAAAATTATTTTGCTTTGAGTCAGGGTGAACCATCAAGTGACAGATAAATTGTGCTAGAGCAGATCAATGTAGTTGTAATGACAAGATTATCAATAAGATAGTAATCTCAGTGAATAATAGAATGTGTTAATTTCTCTTAGATATTATAATAATATACACGATATAATAAACTCCTCTAGAGAGAAAAAAGTGTTATACAAGTAAAAATATAAATAATTATGAGATATCTCACTGACGTTACTATATTTTTGATAAAGTTCGCAGGAATCTATAAATTTTGTCAGTTTGAAAAACTGCCTTCATCTGCTCGTTACTTCACAACTACATGATTAAGTTTAAATTTATTTTCGCTATTTGTGTCTCACAATCTCAAGCTATTCAACACATTGAATTCAACTTCAATTCAATCACTTAACATAAGAACAAGGATCCCCATTACCCCATTATAAATAGTGAATAGATCTTTTACTTCGATAGTTATTATCGCTTTTATGTCCATCCAAAGTTAAAGATTATATTTTGCACTATGCTGCACAATGCGAATATCACGGACATCGTTTTAAGAAAGATGGTTGGTCAAAAGCGAAGAAGCGTGATTTATACGAAGGTTCCACCGTATCTGATAGTGAATCTTGATTTCTCAAGAATTAGAAGAATATTTGTAGAAATAATGATGTTTATACCAAGCCATTTAACGTTACGTTACTTTATGATAAACTTATGTAGAATTACTTGGAGAAATTATGCTCTCTCAATTAATTTTTTTGATACAAATTGACAACGCCAAAAATGTTGACCTCCTTTGTTTTATTGCTTCTTGTAACATACAATATGGAGTCGAGAGGAACCTTGAGTGGCATGCATGAGTCGAATATCTCTAGTCAGACGTTATTCAATAATGTGTTATAATTTGCTCCCATGCACATCACACCTCCAGACTTCACTCATGCAGCAAAATGCGCGCTTTTTTTTAATTATTTCTTTTAATATAAAAAAATCTATTTCTATTGACTTTTAAGCTCTTTGCCAATACTGTACGACACAATTTTGTTCCAGTCGATTTTTGTTCGCATTACTGGCAATTGCCTTCGCAGCGCCTTAAAGGTGGTGTCGGACATTGTTTGATAGTTTTCGGAAATTGCCGTTTGATAATCGTTTTCAGATTCCTCGACAAACCGTATCAAATCCTTCGCCGTTTGCTTCTCATTGGAGATCGGCAGGCTCTCCTTTACATCTTTGCTACTGACCAATTGTACATTTCCGTCTTCGTAATAATGTACTTGTACTTTGAGACTACCTCTCATCTCGGCGTTACCCGAATTTGGGGTGAAACTGACGGTCCACACCGAACGCCAGCGACCGTTCCAGAAGTTTTTAGGTTGAAACTGATGATCTTCTATGCACGCCGTTAGCGTTATGTTTCCTACATAAAAAAAAAAATGTAAATTGTTAATCCGCGACGCCCGCTGATTTATTTCAACAATCAATTCGCAATCGAAGTAGCAATTACCTCCAAGAGATTTTCCAAAAACTGAGCAAGCGCCATGTCTATAATGACTTTGAGTATAATTCGTTATCTCTTCTTGAAGGGCTGATCTCCAAGGCTCCGCAATGGGATCCGGCTCGTAAGATTCGTAATCTTGCGCCTCCTTTCTCAGGTGATCATATTTAAAACTTTGCTTACTCCGTGCGTCGTAAAACCTCTGAGAACCCAAGTCATTGTGTTCTGTTATGAGCGCTGGGTGGTCACTTCCGTCTATCTGCGTACGACGAAAAGGACCGAGTTTTAATTATTTTGTTTATTTTACACATTTATTTTTCCTTATGCTAAGTAATACAACTGTTATATTAATCTACAGTTTAGAAAATATACAGTTTTGTATACACATTTGATTTGATAGAAAGACAGATGTAAGCCTAGAATTTTTCATACTGTAAAGTAAATTATTCGCGGTGGAAGGAGATTTAAAAAACACTGTGGCATTACTCCTGACATTGCACATGTAATGCCTAACCTCAGCTAAATTACGACGGTTCCAAACTATACAGATGTCAAGGTAGCAATCGATTGTGAAAGGGCAAGGCGAAAGAAAACAGTCTTCGTTTGTACATTCAGAGATTAGACAGCGGTACGACGTGTCCACATTGCCTAGCTAGGTCAAAAGTCTATAACCTGGCGCCGCGAGGGTGACGGGTTATTCTCTCTCGAGAGCCGGTGTTGCGAGAACCGCGGAGATGTCGTCGCGTGGCGATGCCCTGGAGCGAACGGGAGTCCCGAGGAGGGCCCGATAACGCGAGGTAGATTATAGACAGAGTGTGTAAGGTCACCGTGGTCGCGCCTCGCGGGCTTTCGGAATCGATATACACACACTTAAAGGGAAAAGAGGGCAAACGAAACGCGCGAAAGGGCGCCAAGGGCCCAGCGAGCCGCGCCGAGCGTCGAGTCGAGCGTAAGCCGCGCCGGGGAAAGACAGGGTCGGCGTACGCGGCACCGTCGGCGGGGCCACCTACGATGATGACGATGACGACGGCGATGATGATGTACCTTAACAGGCGTGAGCTGGTCCTTGTTGTACTGAGCGAAGGCCCCGGACGCGCCCTCCTTCAACAGGTTGTCGTTGTTCAGCAGGACCCTCACGTCGTTGAACACCTCGTTGAACTCGCCCGGCGGCGAGTGCAATATAAAATCCGAGACTATTCGCACTTTTTCCTGGTCCGGAATCACCGCATCTCCGTCCGCCGCCATCTTACCTTTCCCACTGGCAGGCACGCACACTCCGCCGCCGCCGCCACCGCCACCACCACCACCACCACCACCACCACCACCGCCGCCGCCGCCGATGTCAAAAGCGAGGGTACGGTGCGGTGGTCACGGACGGGGTCAGGTTGTACTTGGTTTCTCTCGCCTCCGAATCGTGGCTCCGCTCGCGCTGCTTCGCGTCCCGCCTCGTGGCGCCGCTCGCAGCGGTGTCGATGTATCTATCGGGTGGCGCGACTGGCGCGATTCGGCAACTCGCCGGTTTTAACGGCCGGTTCACTAATTGTCTGTTCTTCCGTGAAGAAGAAAAGAAGGAAGGAAAAATAGTCAAGTCTCAAGTATAATCATCCTCCTAGGAGTTTGCGTGCTCTTTTCCATCTCCCTTGTGTCGTAAGACTGAAGAATTCCTCTTCCATTATTTTTTATCTTTTCCGCTACTTTTGATGCTCTACGCGGAGATGATTCATATCGAGCGAGAATGAATCACATATCCTCGGAGAGGACCCTCGCAACGCGGAGACGGGCGGGACGCGCGCGATTCTGGACAGATAACGTACGCATTTATCTCGTATCTGGCACACCAGAGCGATAACTGATGATAACTTGTACATGTATATTTATGTACATACAGCCCAGCATAGTTCTCAAATCAGAATCGCTCTTCCCGTTTGTAAGTACGGGAAACGAAATGATACAATAAAAACAGTATATACATTTTATAACGTTTTAATTTATAAAAATATTGTTTTTCCAATTTTATTTTATTTTATTGGAATTTATTCCAATATAAAATAAAACATTCAATTCCGCACATACCATAATTACGATTATATAATTACGATGATAATTTTGCATGCGACTTACGCAAACGCTACCCGATATATTGCTGTCAAAATCTTCGCACGAAAGAAAATAAGTATCAGCGGCACGTGATTTTTTTGATAACACAGCAATGTAAACAGCGTAAAATTAGCGTGAAATCGCAGAGTGTTATCGATCACTCGAATTTTCTCGTCCATAAATCGGTAATGGAATAAAATCAAAGAGATAATATGTTTATAATTATTCTTGTATAAATGATTGGAAAAATAATTGTTTCGAGAATTAACAGCGTGAAGGATATTTTATAAATGTAAGAGTATGCAGATTGCAGGGAGTAATAATGGCGTTTAATAAGAAAATTCGTTCTTATCTCTCACGCGTATAAAAATTATATTTTTTTTATCTGTTCAAAGCATTTCGCGAACAAATATAACGCTAATTCTATGCTGCACGTTGAATTTTCAGCGTGTTAGTCAACGTCGTCTCGAGGTTCTAGACAATACTCTTCGTCGGGTTTGAGAATTTCGATTGATAATGGCAGACGATCCGAATCGTGACATCTTGCCGGTAAAGGAAGGTTCCGGCGCGGACACGATCATCAGTGCGATAGGTTCGTATCCATTTGTATCTGGTCGTAATCCCAGTTGGATAATTTACAGCCGACTACTCGATACTCCTTTATGATTTGCAGCCGCATTTCCTATGCAAGCGCGAACATAAATTTCTCCCCGCGTCATATTCCAGAATTGAAATCGATAAATAATATTACTACGCAAATTTTCTATTTATTGCGTGTAAAGTGCATGTTTTAATAATGTTTTAATTATCGGAAGATCTTAGAGAACGTCATCTCGTTTGCAAGCTCGATCGCTATCAGCTGGAGGACAAGTATCTACGTTTACTTGACGAGGCGAGCAATCTGAAGAAATTATCCAACTGTCAGGAGGATAAGATCAAGCGACTCGGGACGAAGCTGATTAGACTGGCCGGTAATCCAAGATCGTGCGGAATAGCGTTAGATATCGCCGATGACAGGAATAGAATAGCCGTTCTGGAGCTTGAAAATACCAAGGTAGAATGCCTAAATAACGGCGATTCTTTCTTCCTCGTTATCACGATAACGGGACTTTTACCCGGCAGAATGACGTTTACATTGATTCCATCGTATTATTTCCGTACGGTCTAGATATTAGATTGTCTCGCGACAGTTTTAACGAAATTAACGCGTGCGAAAGATGATACGATTATGAATTTAATTTTAAAATGGATATTCCAAAATATATTTATTGTTAAATGTTTCAGCTGAAGGAGAAAATCGTCGTGATGAGAAATCAATTGTTGAGTCACACGATGAGCGGCAGGTCGTCGTCGCGCAGCCGTAATCTCGTTAGACCATCGTCTTCCGGGCTTGTGTAAGTATATGTGCGCTTCACGGATGTACCTATGACTCATTATGCGCGGTGCATTGAAATACTGAATCGGCCTCCCTTTAGGACGTGTCGAAGCGAGAATAACCGCGTGAGAGCGCCGTCCTGTCAATGCATCGTCGGGGCAGGGGACGACGATAACGACATGCAAAATTACCTCGTTAAAATCGAGGTAAAACCAGCTTGAGTAAATCCCGTGATATTTGCACACGTTTTCACCTTCGTATATTTTGTCTCATCTACTTCATTCGCATGGCACAATCAATGTTATATTCGCGTAGGCAGAGTAAAACGGGCTTGCAGAATGATGTAGAATAGCGAGAGAGATGTAAAATATATCAATATAGCACGAGTTTCTTCGCACGATTTGATATTACATTCGAGAGATTACACAGCTTCACAAAGGCACAAGCTCGCTCGTTATTAATGTTACGCGCCATAATTCTTGCTTAGCGTCCAACTTTTGTTCGCAGAAACTGGAGACGCAGAAGAAAGATATGGCATGTCGTATAACGGAGTTGGAGAAAGAGCTGGTGCACGTGACCAATAATCAAAAGGAGAAGGTGGCAGAAAATGTAGAATATATACGAGTGTGGCGACAAATGAAGCAACTGAACGACAAATTGATGACGACTCAGGAAAAAAATTCTCTACTGACCACCGAAATTAATAATTTGAAAATAACTCTTGAACAAACGACGAGGTATACTCAGTATCTTTTATTTTTGTAAAAATTGTTAAATATATATAGTGTGTTTCTAATTTGGAAAATCTCGATTAGAAATAATCAGGAGATCGCGGCCGTTCTTTCCTCGGAGAGAACGCGCATAGCCGAGATCGATGGCCAGATGTTGAAGGCAAAGACGTCACAGTTCACGTTACGCGAAAAAGATGACCAGATACGGGATCTTATGAGCGAAATTAAAATATTGCAACAACATAACAACGAACTTATTGTGCTGACATCGAAAAATGGGCAAATCGAAATGGAGAATATTGAATTAAAAAAAAGACTCTCCGACGACGCTCAGCAGCAACAGACTTTAAAAACAGCATTTCACAAAGAGCAAGTTGACATTGAAGCGTTAAAAGCTACTAATGAGCAATTGCTTACGAAATTTCAAGAATTGCAGACAAACATAGATACCTTGACGGTTCAACTAACGGTTAGTATATATACCCGCTGCATATATTTTGGAAATTGTCTAATGCTTGACTAATTCTCATTTAAATAATTTTTCCAGTCTTTGCATACGCAAGATAGGAAGCACGAGCAATATGCGTGCATGGAACAATGCAAGAAATGTTGCGAAATGTATGATAAATTTATGCAGCTAGAAAAAACTGCCGGCATTCCTCGGGAAGATTGGCAGTCGGCAGACAAATCAGTACAGACGGTTAATACTGGCACAAAGGAACAGGGTACAATGATAATTTCGAATAATGAAGATAAAACATTGGTGCAGTCGCCGTCGAAGGAATGGAAGACGAATCAGGAAGCAAATGGCACGAGCGTTTTGTCTCGAGAGAAAATATTAAAACTATTGGATCAGGCACAAATTAACACACCTTTGGATGCATCGAGGATTACTCCGAAGGAAGAGTACGCGAGCATTTTGGATGTAGCTCAGAGGCACAGGCAAGTCGTACCCCTCGAGAAGCTACTGTTTGGTGATTCTAATTGTTGACAGAAACTCTACCGTTTGGTATTAACAGTAAATATATATTTTATAAATATAGTGTTTATATATACATATATTCTTATACAGTACAAATCTCTAAGAAAATTGACACATTGATATTAAATATTGTGCCAATGCTCTTGTGAATGTATCTGTGTGCGCAAATCGTGAGCGACATGTTTTTTACTCAAGGATTTTTTCTGCATATTCCCCTGATTCAATAATTGTAATTAGTATTTTATATTTTGTATGTTCCTTGCGTCATAGATTAAATATCTTGTGCATTAAAGACAACCTTGTGTGTTCAAAAATCTACGAAGCAATTTCTCTTATGTAAATATATATACATAAATATATATATATATATATATATATATATATATATGTTATCTTATTTATTTAAATAAGCATATGGAGCTTAGAACATATATTAATATTATGTATGTCTAAGATATGGAGTTGTAACAGTTTTTTGTATAATATGTGCATTATAATATGTGCATTCTATGACGATTTTGTATTTAATTCTGTTTTATCTTTTATACCTTTTAGTGTTATTAAAAATTAAAAAGTTATAGTGCCAATATTATCACTAGTATCTATTACAGTGATGGAGAAATGTCATCTCAGGGTGATACATCAAACTCTGTAAAGGAAATATCACAGAAAAGACTCGCACATTTGGAGAATTCGAACACGTTAGATCAAGTGATTTTGATTTTATTCGACGCTTTACAAGAATGTTTATTATTTATTGATGAAAAATTATCGTGCCATCAAATATCTACGATTGGCAATTCGCTAACTGATGTCAACAATAATGATTTTCCTGTGATAACTACTCGCGATGTTAAACAACGTGATTTTTGCGCAGGAACAGCGGAAAATTTCGGTAATGATAATCATATAAAAACGATCTAAGATCTTTCTACAAATATGAATGGTTACAATTCACAAAAGTGCGAAGTGAGCGATTATGTAATAATTTTAAAAACTGTTATGCAAATTTAGATTCTGATTATACAAGCCGTTGTGTTCAATCGACTGCCGTTTACTCCAAGATTTATGATTTTGCTTGTAAAAAAAAATCTGCAAGCACCTTAACGAGAGATATCGGTTTATCGAAAGATACATTTGATTCTACTTTCTGTCCTATAATTCACAAAAAATCATCGTATCGAGATATTAGTAAAGATATCTGCGTAAGCAATTATAATAGTCCCTGGTGAAGCATTAAAATTGTAGCACAGCGTAATGCCGATGATTTTTATTTAGGCAGAAAAGATGATAAAGTTAAAAAGATTAAAATCGCCCAAATGTAATTTAACGTGTCACTTGCGCAAAGCGAAAGATCCGCTGTCCCTGCAGGAGAAGTGTAAATTACCTTGTAAAATCGAATGTTTGAAAGACAGGATGAAGTTACCCACCACGGTGTACCCAATGGAATGTTTTCCTTTATTAATTACTGACAGGCAAGGTCTCCTTGAGATTCACATTTCACGGCTACAACTTTGCACATCGGTTAGTATATTGCATCCATTTATTTTTGAAGTGGACATGAACTTAAAAGAACATGATCATGTTGTATTCATTAGGTCACAAAAATCCCGAACGAAGATGATATATGTAATCTTCACATTTACGTAAGCTGGGATATTTGGGACGAGAAGACCGCTTACACGCCGAGACTGAAGTGCCCCAATCTGATCTTCAACTCGTCCTCCGTATATCGCATAGCGGATCTCTTTTTCTTCTTCAAGAATGTGCTGTTGGACTACCTCATCTTTCGAGTGAATATCGTTCGCCGAGATGGTACCAGCTACACGGTCGCCCGAGCGAAGGTTTCTATCAAGGACATCTTGGATTATCCGCAGAACAAGTTGCATTACATCGTTCCTGTGAACAGCGTCATTGCTTGCTCCTTTGGCGTTAATTACGGCCAACTGTCATTGTGGGTCCGGTTGAGCTGTAACGTTGACATGGTCGAGGCTTTTAAGAAGCAATGCGGCATAACCTCGTTGAAAGATGTGTCTCCAATAAAAAAGAATATGTTCCAGGAATCTTTTCCTTACAGACGTCCTACGAGACAAGTCACTGACGAGGAGTCGTTTAAAGAACAACAAAAAAATGATAATTCGGTACCCGAAGATTCAATGTATCAAGATACCCAATCGCCATCAGAATCAAGTAACTTTGAACAATTATTATTTGTATATACTTGCTTTGAAATTTCATTGCGAATTGATTTATCAAATAATTGCATTTTCTCTGTATGATTAAATTGATTGGGATTGTTGCGTTAGCAGCAATTATATTATAATCAATTTTTCAAATATTATATCTTAATGAATTAAATTGAATTAATTATATGTATATATTGAATTGTTAAAATAACATCCATTATCAAAAATCAGATTTTCAATACGAAAATGACAATTCGGATGAGGAAAATAATTACAGCAACTCAAATAATAAAGAATTATCTTCGCCCGTTAAGATGAATAAAATGTCTGAGGAAGAGAGTGGAACGATTAGAGCGAGAAAGTGAGATTTTTTTCGTTATCTCGTTGTATTTTCTCACGCTGTTTAAATTGCTTGCAAAATTTATTGCAACTTAAAAAATAATTTTAATCAGTCTAGATTACAAAGCGGGTAATAGTAAGGCGCGTAACGAACATAATACTTCGAGGGATTCACCGAGCGTGACGGAGTTCAAAACTTTACTCACGAATGTAAGATATGTTTAGCATGTTACGGAAAATTTTTGGGATTTTATGAGAAATAGTGAAAGCGTTTTATTTGGAAATTATCGAGATTCCGGACGTATTTAGGGCATTTCGCTGCTCAAAGGATCAAGCAGCACAATCCGCGATTTGAGCGAGGTTCTCTTGGATAAAAACTGGGAGAGGTACAAGCAGAGGAGTCTGCTGACTTTTGCCAGTACACTTAGTAATTAATTACGTCTGAATTTACATATGCTGATTGAATAGCTCGGTACTGAAATTAGTCGTCCGAAAACAGTTGCAGGAGCTAAGTCGTTAAACGTGGAACCGCAGGATTACCGAAATGACATCTTTACTTACGTACGAGACTGCTCCTTTAGTTTTACTTAAGATGTTCCATGAAAAGTGCTGGATTACAAACATAAATTTTCTGTGCTAAAGCTACCGAGTTTTCTTCATACTGTCTAATTGTTTAACGATAAAAGTTAAATAGTAAAATAAAATTTATTACTAAAGTAAATTAAGCTTTAATATTTTTGAAATTTAATTAAATTTTCTTTAAATTTACGATTTTATTGTTGAATGCAAAAAATTAAAATAATAGAATTTTCGTTGAAGACAGATTATCCATAAATTCATAAAAAAACTACATATGTTACCGTAATAAAGTTTAATACTTAATGTAAATAAATTAGCGTATTGTATACCAGTACATTTCTGATGAAAAAGCATATCTAAAAAAATTTTTTACCAAAACTATCAATTTCCAAATATGCATGACATTGAAAACAGAGTGAATTTATGTAATTCTGATTCACACTGATCTTTTTCAGCGCCATGACAATGATGCGATAATCATAGAAATAGTGAGCATGCAGCTCTTGGATGAAAGTTACGTCATGCAGGACGATGAGATAAAGTTACTTTATGTAGAATATTCTTTCCTCGGAAATCATGGCGAAGATATGGAGACCATTTCCGTGAAGAAACCAAAAACGGGTGCTCAAGAAATAGTCTACAATTACAAGAAAAGTATATCCCTTTCTTATATGCAAAAAGAAATATATTTTTTAAAGACGCGTTCTTTTCAAATATGAATTGAACGGAAAGTTTATTTTGGTTTTTGTTAAGAAATGACATTATAAATGCAAAAAATGAAACTTTCAGTTCAATCCGATATAACGTCAATTATAAATGAGAGAAATTGTATATTATTTAGGAAGCAATGTAAATAAGTTATACAATAATTTCATAATTTTAGAATTTTGGATAAATGAAGTGACACATCCCGTACAACGAGAGAAGTTGCGCGTTATGTTGGCCGAAGATATAAGTCCTAATATCAATTTTACTATTATTAGCGAACCATTACCCATCGAAAGGGAAATTAAAGATTGCGAGGAAATTGGGTGAGTGTATATGATTTGTTTTATTTAGATTTTTTATAGCGTTATTACAAATATATAAAAATTAATATTACTTTCTCTTGTTCGCGTTTCTCCCGTTTATGATATATAATTTTTAACTTTATGGTTGTATAAAAATTTATTTTATGAGATTTAATATTTGGTAATTGAGAGATTTCTGTTCTTTCGTTCTAGTTATGCAACTTTTAATCTAAAAAAATACGCGCTTGGTAGTGAAAGCAAATATATATTATTGCCGATCAAGGATAATCAGAACAGACAAATTGGAACACTGAAGGTAATATATTTTTTTTTGTTAAAATTCAAAGATTTTGTAGTAATTATTAAATTTAAATTCATGATAGATCTCTGTGTCTGGTATGCATGCCATTCGACAATGTTTACCAAAAATAAGATAGAGCAATTGGAATAGATGCAGATAGTAATGTGGGAGGCGAGTATTGCATGCACTTAGATTATTAGAAGATGATCGAATTGAAGTCGAAAGAGCAATGTTCTGCCTCAAGAAGAACTTAAAACTTTTAATTATGTGAAAGTTTATTTAAAATTGTCTACATATTTTCTAATACATTAAATTATGTTGTGATGTCATATTGATAAATAATATCGATACATTTATTAATCTTTAAACAACACGAGGCTCGTACTTTCATGAGCTTATATAAATTATTGTTGGTTTACAAAAGACTTTATACTTTTTAGCGCTGAATTTTTTAATCGTCTTTCTATCGACCGTTTTCTTATATTTTTGTTGAGATGTCTAAATCTTTTCCTTCTCTGCTTTATATTGATGCAGCGTGTTATTTAATTGCAACGTGCTATTTTGCTGTACTGTATTCGTCGAGATCTCGGTCGCGGTTCCGTTGTCCCTGTTACCTTTCTGAAACAATCGCACAATCTCTCGATGCTGCCTTTTCATCTCTGACGACAGTTTAGTACGACGAAATATATCGTTGTAGATATTTGTAGCTATCTGAAACTCTCTGCAATCCTGCGGGTTATGGGCGATCGACCAAACGCCCACTATCGTGTCGATACCTTGGCACACTCTGCACGCACCTGTGTGTAGGTTGTAGGTCTTTTTTAAAATTTTTGACTGGTTCCTCGCGTGTAACATTCATTAAATGCGAAATAACTAATTTATTTGGTCGCGCGAACATACCTGCGAACACCGCTAGAGATTTTGTGCGATTGTCAATGGCGAGCAGGGAAAACGGTCCACCCGTGACGAACGGTGCGTAACCGGTCAGATTCCACGTAGAATCCAACAAACCCTGATGAGCGGGCGGAGGTAGCAATTTCGCGAGCGTCACGTTTATGGTACGATTGGTAACTTTCATGTCGATTCGCACTCCACCCTGGGTAGTTACCCACGAACCTGATATCTTGCAAGGCAAACCTGTTTCGGATGAATATCATTAGTTTAGCAGTAGTATTTTGTTTTTTAACATTATGCTCTTTTAGATTTCTAAAATACAGTTTGAATTTTAATTTTATTAATAGCCTATAAAATGTATTTTAGCTAGTTGAAATTTTTAAAGAGAACTTATTGATATTTAGTATCAAATAGCTAATTAAATATTGAATTGAAATTTAATACATTGAAGCAGATTAGGATTATGCCCTAACCTTCTATCTGTTCATTTTCAGTGGCTCGATTTGATTTAATTTCCTCCAATTCGTCGACAATCTTCTCCAATATCTGATTAGCGACTTCCTTGGTTTCGTTTAATGTTGCAGAGATATTCGCACGTTGAATCTTTTCCGTTGCCTTTACCGCTATCACGGGTGCAAGATTGTCGCGTATTTGGCCGTTCTGGTTGGCTTGTTTTTCGTTTGCGCTATCGTTTTGGAATTGTCCACGGAAAATTTGGGCGGCTTTTTGTTTCGCTATACGATCCTTCTCAATTAACACTTGCTTCTGACCGTCGTTATACCAACTCTGTTTGATATCATTTTCTCGATCGGGAATCAAGACATGTTCTATTGGTCGATTGGCAATTGATTGAGAAAAAATTGGAACGTGATCGATAATTTTGCGCATGGTTTGTCCTGCGGGAATGACGGCATGAATATAATCGTTGGGTAAAGATGCTATCGCAGATCCAGTATCCTCGACGTATACATTTGAAGTGCCGGGAATTTTGCGAAGGATATGCGGCACATCCATCGAAGTGCCGGAATAAAGCACTTGCACTTCCTCAGGTTTACTTATCTCCGGTATAATACTTAAATTTGAGTACAAACGAGGAACATTTAGATCCTGATATTGCAGCATGTTGCTAGGAATCTGCTCGACTTCGATTTGCGGGCCGACAATGGTATTCGAACTAGTAGTAAGAATCTCCGCCAGATCAAGATTAGAATTGATAAAATTCTCGGTAGGAGATTCCATCTCGTTGATGTATATGCTTTCTTTAGGTCGATCGATGTTTGATTCAAGAAACTGATTATATGCCAAATCCTTCTGAGTTACCCCGGGGACGTAATACAAATTTCCCGAATTGATTTTCTGATCGGTCAGTACCGGCAAGTACGTAGGCGCATAATCGACATTATCTTCATTTGCTTGAGCGATCACAGAACGACCGATTTCCCAAGGTTTTATTAACGACTCATAGTCGTAAGTGAAATCCTTGTAGGAATCTCCGTCTGTGAATTGCTGTTTGAATCGCGAATGATTGTCTAATGATTTGCTACCAAAGAGAGAACCATTTGAGATTTGCCTGACGAGTCTATCATTTCCTATCTCTGTTTCATCTCCATTTGATTGTATTTTAATTGGTTTTGCAATGTCGTTGTCATAATACTCGGAATATTCAACTCTTCGATCGCCGGGATCCTTTTTAGAATTTTTTGTTCGCATTAAACGCTTGATCATCTTTTTGTTTGTTGGCATTCTAATTTTTCGGTGCCTCGAACGCGAAGAATTCACGATATTATGTCTTGAGTGACCGTCATTATTATTAGTTACAAAATTTCGTTCAACAACGTTACTTTTAGTCGTAGAAAATAACATATTTTTATTCACATTATTTTGATTCACTCCAATATTAACAGGTAGATTTATTTTCCGTCGTTTATTCTAGACAGTAAATGTTAATTAAATTAAGATTTTTAACTTAAAAAGAATATCTTTGCATTTTAAAATATCTCAAATAATAAGATCTTTCTTTTATTCACCTTAATATGATTTCGTTTACGTAACCGAGAATGTTCTTCGTGCGGTCTTAATTCATGTTTATTTCTCTTTCTCTTCCCTTTTCCTTTACGATTCAACAATTTATTCAACTTTTTCGTACTTACCGTACCTGGTTTAAGTACACTTTTCATTTGGTTTACCGGTAAACCTTTTCTAGAATAATTACGTAGAGTCCCGTTTAGATTTACCAACTTCTTTATATTACGTTGCAATTGCGGCGATCCGAGAGCCTCGTTCGCCAATTTCTGTGCTAGAGCTTTAGTTTCTTTTTGTTCAGGATTATCAAACGTAGGCTTCAAATCTATACTTTCGAATCTTTCATTAAGAGCTTGCTCGTTCAAATTCGATCTTTTTATCATCGTTTCCTTTTTGCCCGCATTATTCTGCGTGCGGAAAGCATCCTTTGCAGGCGGGATAATCGATTGCGTGGCAGACACGTCATTGCAAATTATTCTGACTAATAATGATATTATCATGACGAACCTGTATAATCGTGGAAAAGAGTTTTTGTGTATATGCATTGTATTGCAATAAAATTGTAGTAAATACCTGCCAAAAACGTACGGTGCCAAGCATACCTGTAGCGTTTGCTTGTACTCCTCGGTATCATTTACAGTGCATTTGCTATTCTAACGAGAAAATCCCTCTTGTCTCTCTCCTGTTTTTGAGATTGATTTGTTAATCGCGGCTCGAGCCTTACGTCTTCGCGCTTCATCGGCAAAGCCGAGAAATTGCACAATTCTTGGCGTTCCTCGTAACCACATCGATAGATGTGTAGATAAAAATTTGCGAGCGATAATCGAATGATGCTTTCTTCTCGTCAATCTCGTCGCAGATATCTTCATTATATTGAGGGCATTTTTACATTGAATTTAGCTTCTTGTTTTGTTCGTGGCTGGTAAATACAATTAAAAAAAACTGTAACTATAAGAGAAATATGAATTTAATTATTACTTTAATGTTTCTCCGCCAAAATTTTTTATCACGTTTAAATGTTGTTAATCGCAACAGTTTTGCTAGGATATATATATAATTAATATATATTTAGATGTATAACTTATAATTTAGATATTAAATTTGCAGCGTTATACTACATTATAATAACAGATTTGATACGCAAATAGATTTTATCTGCTCCTAATTTAAAAGCCGCGTGTAACGAAAACGTCACAGGTGATTAGTAGCAAAAAGATAGTAGTCGATATAACGTTGCTTGGATGTGTAGCCGTCTTGGTATTGATTTGGACCCGTGAAGAGAAATCCCTGGAGAGACGTGCAGGCATTGATTATTATTAGAAGCGGCTGAAACGCGGCTGATCGACCGCGCTACGAATTAGCACATGCAAACCCCATAACAATAGTTCTGTAGCAGTCGCGTTCCCATTTTAGACGTTTTGTTTGTTCAAACAAGAATGGTTTGTTATAATAAAAATAAAAACATTTTATTCTATGTTGAGAAAGAACGCTGTGAAAGAATAGGTGGTATTTTTTAAATTATCTTAAAAAATTTGAATAAAAAATAGAAAATAAAAACATTAAATAAATTAAAAATTGTTTAATAATATTAAGACTAATGTAAAAATTAAGAATTAAAAAAATGAATTATTACTAATTCGGTATTTTTTTAAAGATTAATAAGATAATAAATTGTGCATGAATATTTCCAGAAAAGATTGGAAGAAATGTACGATTACTTTTAACGCATACTCTACAATTAGCAGAAAAAATTTAATTAGGCAATGACTACATCGACCTAAATGTAGCCCAATTTAAAAATATATAGAAGAAATTTTATTAGCCTAGGACTAATGTAATGTGCAAAGAATAGAATTAAGGTATCGCGATTAAGGAAGAAAGATTAAGAGAGCGATTCGAAGCACCACGAGGATGTTATCGATGGCGGTGAGGAGGTAGAGAGAAGAAGAAGAAGAAACTGCGCTCGAGCATCGGGACGCGTTGTCGCTGGCATTGGTAGCAGTCTCGAGATAGCCGTCGGCTGGCTTCCTCACTGGCTCGGGCGATTTATTCGGGGATTCTTAGGTAGTCGAAGTGGCAAACGAGCGACTCGGCGACGTCGGCGGGGATCGATGTGGAAGATCATACGTAATCCAATTGCTTTCCCTTTTACGTGCTAAAGCCTGATAATCTGAGGTTGATGAGTGAGAGTCTCGAAGGTCCTGGAGGTCAGTGCACAGCTCTCTCTCTTTTTCTCTCTCTCTCTCCCCTTTCTCTCCCCTCAGGACAGTTCTCTTCTTCTTTCTCTCCCGATCGCGTTTCCGTTTCTGGCCGTTGTCTCTTCTTTCTCTCGTTCGTCCCGTGTCAGCTCAGCTCGTTGGTGCTATTTTCGCGCGAGTGTGTTGTGCAAGTGTCGAACGTTAGCATTAAGGTGCTGATTCTTATGTAGAGCTCATTCGATAGGTCAAGTCGTCATCTCTCACCCCGTTCGTTGGGGATATCGTCACCTCGCTTCGTTCAATTCACCCTACGCTCCTGATCGAACATACTTTGCCGTGAGCAATTTACGTGTGTTTATGCGCAAGTATAAAAGATCGTTAGATTATTGGGAAAGCAAGCGCCGTCGTCTTCAGTATGTTCAGTATCGAGAAATCATTCATTCAGTTTAATGAATGCTACAGATATAAACACACAATAACAATCTATATATCTACATTTTTATGTGCGACGACTGAAATTAGATTTACATAATTGATAACTAATGTCATTTATAAAATCTTTTTTATTAACATTGGATATTATATTAATATTATAATCTGCCTATAATATTTGAAGCGAATGACACGCGCAGTTGATGACGGGATAAACAGATGTGACAATAGTAATTTTATGATGCATGGTCTATTTGTCACATTGCCCGATTTGTTTTAAATGACAGGTATAAAAGACTGACATTCTGCCATGCGGAAGCGTGGCACGTTTCTTGTAACGAATTTCGCGATAGTCTCGCTGATCAAGGAAACGGTGTGAAGACGTACGAAGTGAATATTTCGCTGTAGCGAGACAGATACATATTAAATGTGGCTAATTAGTTTAGGTCTGGAATCCGGTGTCGCCGTCAATTAAATGTCTGTTCGCGTCGGTTCTAGTTTTCGAAATATCACACTTAAGTAACTGAGCAGCTCGTTCTATTAAAACAACTTATGTTCCATATTAATTTTGAAAAAAAAAAAGAAAAATAACGTAACATAGATACTATTAATTAAAAAAATAAGGCGCATAAAATTTTTTTGGAAATTTAATTTTAATTTTAATGTAATGGCATTTATTTATACAATCAATTTACTTCCTCGTTATTTATTTGGTAGAATTTTTTATTTGTTACAAAATCATGTTATGCGATTCTTTTATAATCATGCTTTTACATCATGCGCTACATTATAGATATGAATGTTTGCAGAATATCTTCGGCTAAATCCTGAAGACTGTTAAGAATAGGAATTCTTCTCGCGAATGACACAAGGAGACGGCCAATCATGATAATGTATACAGCATGAAATTTCTGGCTAAATGGAATTCTGCACAGCTCTCTAGTCGTGCTCAAGGTGCTTCATAAAATAGCTGCACTATTTTCCTGGCACGGTTTCACAGAGTCAAGCGTCCAATGAATCAAACCGTAAGAGAAGGCCAAGTTTTTAGTTTCGTGTAAACAGAGTTATACATATGCGCTGACACTTTAGGAATTTGCGCATAGATTTCATTTAGCAAAATGCGCAAGCATGGCTTACCTTGCGGAGAACAAGTTAAAAGTTGATAATGTAATTACTTTTACTGTATAACTTCAAGCAAATCAGTGCATATAATATTCATAAAATATTGAGAATTTTTTTTTCTTGACTTGTCAGGTTTTTCATGATAATCAATTATCATCAAGGAAATTATTATTCGATTTTATCGGTCGCAAAATATTTTTCCTGTTACATTAACGAATCATTGGACCGACAAACTTATTTATTGTTATTTGAAGATATGAGTTATTTATCTTTCGTTTTTTTAATTGAGTCACTGCCAGAAGTAATTATACGTAAACTGCTGATCTTTGATCACGACCTGCATTCGAGAAAGAGTTCTCTTCCTATGATAGCTCCGGGGCCATGTGTTAGGCCACGTGAAGTAGCGAATATATCGTTCACTGACACAAGGCCAGTATATTTTCATTACGGCGAGAACGTCGCGGATTAGCGCACGATTGCTTTTATTGCGTCAACGATCGCAGTTGTGATAATGGAAGCTGATATATAATTACAACGCTATATAAATTATTTTTTTATTAATTTTAAAACAAACTTTTGTAATTAATGTAAAAATTAACGACGCGAAATATGTATTTCAAAAATTGAGATTACACTGAAGTTACGATCTGACGCGCGCGTAGCGCTTCTCCCCGAGGATGAATCATTTCGCGCATCGATCCCGCGATTCAGCGGCTTCGGTGATGTGAAAATCGAATAGCGGAAGTGACCTGATTAACAGAGAAACAGATGAAAATGCGGTCAACACCGCGACGAGCCGACGGAGTCAGCCAATCGCGACGAACGGCTACGACTGTCCGCGTGTCGGAAATAGATCTCGAATGTCTCAAACCAAAGGTTGATCTACTGAGATGCTTACTTTAATCATCCGTGAATTACGCGACTTATTGTGGTTGGCTCTGATCATTAGGTAATGAATTACGGCACTCGACGATAGAATCAAGAACTGTCGTAAACGCCACGATTTTCCGCGGGAAAGAGAGAAATCTCCGTTTCTCCCGTCTTGATATCCGTTTCCGTTTTAAAACTTATGCTTTTTCTTTCACGCTATATTGCAATTTAATTGAGGTATTGTCAGAACTACTAATAGTTCTTTCTCGATTCAGAAAGATTTTATTTTAGTTGTAAATGTTTTAGTCAGTTGACTTCTAGTTGGCAAGTATCATTACATTTTTCATTTTGAATGCGGACTTAAACAGATATTAGACAGTGCGATTGATGATAACTTTATAAGATTTCTGTGGATAAATTTGCCGTGTTTTCTTGGTTCTTTGATGTGGATAAGTTACCTACTGATCGAAAGAGAGAACTTCGAGAACTTGCAAGCTTTCTTTGAAAATTTATCTGGAGAACATTTCGCAACGATGCGTTTAAGATGATAGTATTGTAATGATACATTAGCGTACTTATACATATAGATATATAAAATAAAATTCTTTTATGTAAATAATTTATTATAATGTATATAAATTATTATTTTTTAAATAATTATTGAAACAACAAGATATATTTGTTGTTTACTATCTATTATAATGATATATAGCAATTAATATACAATAAAATTAATTTGGGTGAAGCTAAAATTATATCAATCTTTGTATATCTGTTTCAGAATAATAATGTAACATTGAATACACACAACGATGGCATTTAATTCACGAATGAGTACTACATCCAAAAGAAAAAAAGGTATGTAATTTTTATTGTATTTTGCCAGAATCTTGTAAAAATATACTTTCCTTTTCTCTTCAATCAATTATTACGTGCCGAGGAAGCAAATCTATATAAATTTATCTGTCTGTACAATAAATGAATATAAATATGTTACGCGTTAAAAGATAATAAAAATTTATTGCACTTTATATTTAATACTATATTGGAAACTTAGAATTGCGAGGTTCAAATTTTATAAATTATATAGTAAAGATATTTGAATATTGATACTTTTCTACATATATTATTTATTATTGTATTGTTTTAGAATTTTCATTGGAGTTATCTCGTACCATCACCGGCAGAACGACAATTCAACGAGAAGTAACTGAAGAAGGCATACGCTTAACAGGCAGAGTGAGTATTAATCATAAAAAAAATAAGTTTCCATTTTTCTCAGCTTATTATGTTTTCTATATTTTTCTACCTTTTTTATATTTACATTTAAGATAAAACTGCTATACATTCTATGATTTACAAAGAGAAAAAGTAAAAAAGAGATAGATCAAATACAGCTGAAAAAATGAAGAATGCTAAGATACTAATGCTAATAATCGTATATGTTACAAAAAAACTTAATAGAATAAGGAGTATAAAAAACGAATTATAATAAATTCTATTTTTTATTTCTGGTTTCTGTAAGTTAGTCAGGTAATCGATAATAAAATATATCACGCGATGTGATAATAATTACGTATATTACAACCAAGAGAAAAGTTGCACGATTAACTAATTGTAAGCCAAACCTAATAGGGTTGGGGGAGGAGATATTTCGGTGCAACATCGCTAGAACGAAACGCTGCTCCGCGAAACGTGAAACGCGCCGACATAACGCATCCCTTGTGTGCATCGCGCAAAAGAGAACGATTTTAAAAAAAGATTGCCGTACGAAAGGCAATGAGCAAAAAGGGGAGGACAACGCGTGAAGACGAAAGACACGCACGCGTATCGCGGGAGTGCTCGAAATGGCGATGTGTAGACTACAGCTTTTGGCAGCGAATCAGGTATTCCATCTACCTCTGTCATGTACCCCATTTTCGGTCTCCCCTCGATCGCAATGGTTCTCAGATTTTTCCAATGGACTGACGTAACGTGTCAAAAACGATGATGCCGTTGTCAGAGACACGTCAACCACGCGTACTGAACTTATGTTCAGAGACGAAAAGCTCTAATATCTTTGTATATTTTCTTTTCATTATTTAATAAAGTATGTTCCAAAATCTGTCTAATAAAATACATTCGATATTATAGAAATTATATAAATTTTTATAACTTGTTATCTTATTATCGATTACCTGACGAACTTATAAAAACCAGGAATGAAAATTGTAATTTATTTGAATTCATTTTTTATGCTCCTTACTCAATTACTCTATTAAATTTTTTTGTAACATATATAATTATTAGCATTAGTATTTTAGCATATACTTTATCTTGAGACATTTCTGGAAATGAGAGATGAACTATTTTTAATGCAAACTGGAGACAAAGTCCGAAGGGTTTACACGATTTACGTTTATACGCGAGGCAATTGCCCGGCGGTTGGTTTTTATTCCCAGTCTATTTTTGATCGCCTTTCGCGTCGTGCAGCTTCAACAACAGCCAGATGCGTTTATCGGTCGTCAGTGAGTTATACGAGCGATCGCGAATTCCGCCCACGAAATGCACACGTCTGGCGCCTCGTCGTCGTCCAAGAGAATTTTCCAATCGAAATCTTGATTTCGAGAAAAAGCAGACAAGAATATAAAATAATTAATTTACACGATTATTGTAATCTTTATAATCAACTGTCTACTTGGTCAAATTCTGCAATCGACGTTTAGTTTCTGTAATCAGTTTCTTATTTTAATATTGTTGACAAGAGTTAATCACAACTGTTATATTTACTTTTGCGTAGATAAATAATCTTATTTCTTTCCTCCGGGATTAAGTTTAACTTTTCATTGAAGATTAATTCCCTCTTTCATTATGCCAAAAAGCTCTATTATAAATTGGTATTGACTTTGCACTCATCGCAATTCGTTCGGCTTCTTCCCTGAAGAAGCTAACAGTTGTTGTAAATCACCGCGAACGACCGCGGAACAAAACGTTGAAATAGCTTCAGCCATCCATTAAGTCGCGTGCGTGAAAATCGTTCGCTCGGTCATAAAAAATATGCAAGTGCATTCTGGATGCTCGTGCATGTGTGATTTTTCCTTCATCTGCCAGCGGACTGGTATCGAGTGAACGTTTGAGTTTAAATGCCATCGCTCATTCTCATCGTTTTTCATTGTAATGCTTTATCGCACTTATCCCGCTCGACATTGCCAACAAAGCGTCCGCGCACTTGTTTACGAGGGGCTTAACCATCCAGAGCAAACCACCTCTTGCTCTTTTTAAACTAACATTGTGTCAAGAATTTTGCGATTTATTACCAGGACTCGCATCGTTAAAGATGCTTAAGCTTAAAATGAAACTCCACTCGGTGTACCATTAATATCCAGGAAATTATCAAGCAATTAATAAAATTTACGCCTTTAAATTTATAACGAGGACATAGAAAGTTATTAAATTACATTAGAAAAATATGAAGGAAATATTAATTTTAATTCTGGGGATAATATTCCTATTAAATTGTCATGTAGATTCGAAAAAGTTGTTACCGAAATTTTTGTGGGAAAACCCATGACTTTCGCGACGCGAAAAACTTCCACGTGCGAACTCCTGAGCGCCGAAAATCCAGTATGGGCCATGCACGACTTTACGGAGATCCGGGTCCGTGTACTCCGTTCTAAAGCTGTATTGGAGAAGTGTAAGAAGGGTAGGCTATTTCTGGTCGTGGGAGCCGAGAGAGAGACTCGCTGTGCAAACGGCTCTTAGCCACTTCGTACGCAGAGAGTAGTCTCGCTTTCGCCGCGTATCGCCGATATACACCTTTCGGGAGGACCGCATCTTGCGGAAAGCCGAACGATGTGACCGGTGTAGTGAGAGTGAGGACGTTTTGCTCGGTGATCGGCACGAACGAGGCATCTACGCCGGCTAGGAAACCAACAGAAATTGTATGGAAATAATGGAGAACGCGTGCATTCGATTGCACTGGAACGAGAACCGAATAGACATGACATCGAATAGACGAGAATAATATTCGCGTAAGAAGAAATGATAAGAAGCAAAATAATTTTTTATTTCTAATAACGAAACAGAATAGATCAAAATTACTTCGAAAATTAGTGTTTAGTAAAAAAATTTAGAAAGAACTTTTACTTCATGAGATTAAATATTGTCAAAGAGTTTGGAAAATTCCAAATACTAAAACAAGTGATTATTAATTGTTTTTTTTTTACAAAAATTTTTAAAATGTTTTTAAAATTATTTTTTTAAAGAACTGCTATTAAATTATCTACATAAAAGTGCATATATGAAGTTCCATTAATTAATAAGTGGATTAATTGATAAATTAAGTTTGCGGTTCGTGACATGTAATGACGTAAGACAGAAAGTGTTTGTTTTAGAACTATAAATATGAAAAGTAAACCGTGAAATCCTCTAATATAATGTCAGTCTACAGGTGACGCGTGTGCGAGATATTAAGCAATCAAAAGTAAAATGTCAAACGTTAAATGCCCGCTCTGAGAAAAGAAAGAATAAATAATGTTGAGCAGATGTAAGCATAAGTAGTAAGACAAGTTTTTTTATAAACGGAAATATGCTAAAACCGTACTCAATTTTTTGAATTAATTATAAAGGCTATATTGGAAAATATTGACGAATGATTTAAATTAAATATTTTATTCAAAAAGAAGGAAAAAATTGTGCGTAATAAGGTATATTCAAAATCGAGATGTGTAGATAAATTGAAAGAGATCAAAGCGAAATTCAACGATATCGCGGCGGAGGCGAGACGGAGGCGTAAGGCGTGCAAATGATCGAGGGCGCAAAGTCGTGATTTCCGTCGTGTGAATGCCAAGTTTCGAGCTGATGTCCATTTGTTCGCATCACTGGCAAAAAGGTTTCGTTGACGTGTGGGCATAAATAACGCGATTGGACATTAATTCCTGAAAAAAGAAGCGGTATAAATCGATCTTTGATTAAAACGAGAACTTTCGTATCGCGTTCCTATATGATTCGCACGATTCATGAGATCGTCGTAAGTTTGAGTTCAGACAAATCTGAATCAACCAAAATCTCAAAAGTTTTAACATGTAAAATTTACTTTTATTTTAATATTTTAATCACAGATAATATCATAATCTCGAATTACCGTAAAAAGGTATGATTAAAAAGAATAATTTATTGTCTATCTCTATAATAGATTTTGAAGTCCACGTGACAACATCTATAATTGTTAAAAAAATTATAAAATATTACTAATGATCTCATCGAATATCGAATAATTATCTCGGAGGGAGACAATGTCCTTCTGCAGGATTACAGGTAGAAGTCGGGGTCTCCCTAGACCAAACTATTTTCCGCTTCTACCGCCAATAAGTCCAGCGGACGCGAAGCGATTCTGCCGCATTACTGGCAAATCTTACGGCTTGCCGACCCATCATTACATTCCGGTGCTGTTGGGCGCGCATCCTCACGACAAGTCAAAATGCAAGATCACGAACGCGTCGGGTCTCGGTCCGCATCACTACACCGCCGGTCTGATCGTCGGCGAAAAGAAGAAGCACGTGGTGCTCAAGGACTATCGTTACGTCTTCCCGATCCTGGAGGGCGAGGGTGAGCAACAACGTGCTCTGAGAGAGCTTCTAAACGCGAAGCAAACCCCGATTGAAGAAGCGGAGAAATTCGTGTACACGGTGGAGGAGCGAAGATGCAGCCTCGTGTTCCCAGCGAAGTTGGAAGCCGCCGTCAGGGACGGGGATGTCAAGGACGTAATGCTCTCGAGGGATTGCGATACCGTTTTGCTAAGGCTGAAGCAGGGCAAAAATGTGTCTGTTGATTTTAAGAACTTAGAGGATTTCGAGAATCTTTATGACGGCATGGGACCGCGCGAGGAGGTGCTGAAGGAACGAGAAAAGCTGGAGGCCGAGGCTAGAAAACGAAAGAGGAAGAAGCAGACTGTATTGAATTATGCAAAGAAGTTCTTCGAGGAGAAGGAGAGAGCAGCCGACGAGGAAGAGCTCCAACGTACCAAGCAGCTTAAACTAAGAAGCATCAAAGAAGAGATCAAGGAGGAAATGGCGGAAAACTGGAAATACGTGAATGCGGAACAAGCGAGATTAACATCTTTCGATGTCGTAAATATGTCGAATGTCTTCAAGGATACAACAAAACCCATTTCTAACATATTAGACTGGAATTCATTGCAGAATAATATGAAAAAATCAACCGGTATGCCGACGATCGAGAAAATGCCAATACCTGTAATGGCTGAGCCACAAATTATAGATCAAGAACCAATTTTATACGCTAATCCTATATCTGATAATGAGTTTGTAGGTGGTTTCGAAGCGGTCGCAATCGCAAAGCCGTTGACGCCTTTAATCGCAAAGCCGGACGTTACGTTGCAGAGTGCGATTCAAAGTATCCCGCAGGACGATCTCGAAGGGAGTGCGAACGTGACGGAGAAGCTTTTGCAGGCTGGAGAACAGGCGTTAGAATGTCTGCCTAAAATGGAGGAGATACCTGAAATCGTACGAAACCTGCCCACCGGCAAGAAGATTACGATGCATAACGTTAAGGGTCTCAAGCTGGATATTAAATCGGCGGAGAGATTTGTCGCTGGCCAAACGGTGCAAACACCTTCCGGCACTATGTTTGTGCCCGGTCAAACCTTGCAGACGCCTCAAGGTCCCATCTTCGTTCCCGGATTAACTCTTAATACGCCTGACGGTCCTCTTTTAATCCCCGGACAGATCGTGACTGTGAACGAGTTGGAAGGAACGAGGACGTCGGTGTTTGTCGCCGGGCAGACCCTAACGACGGAGCGAGGTGAGCGTTTCGTCCAAGGCCAGACATTCCACACAAGCGAGGCGGGGAGTAAGTTTGTCGAGGGTCAGACCGTTTTGACGGAGGAAGGCCCGAAATTCGTAGCTGGTCAAGTGAAAATGGATAGTACTTTTGTCGCGGGTCAGACCGTGGTCACTCCAAATGGAGTACGTTTTATGGCGGGTCAGACCGTCACGGATTATCGCGGCGAACCGGTCTTTGTGCCAGGACAGAATGTGCAGATCAACGGCAGGCACGAATTTGTGCCGGGTCAATGCGTCGAATCACCGAACGGCGAATCCAAGTTCGTTCCTGGACAGACATTGCTAACGGCTGAAGGTCCGCAATTTGTTCCAGGCCAGTACGTGACTACGAAATCGGGTGAGAAACATTTCGTCCCTGGTGTTGCTAGAGAAACGGAAGATATCCCGACATTTGTGTCAGGAATGACTCTAGACACTCCGAAAGGCCAGAAATTTGTCGAGGGCCAGGTGCTAAAGACTCCGGAAGGTATGGTATTCTGTCCAGGACGAACCGTTATCACTGAGAAAGGCTTCGAATTCATTGCAGCGAGCAAGTTCGATGAGGTAATCTTCCAAAACGCCGGTCCCGTCGGTATACCTGTGGATCCAAAGACTGCGAGTACGGTATCAACTCTTCAGCAGCGCGAAGTCTTCGGTCACATGGTGCAGACAGAGAAGGGTATTGAGTTCTTTCCGGAAAACGCGAGAAATTTACCGGAGGGCAGAAGAATCGTGCCTGGCCAGTTGGTCACCGGCGACAAGGACGGACCGCGTTTCGTACCGGGTGTCATGACCGAGGATGGCTTCCTGCCGGGTCAGATAGTTACGACAGAGAAGGGGGAGGAATTCGTGCCTGGTCAAGTAATTGATACTAGCAGTGGACCGAAATTTGTGCCTGGTCAGATAGTTGAGACCCGGACTGGACCCAAGTTCGTGCCCGGTCAAACGATAAACACGCCGGACGGACCACGTTTCGTACCGGGTCAGATCGTCGATACCAAGGTAGGGCCGACGTTCATCCCCGGTCAGGTAATCTACACCGAGGAAGAAGGATCTAGATTCGTGCCGGGACAAGTGGTGGACACGCCGGATGGGCCTAGATTTGTACCGGGTCGCGTAGTGGAGGCTGGCGAAATGGGTGTGACCTTCGTGCCGGGTCAAATCGTGCAGACGGAAGAGGGGCCTTGTTTCGTCGCTCCCGATCTCATTGATACGCCTGAGGGTGAGCTGGAATTCTCTGTGCAGGGTTTCGAGGTTACTCCCGAGGAGTTACGACTGCTGCGACCACAGCATCTGCACTACAATCCGCGTTTTCGTCATCGCGGCGAGACCAGCATAGATGCTAAGCTGTTGCACGAATTATCCGAGGCAGGATTATCCGTGGGGCGAAAAGTTGCGACGAATCTGCCTACGGTGGATGTGGATGTGGATCCGAAAGCGATGGCCTTAGAGCAGGCTCTCGCTGCGACGACAAAGCTGGGTCTGCAAGGTAGTACGGCGGTAAAGTTGGCACAAGTCATGTCGACAATTGCGCAGTTAGCGAAAAACATCGCCCTGCAGCAGCAGCAACAGCAGCAGAATTCAGATACTGCAAATGCAATAACGTTGACAAACGGTAATCGATCGCCTGTTATTGAAACTGAAGAAATGAAAACAAACGATGACAATAACGTCGAATCACTTCGGGGTATAATAAGGGCAGCGATCTCAGCAGCTGTCTTGATAATATCGGATGATCGACAAGTAATATTGGGTAATAGCAACTCTCAAGATTTCGTCTACTCCTCTGTCAGTGAATCGTTTAACATGCTGTTGCGTCAAAACGATCGAGACGTCGATCAATCGGTAGACGAAATCCTGAAAATTCTCTTAATTCCGCAAAATCGTAGTTTTCTTTGCCAAAGCGTACTGTCGGAATTATTAGACACCAAGAAATTATTAGACAGCAAAGTAGACATTCTCAAATCGACTGTAAGTTCAAAGCCGTTGCGGAAAGATGTCGTGCTCGACAAGCTATCGATGGTTCTCGAAGAGGAACATGGCTCGGATTTGATCGGACCGGCCTTCCGAACCGTTTCGAAAAACGATCCCGAGCTGGTGTCGCTTGTTTTGGAGAACGTGTCACGACATGTGGCGGCCGTGGCAACTGAGAAGGAGGCTGCGGAGACGGTTTACAAGGCGATCGTCCAAGCAATCCGAGAATCGAGCGAGATTCATGTAAAGGAGCTGTTGAACACCGAAGGACCGGACGTTCGTGAGATGCTGCTTCAAGCGGTGGGTTTAGCACGAGCTTTGGGAATGTCTGACACGGCAAACAGCTTGCTGTCGGTGATAAGCGACGAGAAATCTACCCGGGCGCTGGCGAACGACCGAGTGACAATGGACGTATTGAGGAGATTGGCAATTATGAGAAAACTCGCGGAGGAGCGACCACCTTTCTTAAATGCTCTTGGACAGCTATGCAGTGATCCCGAATTGGCTAGAACGGATCCGCGATTGCGAACTCTCGTGAGAGAGAGCGCCGCGTTAATGATAGTACCCGAAGAGACACCGTTAATGTCTTCGGCCGACGTTCCAACCGCGTTGCTACGCGCCGACAACAGTCTGGCAATGGAAGAGTTTCTACTGAGAAGAAGCCACAAGCGATCGGCTATTTTCATGATTTTGAAACAGGGTATGCAAGCGGTCGTGCCTAGAGAGGCCTCCAGGTCAGTGTTAACCGGTGAGGTCGCCTACACCGTCCTCGATGAGGATGGTATACATCACTTCGAACCGTTGCACGTATTTTCGGCGCTCAAGTTGAATCGTCCCGCCGCTCATCGGTTTTCCATGTATTGTTGCCCGGTAGCAAAGGAGGTGGATATTGACGGCGAGATAATGTCCACCACCTTCACTGGCACGACTTCGATTGCGAGCAGTCTGGATGGCTCTGCCAATGGTAGTTCTAACAAACAAGAAAGCAACGGTACTGCAACTCTGTCAAAATCCGAGCAATCGGCTGCTTTTTATTCAGTTAGCAGGGAGAACACGCCGAGTCTGAAGAGATTGAATGGTGCTCGGCAATGGAACAGCTTCGAGCGGGTAAAGTATTAAGAAGATGCAGACTGAACTGTAATTATGTGATGAATATTTGATTTTTATGAACCTTTCGTCAGAAAGCCAAGAAAATTTTATTTCACATAAACTTGATAAATTATGTTTACGATTAATCAAGAAAGTGATTTACGTTAAATCTTGCTAATTGATTCTCTCAGTGTTGAACGGTTCCAAAATCTATCTCTATTTTTCGACAATAATTTTATAATTCAATTGCTTTTTACAATTTATAAAACATCATCTCTATCTTTATTTCAAGGTACACTTGAAAGAAAAAGTCGCGTACAGTTTTTCGCTTCTATTTATGCCGTCGTATTTTTGTTACAGGGATCCTCGGAAAATTATGTCGTCGTGAAGGACTACGTAGCGGACACCGATGGATTCGCCGTAAACGTCGGCGACATCGTCGAGGCCATCGAGCACGACGGTTCGGCAAAGTAAGCAATTTTTAGTTCAAGGATAATTTAAAAAGAGAAAAAAGATGGTAGAGCTTCTCGATGAGTATTGTCACCGCGTTGCCTTTCGGATCGTGCGCGTACACGTGGGTGGCAACCGTTTCGTGGTGGATAAAATCCACCGCGCGATCTAAAGATAGCCGGCACGACTCATCGTTCACACGCGCGTAGGTCTCACGCAGCGCGTGTCGACATGCCTGCGATAACGATTGTCCAAGCTGTTTATCACCGATACCCGAGATCTCGGCGGTACATGCGGAAGCGATAACTGAGAGATCAGAGATCGGACGAGCGCATTTATGGCCAACAGGTGCATCTCGTCTATTAGCGCTGACGCTGATCTCCTCTCGCGAGAGAGCGAGCGCGGATAATATCGGAGCTTGAAGGCAGCTACTGTTTGTATGCGTAACCGCGGCCGCAATTACATACTTTCGCGACCACCGTCGAATGCCGTAACTTCTTCGCACGACCGTAAGGAAAACCCGGGAGCTTCGGTCACAAGCTAATCCGGATATCGAACCGTAAGACGCGGATCATTGCCCTGCGGGTGTAAGACACGCTTCTGCTTGCACACCCGCCTGTGGTGTTCTATTTTTATACCGCACGGTGGTTTTATTAGCATATCGGTATGTCCCGTCTGACATATGACGTAAAATTTGTAAATACTTTGACAGACGGAAAATACCCACAAAATTTACAGTCGCATAAAGATCTCGCGGTGGTGATCTCGATTGTGCAAGAAAATTGGCGTCCACGCGCTTGCTTGTACAACGGGTGAATAATCTGCGAATGGTCAAGAATAAAAGTCTCGCGAAACTGCGATCTTAAATCGTATGGGACTTCTGGAATGAAGAAATATAACGGCGGAAGAACCGTGCTGCGTGAAAATTACGCCTTGCTGTTACACGTCGTAAAATTAGCACACAGCACATGGCTTTCTGCTATATTTGCAAAATTAACAAGGTGGAACGGTATTTGCGAAATATAATTCGCAAATGGCACCCTCATTCTACCACAATGCTTGCGAAACATCCGCTTTAACCCCTTTGCACGTTTAAGATTTACTCATTGTAATGCGGTTGACTTCAATAACAAATTTATGACTTAACAAATATAACTTTTTTTTTATAAAATTCTCGTCGCACAACGGACGAGATCTTACAGCGGATGCTTCGCGTTGTTGTAGGAAAGCGAGGATGGATCCCGATCTGGAGGTCGAAGTCGGTGATATCTTGGATAATTCGGCCGCCAAGCACAAGCTTTCGATTCGACCACGTCGAAATCACACAGATCCGCGTGCTCGAAGCAGCCCGAGCGTCGACTCGAGCCTTCAAAGGTACGGCGTCGAGATCGAGACTGCAACGTTCATTTATATTTCCATCTTGGAAATCGTTTGATAACGCAACAACTAGAATTACTACGTTCCGCATCCACTAATTCTGTCGCCGAAAGCGTAAATTAGTTCTTCGATATTTCACCCCGTTCTCGTAACAAAGTCTGACCGATTGAAAATAGAATAATGAAGGCTGCGACATTAAATTTTGACTCATCAAGTCACACGTCACCATCGACTTCCTGTGTTATAAGATAACGATTGTCGTCACCGATAAAACGCCGTCTTCTTTCTTGTATGACGTAAACAACAATTAAAGAAATATGTATAAATTTTTAAAAAATTAACACAGATTTGTTTCGACAAATTAATAATCACAAATAATTTAATGAAGTATCGTTTAACTTCAAAATCTATATTATGCATTAATAGATTAAATATACATATATACAATGTTATATCAATTATAATACAACGAATATCTTTATAGACAAACGTCACAAAACTATGGTTTTGGCCAAAAATGCAAAATAATAAATTGCTATAAAATTTAATATTCAAATACTACTAAATCGAATATTTATGATGAGTGATTCTCGATAAATCTCTTTACTGTTGCATCGTTAGCACGTTGCATTTAACGGAATAGTCAGTCGAATTCCTGCGGCACGTGCGCGTTTTTGGATCGTTTAAATACAGACGAGACAGAAGCGACCCGTTGTCATGCAGCTGCATTGAGAGCAAATTTGGACTTGCACGATTCCGAAATAAATTCAACACCGCTGAATTATGACGACGCTAATGAAGATTAAGCATTTATAAACGTCCTGGGCCATAATATCTCGCGCGATCGTATCTCTGCGTGATTGGCGGCAAGCCAGTGTCAGTAGAACCGATCGTGCACAACTTATATGCCCAAGGAAACCTTCGAATGTCGAAGAGGCATTGTGTTAACGAAATCACGGATGTTTTGCATAAACTTGAACATATTTATAATTTTAGAAAATTATATTGTTAAATTAATTTAATATGCAATACATTTCATTATTACTAAAACGATATTCGAATTGATAAGAGACAGTGCAGCTCTCTATAATCATAAGAATGAAAATGTTACAAGATAAAACTCCTGTGTAGCTATTCGAGCACGTTCGCCAGCGGATTTTGCGTTCTGTGAATGGACGATGACTTCGATGACAAGATGGCACGATGCCTTAGTCATTCTGCATAAATATAACTATGCGACTCCCACGCTTTCGAATATCTATCTATATCACCCCTTTCGATAACATCCGATCCGATCTAGTTTAGTTATTAGATGAATTTTAATTGATTCAAAATTATCAGCAAAAGTATCAAGAACAAAATTGTGAACATTTCTGAACAATGATTTTTAAATAAGTTTTTAAATATTAAAAATGTACAATTTGAATTGCTAGAGATGATTATCAGAGATGATTAATGATTCTCAAGAAAATGTGTTTTATCAAAGTTCAACAGAGTCTAACAAAGAGTAAAATTTGTTAGAATTTTCGCAATCTTAGAAAAACGAAAGTATTTATTGTGACGGAGAATACTATTTTTTTTTTACAATATGCAATTATCTAATAGAATTTGTTACTTTACAGGGTATACGTTCGTACATCCGACGGAAGGCAAGGATGGTTACCTTCATCAATTTTAATGCAAACGGCGCTTAGCGAAGAGACTTCGTCAATGAGTCGGCCAGAAGATTCTCATTATCGACGAGAGTATGTACACGTACATTTTCAATTTTTAACACAGTTTTTATAATTTTCAAGTATATATATTTTCTTTAATTATATTTTATTCTGTGTCACAAGCTTAAAAATATTAGGATATTTCTAATCTTCGCTATAATTAGTATAATTAAAACCAAAATATTTTAACATTCGCTTTGCTTACAGGGCTGTCGTGAAAGAACTGATCGAAACGGAGGAAGAATTCGGCAAGGATATTCAGCTCGTCGTCGAACGTTATCTGAAACTCCTCGACAATCCTGGCGTTCCGCGAACCGTGCGAGACAACAAAGAAGTTATTTTCACTAATCTGAAGCAAATAGCTGATTTTCATAACACGTATGTATCTACGGTAGCGATAGGAAGACACAAAAGCACTTCAACATTGTCAGACGAGCATTCACGGATACATTATACAAAACCTGACACGTTTATATTTTCTTTAATTGATTTTTATTCATTTTATCGGTGAAAACATGTTAGATGTACACATTTATTGTCACACGCAATTGATCGCGAAGTTTTGTCAAATAATACCGTATCTTTTCTCATAGATTCAGTACAGTTGTGGAAATTATACAGATTAAGCACTATTATTTACTAAATTATTTTATTGCGTTAATTACATAGACATGAATGTTTTGTTTTGTTATTATACAACTGCGAACACATCGAAGAAACACATGCACACTCGAATAATCTTTTAATTTAATGTACATTTGTTATTGGCTGATCAGATATATTACCAAAAATTGTCACACACTCCGGTATTATACACGATTACATCATATACGCATACAATTCTCCACACATTATTCTTTCACTTATAGCGGAATACGATGTATAAAGCGTAAGTTTATAGCCAAAGCGTATTTTGTGTGATAGTGTGCTTCTTCGTACATGTGAACGTGCCCCAAAGATTAATCTATAATCTAAATCTATATTATCGCTTTTTAAGAATTTGATTATAATATCCTTCTTAATGGTAGACATAATTTGACACGTAACAAGTCAAATGTTAGTATAAAACTGCATAAGCTTGAAGTAAATATAGACATTTCTAATCTCGTTGAAGAAAATTATCATGTTACTCACGACATCGTACGACATTAATAGAAGTTAATTTGATTACTAACTTCGACCAAAGTTAATTCAATGCTCATCAATGTTGATCTTGCTGTTTTAATCTACATTTGTAGATTCTAATTTCTCCGTAAGATTTGTTTCCACCCTCTGTAGATCAGTAAATAATAATTGACAACCAAAATATACCATATTTTTGGGATTACCTTGCATTACGTATCGCTCCTAAGTGAAGCGTGTCGCATTCTGAAGATGACACAGACTTCCATTCCGTAGCATGTTAGGCGTGGTGTGACTTTGGCATGATAATTAATTCCGGCCTTACTTAGATCGTTCGGCAGGGTGTTGATCGAGGGCGTCAAGTACTATGCGGATCAACCACGTATGCTTGGAAAAACTTTCTTGAGATTGGTAAGTGCATACATCTTGCTAGTAATGTTTATTATTAAAATAATTTTATGTTAATGTTCGCATTAGCTAAAACTGCTAAAATAATCATTCTGATTATGTTTGTAATTATATTTTTAATTCTCTGCGCAAGAGCGCAAAGTGTTTTTTTTATATATGAGAATTGCACTTGTGGAAATATATAAAGTATGAAATGAAAGTTTTTCTATGAAAGTAAACATTGTGTCGAAGAATAAATCTAATATTACGTAACTGACGCTTGAATCGAATTGTTAATTACAATAAGACGCTATTCTATTTCAGGAGAGAGACTTTGACAAGCACGTGGCGTACTGCAGAGACGAACCTGCTGCTCAGGAATTTCTCCAGACAAATAACGAAGTACGCGAATACTTTGAGGCAAGTGTTTTATCATGATAATTGCAAAAATTCAATTCTTACTAATTTGTGATAATGAATAAAAGTGTTGTTCCTTTTAATTAAAATTAATTGTTAAGCTTAATTGACGAGACTGAAACGTGAAATTTATTTTCGAAACTTAGTAAATAATTGAATTAACTAAAATGAAATGAGAATAACTTAAACGCGCAAATTATAACAAATTGGTATTAATGTAAATATCAAGAGAATCGCAAACTAACATTTTATTTTTCTAAAAATATTCAATGATACTTGTGTCTGGATGGAAAATCAAATATTATTTATTATCAAAAAAAGTAATAAAATAAAAATATTAGAATAGATAAATATCAAATATTGTATATACAGTATAAATACTGTATTATATTTATATAAAATATCATGTATATATAACATATCTTAAAAAAGATTTATTATCTATTAATAATAGTTTTTAAAAGCTTTTAACACACATCACGTAATTGCTCCAAAGCTTCGAAATAAATGTCCTTTTATTTATAATTTCAATGCGTCACGCGCGTTCCAAGCTTTTATCGGAATTCCATATTCGATCGCCGCAGCGGTATGGATTGGAGAAAATGATGTAATTATATAACACGCGGGGGATATATGCGGGCGTGTGTCCAGCCCTCAAAATAGCTGAGTTTATTCTTAACGGACGGAACATCTTTCGCTTCTCTTACCTACGACTGATAGTGTCGAGATGCGTGATATTCGGAAAAATGTGTTTTTATCAAAATTCAGAATACGTCCCAAATAATGTCGTATAACGTGATAACCCGATAATACGATAGAAAAAGAATATTTCTCGTTAAATATATTTTGCTATAAATTCATAAATATTCATTTTAAGATTTATATTTATAATTTGTAGGTCCTTTAATGTGAAACTACTCTTTGAGATTATCCGTTAGAACGATCAAGGTGGTCTTGTTCTCAATGAGACTCAAATTCTTCCCTAATAAGTTATTTTTATCAAGGAAGACGTTTCAAATTTTTTCATTTGCGAATTTTTATTTATGCACCCTTTACATCCACGTGTTAGGAAATGAATAAGGGTAAAGGGATTGCTCAACTGCTGTGTAAGAGATGCAAAGACATCTCGGATCTCTGGACAGAGTGTATCGATGATCCGCGCAATCTTCGTGTTGTTTTCGCGCGCGTGGTCAGTCGTACACGAAATCGTCCGGTGTCTAAGTATAGCCGTTGCCGTATTGGTCTTCCGAGTATGCTGCGGTGGCGGTTGCGAGCACCCGAAGATTCCTTCTCAGTGCCGCGGACCACTGACCACCACACCGTCCGTGTGTGAGAATCTTCGCGCGATTCGCGGAATTTGATCAGGAGCCGGACTCCTGTGCGCAGTCCGTCTGCAAGCAGCCACGCGGACGACCATACCTCGACGAAATACCTCGACCGATAGCGATCTCAGGGTGTTCTCTCCTTCGTTCAAGGTGCGCGTCCGATGGTGGTACACAGTTCTGCGTTCTCCGTTCTCCAAACGTTGTCACTCTCGCTACCAAAGGTCTCGCGTCAGTCCCGCATCATCGTCATCTCGACATGCGGACGCGGTGACCACGCGCTCTGCGGGGGTGACACACACCCGCGTTTGCATGCAAAATTCAGTCACACATCCAAAAATACATGTGTTCATGCCAGTTCTTCCCGGTGTCGAATTACGGTGTCGGCAAATTTGTTCGTTGCGACGCGAGAATCACCTCCAAAGAGATACCTCAATCTTGCTTATCCCGAGAATGTGCTGTGATTTATCGTTTCCTTAATTTATAATCGCTCTAAATGCGAATGACTTCTTGAAGTAGATAGACACACATAAATATCGATATTAGTGTATGTGCGAGAGAATTTCAAGCTTGACATTAAATTTATCAAGAAAAGATTGTAAGACTGTAAGGAAAATGTAGCGTCAGTCTTTAGAAGAACTCTCAGGAATTTCAGTGGAAAAAAAAAGATTTGAATTTCCTATATTTTAATTTTGTGTAAAATTTTTTGTACGTAGAATTCACATAAAAATTTGTTTTAAATATCTATCTACGACGATGACAAAATTCCAATCATTTATGTTATATTTTGTTTCTTATAGGAGTTGAGCCAGACTCTGGGTGATGATAAGAGCATATCAGAACATTTAAAGCTCCCGATACAACGCATAAACGACTACCAGCTCCTGTTAAAGGTATGTAAAATAACATTTATTTTCATTCCATTATTAATATCTATCTCGCGATAGTAGCGACATTAATTTGAATTTGAAAAAAAGAGAACAGTTCCATTTCAAAAAGAAATTATTTAAAAAATAATGAGCAATACAAAAATTTTTAGTTCAGTCGTCACATTTTTTAACTAATAAAATCAATGTAGTGATAATACCAGACAACCGAATGTACAGATATACAGCACGACCTATATTTCCGCTTGAATTTTATTGCGCCTGACGGAAATAGCGCGGCGCTAAACCGCTTTCCACTTTGCCTTGAAATCGTGTCTCCTCGATATAATTATCACAGTCATTCATTTGAAGTATATACATATTACAGATTAATGAGACGCGAACTGTTTGTATTTTAAATTTCACATAAAAAATTCGATATTTTTCATTAACATTTGTCTTTTAGAGTATGAAATTAATTTAACAAATATTAATGAATATTCTATTTACATTTATTTTTTTTAACAAGTATGGAGGAATTCTAGATGTAACAGATTACATATCAAGAATGTTGAGACAGTGTCGTGCTTGTCGTGACTGATTCGTCGAAGCCAAGTAGATTAATTTTATTAGCAAGTGGGCTAGTTGCCCAGGGAAAATGAATATCGAGGCAGCAACTTTTGAAGTCTACGTAAGAGCGATTCGTAGTTAATAGTTTTTGGTCTATACATTGTTTGTTGATAGTACCATTGCAGTCCGCCGCCGCTTTAACGACTATGTGTTTTAAAATAAGCGTAGTAAACATTAGCCAGAAGTCTGAAATAATACCGTACTTAATTATTACTCGACATCAACAGGTTTGCTAAATTTAGAACGAGTGAATACAACCGTATTTTCTCTGTTAAGAAATCCTTCCTAGTTCTCGCGTTCTTTGATACTTTAGATTAAAATATCTTCGTAACTAGACACTGCTAGAAATGTATGTGCTAAAAAGACATCGCCGAATTTGTCGAAGAATAAATCTTTCGATAAATCTGGACTCTCTATATAAAAGCGACACTATAGAACCTTTCTCGTTTGTACGAATATATGTGGGCGTTGTACCGATTTAGCGAGCTAAAAGCGTGCACTCGTCTACACAGTAGATTAACCATCGAGTCACGATTTAGCTCTATGGAAAAACTCTCTCTGCAAACACGAGACAGGTGCAAGCGTAGAAAATTGCGACAGTAATAATCGTATCGATGTATACGATACAAGTTAATTCGGTCCAAGGATGACAGTCGCGACACTGCGCAAAATTCGTGCGATCGTAGGCGGACGGAGATAAATCTCATTTCGGTTCATCACAAAGTCATCAAATTTTTAGTACACAGAAAGAAATTAACTATTAATTGTTTTCCATGTTATTGTTTACAGGAGCTGGTGAAGTATTCGACCCGATTAGGTGAAAACTGCGACGATCTACAAAAGGCGCTAGAGTTGATGCTAGGAATCCCTCATCGAGCGACCGACAATAAATTCATAAGCAATATCGAAGGGTACAAAGGGAATATTCACAAACTTGGCAGATTACTTACGCATGTAGGTATACGCGTGTATCAGAAGATAATAAGTAAATTAAATGTGGAAGAGAATTAAAAAAATTATATATATTTTTAGGAATGGTACACGGTTATCGATAAGGAAGGAAAAAGCAAAGAAAGATACTTGTTTCTGTTCAAAGCACGAATTCTCGTTTGCAAAGTTAGACGGATATCGGAGGACAGATCAGTTTTCATCTTAAAGGATATTATTCGAGTAAGAGAAAATCGAGAAAACGATTGTGATATTTATGATTGAAGCATAAAAAATAATATGACAAATTCGATCGCTTTGTTTTTTAGTTACCGGAAGTAGAAGTGAAGGATCATCCCGACAATATACGATCCTTTGAACTACACAATCCGGCTGTGTCAAATTACCCTATCACTTTGGTAGCTCACAAAGACCCCGTGAAAGCTTGCTGGCTCAAGGAAATCCGTCAGTACGCCAGTGATTTAGTCGCTCTCGCCGAGCACGCGGCCGATGATCTTCAAGTAACTGAAGAAATACCGGAAGGCAAGGACGAGCTCAGGAGCGACGAGAAACCGGTGCCGGTGAAAATCGAAGCACCTCAAGCGAATCCAGGATTACCTAAAGAGAATAATCCAACGAAGGAAGAAGCAAAGACGAACCCGGGTTTACCGAAAATAGACGCGACTAAAGAACCCACGAAAGTTGCGGAGAAGAGGAAAGATTCCGTCGGCACGACCGATACATCGGAAGTGAAGAAGACTAAGGTCGAGGAAGCACAAGCAGACATGTCTCGAAGATATTCCGCGAGTCGATACAGTGCCTCTTCGAAAGTTGTGGAAGGTGAGAACTCGTTGATGCTCGTATCGTACCGGAAATTTTTTGTTGTAATTCGGTTGTCGCATGCGGAAGCTCGTTAAAGCTGGTGATGTAAATCGATGTTGCGCCGAATGTATGCCGTAGTTGCAACGCTTATTATTATTTATTATATTACGTTTATTTGTAAAATTCGAGAATGTCGAGAATAATTGAGATAATTTAGATAGATAATTTTCTTTTTGAGTTATCTGTTTCGACAGAATGCCGGTAAATATCGCACCGTTTTGCTCTCGAGTATCGTACTCGGAAACAAAAGATAATTTTCTAATTCGAATTCTATGGCCGTACTATTTGTCAAGTAGTAAGGTAGTTCCCAACTAATACCCCTATAGAGTATTCATCGATATCGAGCAGTCGTAATGGCGTGTCCTCGTACATGGAATCGGCGGCGTCCGCCATCGAGACGAGAATGTCTTCCTCGTCGCAGGGGATGGGTCGGATATCAGAGACGACTTCTTACGAGACTGCGATCGGTGGTGCAATAGCGGATTCGAACGTCGAAAGCAGAACACCTGCCATAAACACCGATCTTGGCACCGATGTCAGCAAGCCAGTATTTATCAAGACGATAGAGGGATGTAATGTAGAACGTAAGTATACGACATCGAAGCTTTGAACAATTACGTTATATTGTTAATAATTCGGAGCGCACAGAAGTAGCGTTAAATAATCGTTAGGAATAATACATTTCTCTCACGTTTCTCTCTTCGATTTTCACAAGATATAAGATACATTTTTACTGTTTTAGCGACGCGACCAAAAAAGGCATTGATACACGCCATAGGTAAAGTGACACGTACTTGCTTAGTTTACCAGCGTTCACTGTTCTCTACATTTCTTGTATCTTTTCGTGTTCTTCTTATAGTCAATAGAGCAAACTGCTTTTAGACGTAATATCACATTGCTGGTTAAACACGCTTCACTGCTAAACCATAGATGTTCGCTAAACACAATATCTACACTAAACACACACATTCATATTTCATTACACTGGTACGTTACTCTGACACCGATATCATCTCTACACACACACAGATATTTACATTGACATATCTTTACAGTTCACACTATATCGCTTCTTCAGTGATCTTTCACAGATAGTAAAACAATTTTGAAATATTTATTTAGAAATGTATATCCATGTATGTGTATATTATATTTTCAACGAAATTTTTTATAGCAAATGAGCAATTTTTTATTAGTTATATCAAATGATAGTATCTTTTGATATGCATTTTACATTTTAAAATTTGTTCTCTGATGCACATTCATATTTTCATGAATCACGATGTCAAAAGCAGTGTTATGTGTCAATCATACTCGATGTATACGCATATGTAACAGTCAGTTCGTTATTGTACTGAGCACATATAATAATTATGTTAAATCCATTCTGGAATCATTTTCACATTCCTCCCTATCTTGATGCTGAAAGGAATCCACGTAAATTGTACGACGCTATTTATTTTGAGTATTTTAGATACAGGACAGTTGTATCGGAATTGACGGACTCGCTTCTCATCATTTTCATTTCCTTCGGAATCACGACGCGTCGTTGCTTTGCGCTAATTTAAATTGTCTCTTATAGCTGGAGAAGTCGCCACTTTCGAGTGCACAATGTTAACCAGCGATCCGACCGTCAGATTGCAATGGTTAAAAGATAACAAACCAATGGAGGACAAGTTGGCTGATCGCGTCACCACTACAATAACGGATAACATGTGCAAGCTTGAGATTCAGAATGTTCACGAGTCAGATTCCGGCATATACATAGCACGTGCTCTGAATGCAAATGGTGAAGCGACGTGCACCGCTCAATTAGTGGTTCAACAATGTAAGTTATAATGTTATGATGTTACAATCTTAAACGCGATAAATAATTCTATTTATTTATTAATGTAAAATATTGTAGTGAGCCCAGAAGAGAAGAAGGCGAGAGCAGAAGCAAACGCTCCTATATTCTTGGTGCGCCTGAAGGATACCGAGCTTCTCGAGAATACCTATCTACGTTTTATGATTAAAGTCAAAGGAGATCCTAATCCGGAAATAAAATTGTAAGTTTCAAATTTTTTTTCTAATACAAGAACGCTCTATTTGTAAAATTTATATTTAAACAAAAATAAAAATTTGATTTTACTTCACAAAAGAGAACAAGGGACTCTTTCAGCTAACAAGCTGCATAACGAAAATTTAAAAGATGTGCAGTACACTGCATTAGAAAAATGTTGAAAAAATTGAGACATTTTTTTCAAACGTCTGTTGTTTGCAAAAAATTAATCCATTAATGTACATTTCTTTCTTAGTTTCAAGGACAATACCTTGATCGATGCGAAGCACGAACGCGTGAAAATCATTCGAGACAATGCCGAGAAGGGATTTTATGAGCTGGTGATTGCCGATGTTCAAAAGCAGGACGCTGGAAAATATTCGTGCACAGCTATGAATCGCTACGGCGAGGCCACGTGCGAGGCAGTGGTGACGGTGACAGATGAAAAGCCGCTTTTCCAGGGGCTTCCTGAAGGTCTTCTCGAGCTTGGTACCGAGCCGCGATTCATTTGGATGCGCGACGGCCAGGCGTTTGATCCTGAGGAGAGATTTAAGGTTCTTTTCAAGGATAACGAAGACACTCTGGCATTGGTGTTCCAGCACGTGAAGCCCGAGGACGCTGGTCTTTACACGTGCGTAGCGCAGACCAGCACAGGTAAAGATTATATTAGTAATAATTAATAATATTAATTTAATATTGCTGTCGCGTTACAGACATTATATTAATACGTTGATTTATGACCATTCTCGAATACGTAGGTAACATTAGCTGCAGCGCGGAGCTGACAGTGCAGGGCGCTGTGAATCAGTTGCTGAAGGATCCAGAAAAACCGAAACTTCAAACGGAATCGAAGCAGTCCGAGGTGAGCGCCGGTGGTTCCGCGATGTTGGATCTGCAGGTGAAGGGTTATCCCAAGCCAAACATCAAGTGGACCAAGGATGGCGAGGAGATTATAGCCGGTGGTAGAATTAAGTACCTCTGGGAAGATGAGGAGTCCTTGTCGTTGGTGATTAAACAGGTCACCGCTAAAGACGCCGGCGTTTATACTATCAAGGCGAAGAACGAACTCGGAGAGGACAGTACACAGATCGAGCTGATCGTGAAATCTGCGCCGAAGATCACGAAGAAGCAGCCTGATATGATGATCCTCGTCGAGGATACGGGCACGATGACCGTGCAAGTGGAGGCTACCCCAGCGCCGGATGTGACTTGGTACAAGGACGGTCAGTTGATTGAGGAGAGCGATCGTATCAAGATCATCAAGGAAAGCAGCGATACGTACAAGCTTGTAATCAAGAACGCCAAATTGACTGACGCTGGTTCATACTCGATTGTTGCGCGAAACGAGATCAATCAGACGACAGAGATCTGGAAAGTCGGCATCAGATGTCCACCGAAAATTAAAAAAAGACTGGGCGAGCCTCGAGTGATCAACGAGGGCGATACGTTGAATCTCTTGATTGAGGTGGAATCTGACGGAGAACCGACAGTCAACTGGTACAAGGACGGGGAGCTTCTGACCGCGAACGACCGCGTGAAGATGACGAAAAACGGAAACAATTGTATACTCACAGTCAATAATGCAAAGGTGGAAGATGCGGCGATTTACAAAGCCGAGGTGGTGAACAAACATGGAACAATTTCGGACGAGACGAGAGTCAGGGTATATAATCAGATCCTATTTTGAGAAATAATAATCTTTTATATTCTGCTCAACTAAAATTTATTTGGAATTTGTTAAAAAATTCTGCAATTGTTTTTTTAAATTTTATTGCAGGTACGCGGTATACCGAGATTCAAGACGAAACTGTGCGACATTACTGCAAACGAGGGCGAATTAAACGTTGAATTCGTGGTCGAGATCGAGGGCTTCCCGAAGCCGAGTGTGCATTGGTTCCTCGGCGATGTTGAAATCACGGAAAAGCGCACAGAATACACTCGCGTGGAAGAGGGCGACAATTACAAGCTGATCATCAAGGAAGTGAAGACCGAATTGAGGGGCCATTATACCTGCAAGGTGCAGAATGAGTATGGCGAAAATTCGAGCAGTTCCAACTTGACAGTGAATACTCGGCCGAAGCTTTTGAAGAAATTAGCGGACCAGAGATTGAAGGAGGGTGAAACGCTGAAATTGACATTTGAAGTGTCCGGCACACCGGATCCGGAAGTCAAGTGGTACAAGGATGGCGAGGAAGTGACAGCGGACGCTAGAATCAAAATCACCAGGGACAGCCAGCGCAGTGAGAACTACGATCTAACGGTGACGTTGTTGAAGGGCAGCGACGGCGGCTTGTACGAAGTGCGAGCAGAAAACGAGCTGGGTTACGTCACCAGCAAGAGCAAAGTCATCGTGTTGAGTAAGTTTCCGCGTCTCTTCATCTTTTCTCCTAACTCTGGAACTCGACTCCGTCCGACGCGAGCCTAAGTCCGGTTATAAAATTGTCGTATCATCAATCGTCAAATTTAGTACAATAATAACAAAATGATATTAATCCAATACTAAAGAATTGTACTTTAAAAATTATTAATTTCCGTTTTCCAAAAATTGTATCGCAATTTTTGCAACAGCAATATTTCTTTTGATGTGAAAAATCATAGTTGATATTACAATCGAGTTCTAGAGTTAAACATAGGGATAATTTTGGCAGAGTTAAAAAAATATTACGACGAGGGCTGATATCGTGATATTTGCCGAAACGGTGGTCATCAATAAAACAGTAATTGCATTTCTAATTTTTGAGAAATCGCAGCGGTAAAAGTCGTCGTATTTCGACAACGTTCAGTAAGTACTAAATGTATAAAGCCGTACCATTCCCTCTTCACATTTTGTTCTCCCGATATCAATAACATCTTGGGAATTTTTTGGACGGCCTTTAACAATGAGAGTCAATCGATAGATTTTTTTTCTCGATAGATTAGTTTCTGTAGTTGTGTAAAAGATCTGTGTGTAGAAAGAATTCTCCTGATTTCTTTAAACGAAAGGGAGAAATATTTTCGACGCGTCACATTATTGACGTTGACGCAAAATGTGTTCTCTGTTTTCTCTTTTCATATTCTTATTAGCCCATTCGTAGATTATCACAATTGACTTTGTGGTGCTCCGAAATTCTTCCGATATCTTTTTGAATCTCTAAGTGTCATAACATGTTGACATATCACGTCTTGAAACACATCACGACAAAGACTCGAATGAATGTACTTCCGTAGCTGAGACGGAAGATGAGAAGGTCGAAAAGTTAAAACCTCCGAAAGAGATAGCCGAGGAGGTGAAGGTGGAAGAAACGCAGGCGAAAAAATTGGTGAGGGAACAATTGCCGCAGGAAGAGACTCTGCACGCCGAAGAGTCGGGATCAGAAGGTAATCATGTGCGGTAACTTGATTAGCTATAAAATTAGAATGCATAAGAGTGAGAAATGCAGAGATTTTGACTTTGGAACGCAACGATCCAACGACGTTTTGACAATTACAAGAGCATTCGCGACGTCGCACGCTTCAAATAAGGATTTCTTTACACGCTAGAATAAGCACTTTTGCTCTACAACCGAATCAAAACATCTCTATTAGATAATTAGTATTAAAAAACACTGCATGCTAGAGCTGAATTACGTTTTTTGCAACATTGAATTTTTGAAATTTTCTTGTTTGATTTTTCTTATGCTTTCATTGACTGAGTATATCAGAATTTATGATTAGAAACAGAAGCCACTTTTGTTATCGACTGTTTCTTGAACGTTTGTTTAAGCGCACAATAACGATTTTAGAAAATTAGGTACATTCGTGTAGTGCACATTATAATTCGTATTGTAATTTTATCACGCATAAATACGCACGCTACGTAATTTAGCAATATCGAAAAGGTAATTTGAGTTATTTGGCGGTAGAAACAATATCTGATAAATTTAGGTCGCGTCAAACTGGAGAAACAAAACATCCAAGTAGTTCAAGGGGACAATGAAACAATCACGATCTCTGTGGCCTCCACGACATCACACGAAGCTATACTTACAGGTAATCTTACGTATACCACGCATTATCATTCAACCGAATATCCGATCGACATAAAAGTTTAAAAGGCGTCTTTTAAAATCCTGTAAAGTCTTTTAAACATTTGTGTTGTCTGGATATTCCATAACTAACAGTCACACAAACAAACAGAAAAATACGAGATGCGTCTCCTGAAAACTGAATGTACTCAAGTTCGCTTTCAAAGATAGTTTTCGCTTCAAAATTTTCATCATCGTCTACTTTTAACGTAGTCGAATGTATTTCTATCTGACGCATTATAACATACATCGCGTGATTTAAGTAATAAGCGTGCAATTTATGGAAACAGCTCTATAATAATTCCAACTCTTTAGTAATAATATGAAGAGATCATATCTAAAGATATGGACATGTTACGCGCAATTGTACGCGGATCGCTGGTAGTCGAAGGTATTAGATCAGACCGTTCGCAGGTCCCGGCGAAAGCCACACGATCAGCAAGATGACGGCAACCAAAGTTGAGTGTCGGGAATTCGGTGTTGATTCGGGGCCCCACGTTGAGGAAGTCGCTTCTTACGCTTACACCGTGCAAGAAGAGAATTCCAAGCCGCAAAACGGTGTGCTGATCGAGGAATTCTCGGAAACTGAGGAGAAGAAGTCAAATTTGGGCGTTAATCGGGGCGTCACAATTGTCTCAGTTTCCGACGACGAATCGACTTTGAAAGCCCTATCGCGAGACGTCAGCACGGAGGACGTGCAATTGGCTGATCAACTCCCGGAGGATCAGAAAACGACGAACGGCATTCTCGATGAGCTCTTCTTCAATGGCACGCCAGGAGAGAAAACTTTGGAAGATATTAAGTTACATAAGATCTCCAAGATCACAGAGACCATCGCCGAGGAGCGTTCTCTGGAAGAACCATTGTCGGCGGAGTTGTCGAATCAAACTCTGAAGCGAGAAAGTGTAGATGTGAAAACGATAAATTTGCCCAGTCAAACCTCCACAGTTAGCGACACGAGTCCGGTGAAGAAGGTCGCGGAGAAAACTCTGGATCGACCAAACGCAGCGCGACAGTTGTCGAAGGAAACCGCGAAGTTCGAGAAGACAGAAGCTTCGGCGTTGTCAAGCGAAACGTTGTCGAGACAGAATTCTCAGAAGGCACAGCTCGATGACGACGAGGAGATCGATGAGGACATGAAGGATCTTTTAGCTCGTGTTAAACGACAACGTAGCGTGTTAGATGAGATCCTCGATAAAGAATCGGACAGAGAGTCAGGTACGACCGCGCGGTTCCATGGGTAGCTTTAGCAGTTAACTCTAATCTCTCAGCACTACGACTCGTCGAAACATATTGTTGCATCACCTCTACCTATGGTTGACAGATTCATCTCGCTAATTCTCTCACCTTTTTCTTTCTCTCGCATGTGATACTCTCACAATTTCATTTGTATAACAATTCGCATGCTCGTGTGGAAACATAAATATCTATAGAAAGTTTATCGATGGGAACTTATAAAAATGTATTTTTGTAATTCTTAGAAATCTTATTTGCTCTTTCTTTATTGATGTTTATAATATGTTAATGTATTGATATATTTAAGTTTTTAAATATGAGATTAATTATATAATATTAATATTCACAATAATCAATTAATCAATATGTTATTTATGCTTCCATGCGCAATATTGACTATCTGTATCTTTGGAATTTCGATTTTTATAGTTACTCTTCGCCAACTTAAAAAAATATTGAGGTAAGATTGTGGCTTTTATTCTATAAAATATGATAGTCAATTTTATAATCTTCACTATGCGGTTTTCTGAGCACCTACTACTTTAACCAAGAGCTAGGTAAGTATATATTAAGAACGTACAATATTTAACAGATATAATAAAACACAAATGACAAAGGAATAGATTGCATTTAAATTTATATCTGCACATATTTTTATTTTAAAAAATGAGACTATTATCTTCGTTTATATATACAATATCTATATCTATAAATTTTAAAGAATTATTTATATTAATAACTCTTGGTAATTTTAAAATAGTTTATTTTAATTATGTAAAGTTAAGATTTAAAAAATTAAATATCAAAATTAATTGATACAAAAAAGATACAATGTGAAATAAATTAAATTATAGAATGTCACGTAACAGTTTTAAATAATAATATAAATTGAAATATATCATATAATTTTCTCTGCAAAAAAGAATTTAATTGCATAACAACGTTCTTTGGCCAACCATACCCCGATGCATTCTATTACAATTTACTACTGATACTGAGATAGGATTTGTTTAAACAAGGCATGCTTCCTTGCAAAATCAACTTTTTGATAAATAATAACTCGTTATTCGCGTGTCATTCCTCGCAGCTCCGCCTCATGTCGTGAGCACAGATCTCACCGATCGAACGATTTTCGAGACACAAAACACGAAGTTCGAGGTGAAAGCCACTGGTTTACCAAGACCAGACGCGAAGTGGCTTAAAGATGGTAAGGTTCTTCGAGCTGGGGAACGGGTGAGGATTACAACTTCAGGAGAATCGTATGCATTGGATCTCAGCAAGGCCACTCTCGAGGACGAGGGTCTCTACATGTGCGAACTGACGAACAAATTGGGCGAGGAAGTCGTGGAGGGTTACCTGATCATCGAAACCGTCGACCAGCTTAAGAAACCGAGATTTACTGAACCTCTCAACGATGTCGATGTTGCCCTCGCAGCTAACGGCGAATTTAAAGCTGTCTTCACGGCCGATCCGGTCCCGGACATCACATGGTATATTATTTACAATATATCGTAGATTATAAGAGATTTTTTTTTAGTAAAAGCAGGATTTTATTTAAATAAAAATTATTTAATAGAAATGTTAAAATTCCATTTTGAAAAATACAATATATTTATATACTAGAACATAACAGGCGCGCGCTTCGCGCGCGCTGCGTATTGAAAAGCAGGTAACACGGCAATTTTAAGATAGGACATAATTAGAATTCATTGTTTTAATCGAAAAAAAAAATGTTATTTTTTTCAGGTACTGCAAAGGTCACGAAATTCCGCCTGATGATTCCAGAATTAAGCAAACTGTTACTAACGGACCGGCAGCGGATAAATTGACGGAAAGTAAAGTCACATTAAAAGTACCGAAATGTACTAAAGAAGATACCGGGGAATATACTTTGAAATTAAAGAATAAGTGGGGTGAAGCCGAGAGTAGCGTAAGTAGCTGAATGTAAGAAACATTTAATTTTTAATAATTAACACACATTTAATAATTAATAAGATTTTTGTTTTTTTAGGCATTTTTGAGTCTTTTATTGAAACCGGAAATTGACAGCTTTAGAGATCATTCTGAATCAGTTGACGAGCGTGTTGAATGGCAAGCTATTATTAAAGGAAATCCGAAACCCGATATTAAATGGATGAAGGACGGCACGGAACTGCAAAAGGACGAACAATACGACATGGAAGAAGATAAGAGAAATTGCAAATACAAACTCATCATTAAAAAGCTCCGTCTAGAAGATGAAGGCACCTATACCGTTATAGCAAAGAATTATTTGGGTGAAGCAAGTGCTCAAGCTACTCTCACGTCTCACAGTAAGTAAATCAAATTCTTAGATCATAACACACGCAAGCAATGGAAAAAATATTTTGTTGATACTTCTATTTGAATGGATTAAACAAATTCGAAATAAAAACACATTTGCATTTTTTGCAGCTGAGGCTCCGATCTTCCTGAAGGATCTGTCAAAGATGCAGTGCAACGATCGCGAGGACGTCGAACTGAAGATTCGCGCGACCGGCATTCCGAGGCCCAGCGTAGAATGGTTGAAGAACGGTGAGGTCATTAAGGAGGACGAAAGGTATCAGGTGATGACTCACGTGGACGGCATAGTGGACAGTAGTCTCTCTATCAAAACCTTCTCTGCGAAAGATGTCGGCACAATAACATGTAAAGCGAGTAATGTCGCCGGAAGCGTGCAAACCGACTGCGATCTATCCATGACGTTGGCCGCGCCATCGTTCGGTAAGGCGTTACCGAGATCGGCGGATGTCGACGAGGGCGAGCCTCTGGAACTAAAGGCCAAGGTGGATGGTAGCCCAATACCCAACGTCGCTTGGTTCAAGGATGGCGAGAAAATCACGCCGGACGATCATGTGAAGATCAGTACTTTGCCGGACGGTACCACTAAGCTCACGATCGACGAGGTGAAGCCTACTGATTGCGGCGCCTACAAGCTCGTCGTTGCGAACCCCAGCGGCGAGAATTCTTCACTTTGCGCCGTCGCTGTCACGCGTGAGTAAATTTTTGTTCGCTTTATTAAAATAAGCTTAAATAAAATCTTTAATATAATATTTGTAATACGATCACTATCTTGATATAAGATTTGCGTTACAGCTGAACGAAGGAGACCGTCGTTCACGAAGCCGCTGGAAGATACAAAGGCTGTAGTTGGGCAACCGTTGAAACTGGAAGCTCAAATCTTAGCGTTCCCGAATCCGCAGGTGCAGTGGTTCAAAGATGGAATACCGTTGAGACATACGAAGGAGATGTATTTCATGAACGAACCGAACGGTCTTATTGGCTTGAAAATGGATTACGTGCGTCCAGAGGACGCAGGGACCTATTCGGTAATCGTATCCAACGCGCTTGGCGAGATCACGGGTACAGCTAAGGTAGAAGTGGAAGAAAGAGAGAAGAGACCAGAATTCGTTGCGAGTCTTCAACCGCAAACCGTTGTCGAAGGTTTCCCGGTGAAGATGGAGGTGAAGACCGTAGGAAAACCAACGCCCGAACTCAAATGGCTACGAAATAATGAAGAAGTTAGTATAATATTGATATACATATATTTTAAATTAATATTATTATTTCTCAACAAAATATTCATAATTGAATGTGTTGTCAGATTGTCCCGGATAACAAGCATGTAAAGATCATCAGTCAACCGGACGGTAGTCAAGCTTTGATTCTCGATAAGGCAACGCCAGAAGACGTTGGCGAGTACCAGGTAGTAGCCGGCAACACGGAAGGCACTGCGTCCTGCAAAGCTAAGCTGGACGTTGCTGGTAAGGTGAGGCCGGACACGCCGGAGGAGAAGCCGACATTTACCAGCCCTATGCGCGACGTATCTGTCGAGGAAGGCCAGCCGTTGATGCTGGACGTGTCATTCATCGGCAATCCAATTCCCGACGTGAGCTGGACGAAAGACGGTGAACCGGTCGAGCCGTCGGAACGCGTGACGATGAGCTGCGATGGGAAGAAGGTCGGTCTGCAAATTGATCCGTGCAAGCCAAAAGACGCGGGCGTCTACGGCTGCCGACTGAGCAATCCATCGGGCGAAGACACCACCAGCGCAAACGCCATCGTCCGCAAGGTCTACCAATCGCCGACCTTCACACAGAGATTCACGGATCTACAGCAGCTGCCTACATTCGACGCCAAGTTCCCGGCCCGTGTAACCGGTATACCGCAACCGGAGGTGACCTGGTATTTCAACGACAAGCCGATCCTAAAGGACAATGACAAATACAAGATAAAGCGCGACGGTGATTCCTGCTGCTTGTACGTGAAGAATTGCGCAGACGATGACTCGGGACGATACAGGTGCAGGGCAGTTAACAAGGGCGGCGAGGCGGAATGCGCGGCGAATCTAGCTGTAGTAGATAAAATGTAAGATTTCACGCAAGAAAAAAAAGAGAAATTTTTTAGCTTTTCTACGTATGTTAACATGTACATCTGTAATTTCAGCCAAAAAATGCAGAAGGTCGAGCCGCCGACATTCCTGAAGAGGATCGGCGATTGTGAGGTCTACAGAGGTATGCCGGCCAAGTTCACCGCGTGCGTCACGGGATACCCGGAGCCCGATTTCGAGTGGTATCGCAATGGTGACCGGATTTGGCCCACTGATCGCATCAGGATGGACCAGGAGGGTAGTCTGTTACGGCTCACGATAGTTAACGTGGATGAGCTGGATGCCGGAAAATATGTATTGAAAATATCCAATCCTCACGGTGAGGATTCGTGCAGCGCCGAGATGGTTTACGAATGTAAGTAAATGCGTAATTTTTATCTTCGAGGATATATGTTGCAAGATTTTTAAAATATTTCATTTCGCTTGATATTTTTTAATTTCAGCTTTGGAACCACGCGCGAAGAAGCCTCTGGCCGATCAGTACGCGGATTATGATAAATACCAGAAATCCGGAATTCCGTTGCCCCTGGCAGATCGTCCGATCATCAGCCGTATGATGGATCGACATCTTACCCTTTCGTGGAAGCCGTCCATCCCGATCGGGCCGCGAGTACCTGTGACCTATTTGGTGGAGATGTGCGAGCTCCCGGATGGCGACTGGTTCACCGCTCGCAGTGGTATTCGCAGCTGCGTCTGCGACATTCGCAATCTCGAGCCGTTCCGCGATTACAAGTTCCGCATTCGCGTGGAGAACAAGTACGGCATAAGCGACCCATCGCCGTTCGCACAAACCTATCGCGCGAAATTGGAACCGGAACCGCCCAAATTCTTCCCGTATCTACCGCCTGGTATCGACTTCCGTCCCGAGACCAGTCCGTACTTCCCGAAGGACTTTGACATCGAACGACCTCCGCATGACGGCTACGCTCAGGCGCCTAGATTCTTACGACAGGAACACGACACTCAGTACGGCGTGAAAAATCACAATTGCAATCTCTTCTGGTTCGTCTATGGTTATCCCAAGCCGAAAATGACGTATTATTTCAATGATCAACTGATTGAATCGGGCGGTCGATACGATCAGAGTTATACCAGAAATGGCCAGGCGACTCTGTTCATTAATAGAATGCTTGAAAGAGACGAGGGTGTTTACGAGGCCGTCGCTACAAACGAGCATGGCGAGGCCAGACAAAAAGTAATTTTAAAAATCGCCGAGTATCCCACGTTTATCGAAAGACCCGAAGAGACTATCGTAATGGTGAGAAGAACCGGCCAATTGACTGCTCGCGTAACTGGCGTGCCCTATCCCGAACTCAAGTGGTACAAGGACTGGAAACCCATAGCTTCGTCTTCCAGAATTAGAGTATGTTTTGTTCATAATTACGTCCTAATTTTACAATGTCCCATTGCGTTTTTAAGTAAAAAATATCTGTTTAATTTATAAACTTTAACTTTCATTTTAAAACTGTTTTAATTAAAACGATATTTTTTAAATTAGATTCAGTTCACCGAACCCGACATTACGACTCTCATTGTCAACGATGCCATCGTGAAGGACGAGGGCCTTTATTCGATTAGCGCGGGTAACGTGGCTGGCTCGATATCCTGCTCGGTGATGCTGCACGTGGAGGAGAGCGAACACGAGTACGGATACAGGACGTACAGAAAGAAGATGGACATAAAACCACGCGATAAGCCATTTGACGACATGTACGATCTGGGTGACGAGCTAGGTCGTGGCACTCAGGGTGTGACTTATCATGCGGTCGAGCGAAACACCGGAAGAAATTACGCTTCTAAGATTATGCACGGACGTGGTGATCTTAAGCCGTTCATGTATAACGAGATGGAAGCAATGAACAGTTTGCATCACCGCAAATTACTACGATTGCACGATGCCTTCGAGACGAACGATTCAGTCACGCTGGTCATGGAGTTGTATCCTTTATTATTTCCGTATTTTATTTGCCTTACATATAGCGTCACAGTAAATGTTGAAATAATAATAAAATACTTTTTCCGATATTAATTATTATTAATTATTCTGATTAAAATTCCGTTCGTTTGATATATCATTACACGATGCAATCAATGTTCAGCAGAACGATCCTTAACGATGATAATTTAGAGCGGCCGGTGGCGAATTAGTGGACAATCTCACAAGACAAGAACATTACACCGAAATAGATATCGCTCGTTATATACGCCAATTATTATGGGGTTTGGAATATATGCACGGAAATTATTATGCGCATCTTGGTCTGACGGTGAGTTATTTGGAAATCGATTTTTTTTTTTCAAAGAGATATGAAAATTTCGAATAATTAGTGGTTTGTATAATTTCTCTTTATATCACAGCGAACGAATAAAATTTGAAATTTAAATATAACGGATGTGACTTATAAAATCTCTTTTTATAAATATTTTTCCTATGAAATCTTATCTTTGCTTATCTATGATTAGTATGTTTAATTCATTATATTTCTCTTTGCAGCTCGGCGATCTGCTAGTTTCTCATGCTGGAGGAGATGACCTGAAAATTGGAGATTTTGGACTCGCCCGCAAAATTTCGCAGGCAAGGCTGATGACCTTGGCGTACGGTATGCCGGAATACGTCGCACCGGAAGTAACTAATAACGAAGGTGTCAGTTACGCCGCAGACATGTGGTCCGTTGGCATAATTACCTACATTTTACTATCGGGTATCTCGCCGTTCAGAGGTGCGAATGATAGAGAGACACTGAAGAAGATCAGAGAAGGCAAATGGGATTTCGACGAACGATGGAAAAATATCTCGAACGAAGCGCAAGACTTTATTCGCAACTTATTGGTGTACAACATCGATAAAAGAATGGACGTTAGAACTGCTTTGGCTCATCCGTGGTTTAATTACATTGACAACTTGCCGTTAGAACCCTACAGAATACCTTCTGAAAATTTGAAGAACTATTATAAACTTTATCGGTAAGTAGATTATCTTTTAATAACGTGTTTAAACGCGAAAATTAATTTTGCAGAAGTAATTTAGAATCTCGTAGATGTAACAGTGTTTTTTCTTCAAGCAGAATAAAATTTTTACTTGAAACAAAGGATTATGCGTGTAAAATATATTTGTAAAATTTACTGCACAAAATTTGTAAAGCCAATACTTGTATTATAGAATTAATGTTATTTATTATTTTAAGACTATTTGATTGCGAACGAATATATTTTTATTTATAGCGATTGGTACAGTAATGCTTCGTGCCGCACGTGGTATCGTAGAAGCAAACTGGAAACAGCCTTTGACGATCCATCACGAATGGTATATCCACCTGGGCATAAGTTTACACCCGAACCCGATAGGATTCACAGTCCGTTGAAGAAACATTCACCTAGGACATGGGAAAATCAAATACCATCCAGAGAACCGATTGACACAGAAATCGGAATAATCACGAGCGAGAGCCAGTAAGTAAGATGCTGTAAAATAAATATATTCGATCTAATTTTAAAAATATAAAAATTCGGATCTACAATTTTATTTTGATATTAGATTTAGAGAATAGTACGTCTTTATAAAAAAATATATAAATAATTTATAAAAGGCATACAAACTTTAAAGGATACATAATTCTTTATATAATATATTTAATGTAATGTTACACATTTTTTGTAATTTTTTTCATCTTTTTATTTATATTTTACAGTTATCAGAACGGACCGGACACATATCTTCTTCAGCTGCGGGATACCGATTTCCCTGTACGACTACGTGAATACATGAAAGTTGCGTGCAATCGTAGCCCCGGATTTTCTCGTTCTATTACCGAAGACAACGGCTTTGACTGGAGGGTAGCTATAAAGAATTGTTTGAAATTAAAAAAAATATTACCTCGAAGACTATTTATATAACTATTTATACTACTATTACTTAGGCACCCATCATACGAGAACGTCGTCGATTCACGGATGTTATGGACGAGGAGATCGATGACGAAAGAAGGGCACGTATCAATCGATACGGATCGGCGGACACGTTTACGCTTAGACGTTTGAAGAATGAATTGGGCACTCGATTAGACAGTTATGCTGAAGCTGAGGCAATGATGGAATCGAAGAAGGATGGTCAGCTTCCGTTCTTCCGCGAGAAGCCGCAGATCTGTCCTGTCGAGGAGGGAAAACCGGCGCATCTCACCTGTCTGGCCGTAGGAAATCCGAAACCACTGATACAGTGGTTCAAAAACGAAATGGTCATACAAGAGAATAATAGGATCAAAGTGACGGAGGACTCTGACGGGAGATCTATACTCAGTTTTAATCCTACGAGGGAGCACGATATCGGAATATATAAAGTCGTGGCAAGAAATCCGATAGGACAAACGATCGTCAGAACCAGAGTGTTGCAGGCAACAGTTTCATGCGGTCCTGATTCTCCAGAGGTAAAGTGATTTTTTTATCAATTTATAATTTATAAATGTATTATAAATGTATTTTCATTTTTGTGTTGTAAAATATTATTTTCAACTTTCTAGGCTTCTGATGTTTCGGATTCTGAAGTCCTTCTGCGATGGAAGCAACCGAAGTACGACGGCAACTCGCCCGTACTTTGCTACAATTTACAGTACAAGGAGGGTGATTCAATCACCTGGATAGACGTTGCCTCCAACATCGATCACGAATTCTATCTGGTGCGCGACCTAAAGCAGGACACGAGTTACAATTTCCGTCTAGCGGCGCGTAACCGCATCGGTTGGAGTGAGAAGGGCATTCCGTCGAAATTAATCAAGACGCGACCGCCAGGTTGCCCGAAGGTACAGATTACGCGGGCGATGAGGCATCTACAAGAGCTGACCGAAGCCGGTCAGGAGATCGTCCTGGAAGAGGACAAGCCGCACATCGATTACTCCATAGAAAAGAATCCGATCGAATGGTCGGTGGAGCCGCAGCTATCCGCCAAGTACAGTTTTATTTCGGAGCTGTCGCGTGGACAATTCTCCGCGGTAGCGAAAGGCGTGGATAAGAGCACGGATCGCGTGATTGTCGCCAAGATCTTGCAATTGAATGCCGAGACGGAAAAGCAAGTGAATCGGGAATACGAAGTATTACGTTCATTGCGGCACGAACGGATAGCCATGTTGGAGGCCGCCTATAAGGCGTCAGGTTCTCCCGTGGCGGTGTTTGTCATGGAGAAGCTTCAGGGTGCCGATATACTCACGTACTTCTCCAGCCGGCACGAATACACGGAGAACTGCGTGGCGAATGCTGTTACGCAGATTCTCGACGGTCTGCAGTATCTTCACTGGCGCGGATACTGTCATTTGGATATTCAGCCAGACAATGTCGTGATGTCATCTGTCAGGTCGGTTCAGGTGAAATTGGTCGACATGGGATCAGCTCATAGTGTCAGCAAATTGGGCACGATGGTGCCCAAGCATCTGGGCCATCCCGAATACAGATCGCCCGAACTCTACAACGATGAATCGATCTACCCACAAACGGACATTTGGATGGTCGGTGTGTTGACCTACGTATTATTATCTGGCGTTTCCCCGTTCCGCGGTAAGGATGCGGATGAGACCAGGCAAAACATATCCTTCGTCAGATACAGATTTGAGTACCTTTACAAAGAGCTGAGTCAAGAGGCAACCAGATTTCTCATGTTGGTCTTTAAGCGCGCGCCAAGGTTGGTAATAACTAAAAAGAGTGATCAAGATTAATATAAAGATTTATTATAACTAGATAATTGAGCTTAATATTAAATATGCAGTATAAGCTTTTTTTATATCTAAATTAAATAAACATTTTTTTTACATCTATTTAAAAAAATGCATTTTTTTCTCAGCAAAAGACCAATAGCGGAGGAATGCCACGAACACCGGTGGCTACTACCGACCGAATTTATGATTAAAAAACGCGAGAGGGCTGTGTTCTTAGGCAACAGATTGAAGGAATATAATGAGGAATATCACGAAGAAAAGTCAAAAACAGCTTCCGACAGTGACAGCCTAGCGAGCGAGAGTTTGTTAGGCTCCAAACAGAAACTCATCAGGTCAACCAGTATACAAGAAGAACTACGGACCACGTTCTAACGAGAGCTGCAATTTTTTATTTATATTTATGTACACGTACACACACGACACGCACACATGCATACACATATGGCTGTACTACTTCGCGTACATGCCCAAGTCTATAGCCGAACAAAGTGGAAGAACGACGAAGAAATGAGAGATACAAAGAGAAAAATCATCTCTCTTCGTTTTCTCTTTTGTTATTATTTATTTGTTACAATTCGTAATTATAACAAAAATCGTTATCGACTGATCGTCAATGTTTCGCCGACTTTCGTCGATAGCCAAATTTTCAACCGTCCGTTAATTCGACAAGTAGATACAAAGAAATTGTGGTCTATTCATTTCAATAAATCAAAAAGTAAAAAGATACATGGAATAAATAAATCGAATTTTTTGAATTCAATAAAAAATATTGATCAAGCATATTGTACGAAAATTATAAATAAATACCTGACAAAATAGCAGTGTGCTCTTGTAATTTTCAATTCTTATTAGCGTGAGGTACTTTATATATTTGTACATTTTACACAAGAGATATATATATATATATATAAATTATAGTTATTTAAATATATTATTAAACACCCACTTTATTTACAATTGCTCGTTGGCATTACAATGTTTCATTAAGAGAAAAAAAAAACATTGTACACGTGATGCACTTTTAATTTTTATACGTTTTTATACGTTTACATTTCCTTCATACATAATATAGATAATAATTAATGTATATTAATACAATTTCGCTATAACAGTCCGAGAATTGAATTATATAAAACTGAAAGTGATATCAACACCTTTCAGGCAAAAAGACTAGCAAAATTGAGTTAAATCAAAATCAACCTAAAGCACATTTGAGCAAGTTCTGTACTCATACACTAAAAAGAGGCACGAGACCAATTTAAAAAAATGTAAATAATTATTTGTTATTTAAAATGTTACATTGTAAATCATCTTTTTGCATATTGCATTACATAATCTTTAACTTTACTTCGAAAAGATTCTTTATCCTTAATAAACAAATCTGCTGCATCTCTATTTAAAGGATCATCAAAGTTTAGGAGATCCTGAAAGAAACACAAGTATATAAAATATATGTTCTCAACACAATTGCACTAATCCAATTAGTTATGCTGCAGAAAATGCTCATATACATACAGTGAAAAGAGAATTTAAACCCCATACGACGTCTTTCAGTTTGCGTGTTGGTGCCCATCCCATGCCATCAATGCTACTTTGTCTTAAAATGGATAGACATACATCACCATCCTCGCTTATGTTAGGATGCCATAGTTTCGTTAAGCATTTTACCACTGGCGGCTGAAAAATAGAATTGAACATAGCGGTAGAAGCATTTGGTCATAACGCTCAGCTCCATTTTCATACTGAGAGCTTTCCAGCAAGAGAAGTCATTCTGTTTTTATCTTTCACTGAATATCAGACAAAGACCGAATGACATCTGTGCTGATTTGTGTCTCTGCTGGAAAGCTCCCCTCGCCTTTTTTCTCTCCTTTTTCTTTTTCATCCCCTTCCTTTCTCTTTCTTTGTGATATCTTAATGTGCATTATAATTAAGATACGGGACACTCTACAACTGATTTAATAGATATTTCCAAAATAACTATATGTACAATCAAGCTAACATAGAAGAAAAACTAGAAAATATAAAATTACCGCCATGTTGTACTCTTCGCTTATGTAAATTTGAAAATAGAAATGGCCACCAATCCAGTATCCTTCATCTGGCATAATTAACAATATAAAATCATGAAGACAATGTGGATCGTTAAATGTGACTTGACAAGTTACTGGCAATGTTTGCTCCATTTCCTGCACCTAAGAAAAATAATCGATGAACATATACATAATTAGAATTCGTATGTCATATCGTTACGACGATACGCAAGAAATATTATATCAAATTTACCTCTTTGATCAGTAATTTATCTCGTATTGAGACTCGCCTGTTGTAGCTTTTTGAATTTGCTATGTCATTGTCCTTTTTGAGTTTTCCCCGTAACGTAATCATATTAAGCTGCACTAAAAACTATTATTCATAAAAAGATTAGGATCACCGTTATCGTTCAATAAATTTGTTTGTAAAAGTCAATATAAACATTATATAAAGTCTTCAAATTATTTTAAGCAGGACTACAGGGTAGAATTTGCATTTAAAATAAACGTAATACTAAGGATATTATTGTCAGTTCGTAACAGAAAAAAAAAGACCAAAACACGGATGCAAGTTATAATAGTTTAACATTCGTGAAATATAAAGTCTTGATATATGTCGTAAACATATTAAAGAGATATTATGACGTCAAAGAAATACGATTATTATCATTTGTAAAGGCATTGCTAGGTTAGAAAAATAACACATGCATTATATGATAATGTAATGTACCTTTCGTTGCCAAATTTAATTAGCCTCGATACTGTATCACCTGAATCTCATACATTAAAGCGTTTGTAAAGGAGGCTTTTCCATCTCTGCTTATTTTCAATTATTTAATTGCGCAAGCAAATCTCTGAGAAAAATCACAAGCTTCAACTCTCGGCGTCATGAATCATAAATGCCTTATCACATGAGGTTATACTAAATTTTAGTCCCACATCGTGATCGTACTCGCGTCACTCGCGATAGTCGCGATGTTGCGTATCACGTCTAGATATCCGTATATCATGACCATTAGTTTTCTAAGGAAATAACGAAAAAATTATATTTATCCAAATGTTTTAATCTAAATCTAAAAATAGAAGAATTTTTAAAGTGATAAAATTTTAAAGATAAGATTTTGATTTTTCGGGTCACTATATGTAAACTTAATCTTGAAATATTTTTTTATTAGATTTCGAAAATAGAATTTTCAAAGTTATTAAAATTTCTAAAATTATTAAACTCTAAAAGCAGGATTTTTACAATTTCTAGACTTTAAAGTCCTTATAAAATTTGATATTAATTATATACATATAAATATATAATATATAATTTATACTGTTGTTAGAGAAAGCGTCTCTCTTTTATCGAGACAGTGAAAATCATCACAGGAAAATGTTTCAAGTTTATTTTCTGTTAAGCAGATTCACATTGCTTCGACATCTAATATCCAATAGGAAAGGTTGTTTCCTGGACAAAAATATCTCTTATGTCGATATCGTGTACAGTGTGAATCCTGCATAACGGAGTCTTCCTCTTTGGACATCGTAATTGAATGTTGGATGCAGTGTGCATCTTGCTTTCAAGTGTTTACGAGTGTTTACAATTATTCGCGTACATTTATCCACTTTTATCTATCAGACTTCTGTCTTTTTCTTCTATTTATTAAACCTGTATCTTTTTCTTCTCGCTATTAATGAAATAATATCAAAGTTTACATACAAGATTCTCTGAAAAATAACTTAGCTGTCGTAGTTTGAAAGATTTCGTGCATTTAATTAAAGTCAATAACTTTAAAGGATTAATTAGTTTAAAATTCAAATAAAATAAGAAAAATATCTAAATTTAACAACTATATCTTATAAAGATATTTATAAATATGAATCACCCTTTACCACCTTCGGAGGATATTCTGAGAGAGATTCTACCAGAACTCGAAGAACCTGTATTGTTTAAGAATATGTTGCAAAATTCTGATGGCTCCTATGAATGGAAATTACTTGAATGGAGTCTGACAGAATTGGTTCAGAAGTTCGGAAATAATCCATTACCATTTCGAATTGGTAATCACAACAAGCGTACAGTAAGTTGTAGCAATAATATGTTTGCATATTCTTTTAACGTTTTTATCGATATCTTGATTGAGAATTTTATTAATAATTTAACTCAATTGATTTGTATAATAGGCAATCTTCAACATAGCCATTGGTGCGTGAGTCCACCTTCACATCCGCTTTATTTATCGCTGCAAGAATTTATTGATTTACAAAAAACAAAACAGAAAATGTGGTATTACTGTGATTACAAACATATAAAAGAGTGGCTCAGTGACAACACAGAAATTATAGAATCTTTCAATTGGCTCAAATTTGGGATTGACAAAGAACTTGGTAAAAATGGACTGCATTCTACTTTTTGGATCGGAAGCAAAGGCTCTCATACCGACTGTCATTGGGATACCTATGGTTACAATTTAGTGGCACAAATATATGGCCGGTTTGTTTTTTAATGTGTATTTTTTTAGTTATTTATCTTTATTATGTGCTTTTATATTATGCCTTTATAATTATATTTGCAGAAAACAATGGTTGCTTTATCCACCTAATGCTGCTCTTATACCAGTTAGACTTCCTTACGAAGAGTCAACTGTATATAGCAGATTTAATATTTATTGCTTGAGTGAAGAGGAAAAAGATTGTTTATTGGATATACCAGATAAACCAAAATTAATAACCTTAGAGCCTGGAGATGTTTTATTTGTGCCTAATGGTTGGTGGCATTATGTGGAATCTTTAGATCAAATCAATGTGAGCGTTAATATGTGGGGAAAACTGAAAATGGATAGTAGAGCACGAGTCGAGGAAGCTCTGGTTAAATTGATAGTAGCCAAGATGGGAGACTATAATGAGTTTCCAAATAAGGAAACTATATATTATACAACAGAAGTAATTACTTAAAAAAAAAAAACAAATATTGATTAAATGCAAATAGAATTTATTTAATTTGTAATATTATCTCAATAGGTCGAACGCGCTGTTGTTGAACGCACGCGAGAAGAAGAGGAGGAAGAGAAAGAGGAGGAGAAATCAGAAGCAGAAATACCTGCAAAAAGGCTTAAATTACCACATACTGCAACAGAATTAGCTGAAGAATATCCTTATTTTATTAAGTTGTTACCTGACGCAGAGGAACACGAATTCAAAGAATTTATTGAAGAAAGATGGAAAAGAGATAAGGAGAAGTATCCGTCAGAAGAAACAACCGCATCTGGAGATTATGTACCTAATCCTCAATATGATTCATTCTTTGAATCTCTTATCAATGCCCTATGTCATCCAGAGGTTATTAGTAAAGCAGCGAAAGTATTGTTAGAAAGACATTACTAATAACGTCACTAGTATTTATAAAAATGTTTTTTTAAATTATCTTGAACCAGGCAGTGTTTCTTATATTTATAGATGCTGAGAACAATGCAAATTTCATCAGCACGTTAAGTTTCCAAAATAATTGAGGTTTAATGTGTAAAGATTGCTTTTTTTGAGATATTTAAATTTTTTCTAAAACTAATTAACGTTAAAATTGCGTAAAGTAAAATTTTGATCAGAAGACAAATGTATTGTTTAGAAACCCTATGTAATGCAAAATTTTTTAATCTATATGCGATTATATATGTGCTTGCCTGATGTATACATAATGCATACACATATCAAGCAGAATCTATATTATGACAAACATACTACATTGTGTATATGTATTGATAGTCACAAATTATAAATTATAAATGACTTCATTCGTAACGGTTTAATTTGGTTTGTAGCATCGTTTTTAGCATCTAAAAATATACAAGCTACACATTGTCTGGTTCATAATAATTTTTGATAATAAATATAAACTAGTGTAATCTGTGACGATTGAATTTCTATTACATAAATGTAAGATTACATGTAAGATAATAACAATTTTTTTTTATTACTGTAATGGTATTATGTATATCTAGATATCGATCAGTCATGCCAAAATTCTAAAATTTACTTATCGAAATTATAGAAAATTTATTAGAACATAACCGAATCTTTAACTATTTTGACAATTAATATAAAATGGATACATATTTAAGTGTTAAACTTAATGTGCGAATAAAATGAGTCTTCAAAACCGAATAATTGTATTCCGTCTTGTATTCATATTCTCATACTCTTTCTCAATACTCATAATCTTCAACTCTCTAATCAATCTTTTAAATAAAATTAAAGACATGGGATGAAAATTAAAGCATCATCAAATACTGCTTACGATAAAAATAAAAATAAATAAATTCCTGATTTTTGGAATTAAAATGAAATATTAACAAATTACATTGTATCTTCAATTATTCAACACTTCTATCTTACATTCCTAATTAGTAATTATATTTTAAAACCTTATCGATTTTTAAGAATTTAAATTTTGCAGTTAAGTCACAAATTTAAAATTCTAGAAATTCTTGGAATAGTAATTTTTTCAATTCTCTAAAAATTCTTAAAATTTTCCATATAACACAATCTGATCATTTCCAATTTTTAAGATATTTTATCGATTTTCATAAATTTAAATTTTTATATCAAAATTTTGAAACTTTATTGCGATTCTTAGAATTTTCTTTAATTTATGAGAATACATTATTATATATATATACATATATATCTCTCTGATACATTAAATTTTTTTGATATATATCACACTTGGACATAAGTGCTGTCTAGAATGTGTGTTATTCAAATACATATTAATATATTTTATTTATTCTTTTAAACTAAAAAATACATATTAAAATAATACACACACACACACACACACATATATTATATATACAGAAGTTAATTTCTATGCACGTCCCAATGGATTGTGCTGAAGAGGCTGCGTGAATTTTAGTATCAAAGCTATCATATACCGTCAGTTTTCTTCGAAACGGCTGCGGTGAAAAAATCGGGCCAGGCGCGATTAATTAGTTACTAAACCAAAGTTAATTTCAATGCACGTCCCATCGGATTGTGCTGAAGAGTCTGCGAGTATTTCAATATCAAAGCTGGCGCATCCTCGAAGAATGGATGTAGCACGGACACGAACCACGTCGACATTTTCGTGCTATGATTTGATCGACAATGTTATAAAATAGACATGGTACGTAGTTCCTTTTTTGAAAACGTGGACGTGGAGTGCTAGTGTACGGGGGAGATCGCCGGTCCCACCCATAAAGCCGACGTGGCCGCTCTCACGTTTATATTTCTGGCAATAGCAATAATGCAGACGATAAATTATTAGATTCACTTGGTAATTATATTTACCAGCTGGTCGAGTTTTTAATAGTGTCTGAGCGGTGCACCGTGTGGCGTTTTAAATGTGATTTTACCGATTTTGCAACTTTTTGCCAAGTGCCTAGTTACAAACACATTTTTGGAGGTTAGAAACGTGTCTGTCAAGCCTGAAGAAATTTCATTTGCATGTAAATATTTATCTCTACTCAACGATCTGAACATCGTGGAGTAATTAATGGATTGACAATGGGTCTGTTAACGGTGTTGAAAAAATTGAAGCAGAAGGAGAAGGAGATGCGAATCTTAATGTTGTACGTATTCGCATTTGTCTACCTACTTTATATATTCAGCTTGTGGTTAGTTTACGCGTTAACAGGTTAATAAATATTACGTTTACTGCGAATTTACAATGCGTCAATTAATTGGAGACAATAATTTGAAAGTGTACGTATGTTCCGTCACTTGCTTTTAACGATGCGCGTTATAATTTCAGGGGCCTGGATAATGCAGGCAAGACGACAGTGTTAAAGAGACTCAATGGTGAACCAATAGACACTATATCGCCCACGCTTGGCTTTAATATCAAGACACTGGAACATCGCGGGTACAAGCTCAATGTATGGGATGTGGGTGGACAAAAATCACTGCGTTCCTACTGGAGAAATTACTTTGAGTCGACCGACGGGCTTGTTTGGGTGATAGACAGCGCGGACAGAAGGAGATTGGACGATTGTAAAACGGAATTGTACAAGCTTCTGCAAGAGGAGAGGTTAGAGGGAGCAAGTCTCCTTGTATTCGCCAATAAGCAGGATATGCCTGGCGCGTTGTCCGCGGCTGACATAGCCGACATTCTGGAGTTACCCAATATAAAGACTCACCACTGGCAAATCTACAAGTGCTCGGCTGTGACAGGTGAAAATCTAGTCGACGGTATCAATTGGATTGTTGACGATATCGCAGCAAGAATATTTTATGTAGATTAAATTAATTTAACAGACATCGATATGGCAATACCTCGTTAAATGCTGAAATTAGTGCTTGACAAATTTTTCTAAAATGATATTTATACTGTAATATATATCACGCTGTGAAAATATGTAACACACACAGTATTATAAGGAGATTCCACAGTCTTTTTCGATTCATTTATTACATAGCAATATAATGTACATTTTTCAAATATTTTTTGATTTTTTTAAATTTTTATTTTCTTCCACGTTAGTTTTTGTGTTTCTTGTATTTTTTTTCGTCTTTTGTTCGTTCTACTTTCTGTTTTTGTTCATTTGGTTCTTAAGTTTCCTTTTGTTTAATTTTAATAGTTCAGCTGTTGTTTCCGGATATTCTTTTAAATAAAATGATTTTAATTGTTGTTGATCGACAGTCTCTTGCGGCCCCTCGAATGCTTTCATAATCTCTTCAACGAGCGACGTCGAAAGCTTTAGCATGAACTTCTGTACTAGCTGCTTAAATTTTACTGCAATAGAAAATTGTTGGTAATTTTTTTTAATACAAGCGATTGATTTCTCGTCAGTTTTGAGAAAATGAAGAAAGAATCTAAAGTAAACTGTCGCGGACATGCCTTGTGGTATATTTGTATCGTTCAACGACATCACGAAGAAGCCAAAGTTGCGTTTTTGCTTCTTTTGTTTTGGTAACATTGCCTCATAATTCGCCCTCTTCAGAAGTATTTTCCTAACATTCGGCCCAATAACCTGATAATTGCTCAGAATACCGCCTAATTTGACTGCGAGCCACGGTCTGAATTTTCTGATTGTCTCCAAGTCATGGAGGACATCTTTATTCGTCCAAATGTTTTCCATATCCAGAAGACGTAAAGTACTGTCGGGCGATTGGTGCGGTGTAATTGCGTGAATTAAAGCCGAAGCACCTTGTGCCCCTAAAGGATTGTTTCCCAAACGTAATTCTTGGAGCGTTTTGTTTTTCGATAGATCTTTTGCGATGATTACAGCATCGTCTTTGATAAATCTATTCCCTTCAAATCGCAAAAAATAAACCCTTTAAGAAAGGAGCAAAAGTCTTTGGAATATTTTACTTCACATTTTTAGTCATTTTCTATTTCGTTCTTTATTGAATAAAAATATAATGAAATACATGCGAACTTTGAAAAAATTGGGTCATCCCTCAAACGAAGAATATTCTTAAAAATGATTCTTTTCTTATTTCTTTTATAATTATTTGTAAAAAAAATCATTAATATAGACTTTCTTAAAATGTGATACACATATTTACAACTTAAATCCAGTTTTTCGATGTTGCGCAAGCGTGATAATAGTCTGGAAAGATGATGCACACATTCCGTATCAAGTGCGTTCCAAGATAAATTCAGGGAACGCAGTGACTCATTTTTCTTGAGCCCGTTGTCCAGAGCTTTCCACGTTTTTGCGTTATACAGAGAGTTCCAGGATAGATCCAAATGCGTCAAGCCTGTGAAATGCGAGAGCAGATTCCGCAGATCTTCTGAGCACGTCTCGTCCAAATGATTGTCAGATAGATTAACGCTCTCCAAATCTCGATTATTAGATAATGCGGACGCGATGTATCCAAAGCCTTCGTTTCCGATGTCGCAGTTGCTGAGATCGAGGATTTTCAGGATTGTGTTCTCCGATATCGCGTCGTACAATTTTTTGGCGCCGTTCGTGCCGATTCGACAACCCGATAGCGACAAGTCGGTTATCGTGTTGTTTTTAAGCAGTAAATCGTTTAGATATTTGCACGCATTCGAGGTCAGTTTATTGTCCTACAAGAAAATGCAGTAGTTAATTGAAAAAAGGATATTTTATTAATTGCAAAGTAACATTTGCATTACAGTACAAAAAAAATCCAGAAATTTATTTCTACTTTATAGATAAGACTTTCAAACAGATAATTATCACTTTTATGGTATTTTAAAATTTTATGTAGTCTATAAAAGTTGTTACTTATAAGCTTGTTTGTTGTACCTTCAGATCTAATTTTCGCACAAAAGTGTTTTCAGTCAAAGCTTCGCAGATTGCTCTCATTACTGGTGACTTGAGTCCGTAATACCGCAGATTTAATTGATCGGCTAAGAGCATTTTTCTCAACGAGCCGATCGGTCTCAAATCTGTACGTTTTACTGTATCGTAGAATTTTTGCACACCATCCGTGCTGTAAATCGGTGGGTGTTCGCGTAACAGCCAGAAAGCTGGTAATAATCCGGGATCGTTTGGAACTCGATACACCGTGTACGGATTCACTAGTTTCAGTTGGGAATCGCTTATGTCTATCTCGCGCAAACACGGATGAATTGAACTCTCAGTGGAAACTCGGTCGCTCGCGATAACTTCAGATTCCGGCGTGATCGGCGTTTCCTCAGACGCATCGTCATCTTTCTTTCGTTCAATCTGCCTTGCATATCGTAACATTTGACTAGAGATTTACTCGAAATTAAAAGCAGATTAGTCCTGTCATTTATTTACATGTGGTAGCTTAATTGTTAAAATTACGGCATATACCTAATAAAATTGAATTGCGAATATCGAAATATGTTGAAATACAGGACATTCTGTATGTTAATGAAATGTTAAGCTACCAAGTTACCACGCTTAAGTTACACGGATCAAATGTCGCAGCTGTTTCTTTGTCTCCTCAGCCTTGGCCGCTAGTTCCTTCGTCCTTTTCGCTTCAAATTTCATCATAAAATCAGCCAGTATGTCAGTCTCGTCAATTATTTCTGATTCCGCTTCGACGTCTTTTTTTTCCTCTTCCACAGCTTCAAATTCATCTTCTGACTCCGTTTTTATGTCTTTCTCTTCCTCTTCCACTTCGGTATCATCTTCATCATATTCAGTCCATGTATCTGTTTTTTCATCTTGCAATGCTTCGGCAACATCTTCGAGGTCTTCTAATGTCTAAGCGATGTTTTTGCAAATTTATATAGGATAAATTTACAATTCTATCTTAATCGTTATTGTGCGAATTACAATTTTGACATCACATGCAATTTTATTTTTAATGTAAAATTGACAAAAATTGTTCTAACGTTAATTTTTTCAATTATCGCGAAAAAGAATGTATATCGGAAAGTATGTCATTATAGTTTACATACTTGTGTGAGATCCATATTTGTGGATAGTAAATGTATTACTTGTTCACGAAATTGATAATATAACGAAATCTTGTATAAATATCATCGTATTAAGACATAACACATGATTCCTAAATTTGCAGCAGTTTGCTATGTGAAATTAGCTGCAGATTTACGGAAATTAAAACAGATAATATTATATCATAATTAATTATAATAAAATTATATCATAATTAATTATAATAAATTCTTTGTCTCTGGAATAAATTTTAATTCTCAAATTCATAATATGATAAATGTATTCTATAAATGAAAGCTGTAAGCTATTGTTTCGCATTCGTTTGCTCGCGAGAATTTATCTTCTTTAGGATCGATCGGCGGCTTATACTATCGCGTTTCACACGCGAGTCACAATCGTTCATCGCGAGATGCATGATTCATCTACCGGGTATTTGTCAAGTGGCTCTTCTGGTCCATTGTATTGTAATTTCGGCAGATCGTTCATTCAGCGGTACGTGCTTCGTAGTCACGAGAGGACCCGTCCCGTCTCGGCAACGACGTGATAACCCGCCGTGCGCTTTGTTAATCTCGACCGCGCTTTCGATGGTAATGGCATCGGTATTATCTCTAATGAAACAATCGTGACGGGCCATTGAAATTGGCGCCGCTGATAAAATCCGCCGCCCATATCTCTATCTCTGAAGAGAAGCGAATGAATTTGTGACTTCTTAATTGGCTGGCGAACAATGAAGATAATTTGATAATTTATCATAATTTTTTACATGACTTTTCTCCTCTCTGCAAAAATAACAAAAATAAATATAAAGTACCTTTGTTAATTAATTGTAAATATTTAGATATTTATTACCGCGAAGGGAGAATTTAATCACAATAGTTGATAGTTGATTTAAAGATAACATAAATTTATAAATTTGTCAATAGATTTATATCGAATGATCCATAACTCCTTAACATCTGTTAAGCATAAGAACATATAATCTTTTTTTTTTATTTCACGTTTTACTAATAAAATAAGAAGAAAAACTGTTCTCTTTCTCTCTCAGTGATTTCATTGCCGGAAATGCATTGTCATCGACGCATTGACACAAGGATGCAATAAATCGTAAATGCCATGTTGAAGGGTTGTACTTTTTATTTGAAATCCTTCACATCGTCGTAAACCTATGCGGGGGAGAGGGGATAATGGGAGGGAGCTTATATACACGCATTCATTTGCACATTTCTCGATATCAAACACGAATAATCACAACGCGTGAATGTTGTCGATAATTATTTATCGTCGATTAGACCAAAAGCATTAGTTTGACAGATTTTTACTATTGTCGTTTCGCTTTGAGGACGACGAAAAAATCATGTGATAATGATCAACTATTGCTTATGATCTGAAAATAATTAATACGAGACAATAAAATAAAAATAATATAATATATAAAATAATATATAATATATATTTATATATATATTTTCATCGTCTCTCACTCTCTTCTCTATATGTATTCGTACAATAATATAGCTTTCTCTACAAAATAAAGTATCTATTATAAAACTTTGTTCCTTCCTGCTGTAAATCTATGTACGCCTAAAACGAGCTTCTCAGTTTAAACTAGTCTGTTGTGGACACTTCGCTAGGGGATACGGAAAATGCTAGTATATAAAAAAGAAGAGAACGAATTGCACATCTAGGGGTAGGTCGATAATGACTGGAGATGAAAACGATCTGGACAATGTGTACTTACGATTTATTTACATCGTTCCACGATGCAATAGCGTCACTATATGTACATCGTTTGTTTTTATTCTGCATTCGAATACGTTCTAAAACTTATTACATTTACGCCGCTAATATAGTTCTTTACAAGTTAATGCGCCGCCGCGATTTAGCGTATCGTGTAGCACATTCTCTCGCAATGGCAGTATTTCTCATCGCGTAAAAATCACGTGTTTTCGTGAAAAAATATAAAACTCGAGCAAGTGTTGAAGTAAATGAACACGCGGTGTACCATAGTAATGCTATACAATAACGTTGTTTCCTCTATGAGTATCACAATAATATCATCTGAAGGAACGTTTGAAGCCCACATTATATCATACAAAGCACACTTTCACGTACGATGATCGAGCGATTGTCTGCACGATTAATCGCAATAATTCCAAATAATACTTAAAAAAAATTCTCGTATTTTTTGTCAAATTTATTTACACGTTACGTCTCCTGATCTCGAATGGAGTGCAGTTTCGCTTCGACAATTATACACGACAAACGTACAATACATCTCGTAGATGCGACGGTGCCATCCTATTTTTCAAATTATGAAAATAAAAAATGCTAGCAATGGCAATATATAGTAATATCAAAAGGGTATTAAATATAAACATATAAAATCGAGGCGCATATAGGAAGGAGGAATGGCAACGCCGAAGGGGATGCGAAGGAAATATAGAGGCTTAGCGAAATTAATAAGTACGAGCTATGTACATATGTACAACTGATAACAACTGATTATTATCATTAAAATTATTTATAATTGTCGATCTTTTATTGTCGTATAGAAACACGAAAGGGTCGGACAAATAGAAAAAGAGGAAAAATTTTAATAATTTAACAAATTTTGAATTTGAAAATCTGTGCTAATATTTTTGCTAATTATTTTACAATTATTAAAAAATTGAAAATTTTAATAATCAAAAATATTCTAATAATACTATGAATGAAGCGATCATAAAAAGATGCGCTTCGTAGAGGCAATGAAAATTTATGCATTATCTTATAACATAATTGTATTGCTGAGCCCTATAAAAATCGTGCGTTCTTTTTCTTTTTTTTCTGCATTTCTATCCCTAGATATATACCCTAGACAGTGGCTCAACTTTCATAAAGAAGAACCTCAGGAGAGAGCCATCTCAAGTTATCTCGAAATCGAGAGTCACATTTCCCATTATCACAAAAAAAAACTGATCGTCCGAGTAAGCGTTCAGTCTCTAGCGTTACCTTCTAATCCCTAAGAATTTTCATTAATGCATTCATGTATGCAAGAAAAATCAAGAAAATCACTGACACTATCCAACTGTTCTTGACATTACTTTAATGATATTTAATCACACGTGTACCGTTAGCACTTGATGCGGCCCCGACATCTGACTGGTACCTGGCTGCTGATGAGGGTACGGCGGTTCTTGCAGTCTGGGCTTGATGTAAGGCTTGTGCGGTCCTTCCTCATAACTAAAACTGGCCGTATTGTTCCTAGCTTCCGCGCTGGGCGGTTTGTAGAGTGGTGGCAAACGATGTCTACCTTCTTCAGACACCATTTCGAGACTCTCCTCGGTGCCGGTCAATGTGCCAAGAGAAGTGCCTGACAGAGGTCTTACAACGGACACACGGGGTTCGGAATCCTGATCTTTGAGCGGATTGGCATATCTTCTCAGATTTTCCTCGTTCTGAAGATTATTCGACTTTTCGTCCAGATCGCTGCGATGGCGGTGCAACGAGGTCTCGCTGCTGGTAGTCGCCGTCAGGTTCGATCTATGCCTCATAGTTCTGAGGTACCAGAGGCTACCAAATAGCGCCAGCAGCAGTACAATCGCTAGAGCGCTGCCCAGAACGGTCACGTAACCACCGGCATTGGCTGCACTCGCCGAACTAGGCTCGCTGAGCAATGCTGTTTCTACTTTGACCTCTAACACAGAAACCAAAACGAGAGGTCTAGCTAGTGGACGACTGAGCGTTTCACCGAGATCGCGAGCCGCGTCTGCTGCCGCTTCAGAGAAGATGGTTACTTCCACCGTGTCGTTGTCGCCAGGCTTCAGATCGCATAGCAATACTACCGACTGTGGCCTTCGTGGATCGGCCAGAAGCTTCCTCAGACGACGGCATAGTAGCTCCACCGACGTGCCAGACGCCAGGGTGTCCCTCCGTAATAGTATCGTGAGTCTCGAGCAAGTTGACCCGAGCGTGGATTGTCCGGGCCAACAGGACGGTGGAGCTGGTAGCGCCGGTGGGCCGACTCGCCTTCCAATTTCGATGGGACGACACTCGCCCCACGCCGGACACGGCGGTGCCAGGCAACTTTCGCCCGGACTAGGAACGCAGACCTCGTGAGCCAAGCAAGAGGTGCCATTCAGACAGTTGCCCGGCCCGCACCAGACGTTGCTGCATTGGTTCTTACTGTTCCGGCATTCGCATACGTTGCAGTCATCCTCCCACGTGGCGGCCGTGCAGCCAGGTCCACCAGCTGTACGAATCTCGCATCGCGGACCAGTTCTGCCGGGTGGACAGATGCACGAGTAGCTCGCGATGCCGTCCACACACGTGGCACCGCTGGTGCACGGATCGCTCGCGCATTCGTTCACGTTGATGCGGCAATCCGGGCCAGTGAAGCCGGGCGCACATTCGCATCTGAACCAGTTGTCACCGTCCACGCATTTGCCACCGTTCAGGCATGGCAATGGCTGACAGTCGTCCACATTGCGCTGGCAGTTCGGCCCTTCGAAGCCTTCGCGACAAACGCACCGGTAACTGCCATCGACTGTATTCACGCAAGTCGCGCCATTCGCGCAGGGATTACTCGTGCATGCTGACGGCGACGCGATGTGACAGGCCGCGCCTTCCCATCCGCGCGTGCAGTTGCACGTAAAGCTATCGCCGTGATCCTCACACTTGCCGCCGTTCCGGCAAGTACCCGGTTCACAGTGGCCGCCGTGCAGCGCGCACGTCTTGCCCTTCCATTCGCCTTGGCAGATGCACGTGAAATCTGCCACGCCGTCCACGCAGGTACCATTATTGCGGCAAGGTTGTGTCAAGCAGTCGTCCACATCTGGAACAATTCATTTATATATTACATTGAGTCCAATTGACTAAATATCGCGATTGATATTTTCATTCTACCACATTTCTTAAATTACTTACTTTGGTCACAAAGATCTCCGCTCCAACCTTCCCTGCAGATGCACTGAAACGAGTTAAGCAGGTCGACGCACGTGCCACCATTTAGGCAGGGATTGCCGCGACAGTCGTTGATGTTCTCGTGGCAATGCACGCCGGTGTAGCCCGGATCGCAGATGCATCTGCCGCCGCTGCATCGACCCTTACCGCCGCACGGGGTACCTTCGCTGCCGCATCCCGACTGCCCGTCGTCCAACACGCCGAATTGCGGATTATGCAAGGCCGGCTCCGAGCAATTTCTGCCTTGCCACTGTGCCGGGCAGTGACAGTAGTAATCGGTCTGCGTGTTAAAACACGGTGCCGAATTGCGACACGGGTTCGGGCTGCAATGGTCGCGATCGATTTCACACTGGTAGCCAGTGAATCCCACCGGGCACACGCATTCGTAAGCATTCACCAGATCGCGGCATTCGCCGCCGTTCTGGCACGGCTTGGACGCGCACTCGTCGATGTCAACGTCGCAATCTTTGCCGGAGTAGCCGGGAGTGCAGCTGCAATGATAGTCGTCTACAAGGTCGATACAGAGCGAACCATGCTGGCACTGGCCGACGCAGTCGTTGATATTCTTCGTGCAGTTCTTGCCGGTAAAACCACTCCGGCATCGGCATCTGCGAAACAACGAAGCTTGTAAGTGACAAAGTTGTGACTTTCGAGAAAATCGTTTAGACGAGAACCTTAGTTAGGCTTAATATAATTTGGTCTCTTGGATTTATTAATTGCCGTCCGTCTGTTTCATGAAAAATTAATGGATCCTTAAGTCATATTTAACGCAATCGCCCGCAGTCATGCGATACGGTTTTCTTCGCGCCAGTTATTTTACGAGCAGGGTAGTAAAGCAAGTCATTACAACGTTGTAAATTGAACAATAAAGACGCATTATTATTATTATTAACGCCCCACATTACGAAGAAGAAAATCTATCATTTGTACATAACGCAATGTATTTCGAAAAAATAGAAAGACGATGGAAATTCCAACTTGCGATAATATCAACTTGTTAAATACACAGGGCATGAGATATATAATTTTGATAATTCATCTCAATATTGAAAAGATAAAAAGTTCACCATTAAAAAATCTTCCACAAATTCATAATAATTGACAATAGAAGTGATATCTACCTATAATCTCCGGCCAGGTTAATACAAGTGAGAAAGTTCTTGCAGGGTGACTCCTTGAGCGTGCACTCGTCCACGTCGAACTGGCAGAGCACGCCTTGCCAGGCGGACGGGCAGTTACAAACGAAACTGTTCTTGCCGTCCACGCAGGTACCGCCGTTTTGGCACGGCTGCGAAGCGCACTCGTCGATGTCGATCGCGCAAAATGATCCGGTGAATCCCGGGGCGCATTCGCACTGCGCGATCTCGCCGAGCTCGCGACAGATCGCGCCGTTCAGGCATGGGCTGGATGCACACGGATTGTCAACCTTCTCGCAAGTAGGTCCGGAGAAGCCCTCCGGGCACGTGCACCGATACTGATCGGGCGCGGTGTTTTCGCACGTGCCGCCGTTCTGGCACGGCTCGTGGGTGCCGCAGTAGTTGAGATCCTGGTCGCACAGTATTCCACCCCAATTCGTATCGCAGATGCATTGCCAGCTCGAGCCGTTGCAGTAGCCGTGCTTGCAACCGGGATAGGGCATACATTGATCGCACAGCTCACCGCGCCAGCCATGCCGACATTGGCACTCGCCGCTGACGTTGCAGTGGCCATGCACGGGATGGCAGCCCTCCTTGCACACGGCTGAAACAATTTTTGCAAATTAGACGACACGCTGTGATCGCGCTCAATCCGGAGCGCTTGAGATTCTAATTATGATCTGCAATAATTTCCAACAACTTCGCTAATGACTTGTCGCAGCAATTCCGGCATTGTTTCAGACACGTAACACTTTTTCATTATATTCGTTTACTTTCTAATCGTTGTAAATAAGATTCAAGTAAGGTATAACTGTATAGTCATAAAGAGTAATATATTGTACTATGCGTACTCTTAAAAGAGAGATCTAAGTTGTATCCATTGATCATACGTAGCTATTGAACGAGAGATTCGAAAAAAATCATCTCGAGATGTCTACGGACATTTGTGGATGGTGACGTAGACGGATTAAGTCTCTTATTCGTCTTCCGTGCGCGACATGCGACACGTAACAGTCATAGGGTCGGGACAAATGTAATTAGCGGAGATGTAATGAACGAAACTGACGTACGCGTCGAGCCGACGAACGCGGAAGGACCGACGATTGACGCTTTTTATGGTGTCTCGAAAAGGAATACGCACGATTACCAGATATCTCTTGCCGGGTATCTCGCTATTACCAGACGCGAGAGGAAGCAACAGGTACGCTTGTTCGTACAGGTGGTTGGACGAGGAAATCTAATTTCGGTGCGGTCGGGATACCATGTCCTCGGAAACGACGAAGCGCAACGAAGATGCGCAAGCGACGATGACGACTCGGTTTCTTCCCGTCCTCCCGCCAGAATAAAAAATAAAAAACAAAAAAAAAGAGAGAGACGGCAGGAAAAGAGGACGTACGTGACGGGGATCTCCCCGGGACCGGGCAACTCAATTAGCCGGTAGGACAGAAAGACAGATGAGAAGTGACAGAGAGAAGGATTATCCCTCCAACCGTGAAACGAAAACTCATGCCGCGCGCTCGCTCGTGTGCCCATACGTATACGTATGTATGTCCTTTCGGGATTTCAGAGTCGGCCGTGTACCAACACCTTTACCGTTACCGCGTGCATACGCGCGATTATCGTACACGGGTACGTACGTTCGCGCGCGTATATACCGCCCGCGGCATTCTTAATGATTAATAGCCCCGCTCTCTCGTCCGGCACGGACAACGGACATTTACGGATATTTATACGACTGCATCGCGATACTTCGGGGCCCCCTAAATGACGATGCATTCGCGACAGTCTTTTCTTGCCACGATGCACCACAGCCGCGGTTCCCGCGAGATGCATATGCTAACGTTCGTCGTCATCGTCGTCGTCGTCGTCATCGTCTTCCGTCGTTCGCCGTCGAGGATCGAGCTAATCAAGCCTTGCCCCATGCTTTTACAATCTCCAGAGACTCTCTCTCGCGCGCCCCGTGCGAGTAGTCCTTTCGCACAGTTTAGAAACTATATAAATCCCCCCTGGGCTGAAACGATCGCGCTGCTACTCGTATGCCTACGGCTCGCGGTTGATTAATACACTGGCAGTTAGGTAAATTAACTTGCGCGATTCGCCTTCGCGAAGCTCTCTTCCTTTTTCCGCATCGTGCGGCGTGCGCCTTTTTGCACGGAACAGCTGCGCGAAGAGAGGCGGATTGCCGGACCGGAGCGCGGCGCAGCGCGGTCTGTGATTTTTCGCGCGATCGTACTTTGTACGCGTGATTATGACTGGGCTGCGCCACTCACGCGGAAGCGTTTTCCAGGAAAATTCACTCGTGCTTGCATGCGACGAGAGAAAATTTTTTAATCGTCCGTTGCTAATCCGCGCGTTGAGAGGGTCGTTGTCGTGATGCGACCCTTCCTCCCGGAGTGTAATTATATTTTTATTACGTGCAAGATAAAGGCTCGTTTCTTCGCGATGAATAACGCATGGGCAAGCACGTTATTAATTTCATGAATATTTTTCCTAGTCTAATTTTATCGTCATATAACAATTGTCGTTAAGCAACGGTGCCGATGTTTTTACAAATAAATTTATGCATTTTGTGTGCCGAGCATACGGATCTACAACCTATACCTTGTTACGATTGCCTAAACGTTAAAAGAACACCATGCATGCGCTTAACATATACAGATTCTACCTCTATCGCGCGCGACCAGGTTGGCGCATCGTGTGAAGAGGATGCACGAGTGAAATTCTCCTATTGACCTTTCACAGCGCGACAAAAATGTCGGAGCCAGTTCTCTCTCTTTCTCTTTCCTTCTACCGTCTCTCGTAGCGTAGAGACTCGCGACTCATCGCCTTGCACGAACACGCGATCCTCGCCGATAGTTTCTAATTGGGGTTCGCGCATTTTTCCGTCCGTCTAAGTAGGACGTGCTTGAAACGATAACTCGATCTTTCTGCGTTGTTAAACGCGGGAGAAAAACTTTTTAGATGTCACATTTTATGTCAAGAAGACTCGATCTTTTGATGACGATCAGAGGTTTATTTGAAGCTGCAGGAAACGCGAAAATGTTGCAACGTGACTATCGCTGTCGCACGTGTCTGATAGGGCAAAAAGCGGATTATCGAGTAGCGACCTGAGATGATCGTGGCTGCTGGTTATCAAACAGTAGAATCTCAAAGTTCACAGTGCCAAGGAAAACGAGCAACATCGAAGTAACCATACGTTATTTAAATTCCTTTGGCATAATATCATGAGCGTATAAACTTGCGAAATGACAAAGTAAGTAAATTATTATTTGATCGCAGCGAGATCTTAGCTTTTCCCCTTCCTTACAATATCCTAAAATTGATTTAATTATACAGTAATAACGCGTGTATAATGTGTGCAGCTCCTCGAATTGTGTCTTCTTAATAGCGTTTCGATATAAAGTCTCAAAATCTGTATATATCTTTCGGAGAAAATATATTTACAATTATCGAAACTTACAATTAGCAAAAGATAAAAGAGTTTCATACCTACTTTTATTTTTTTATTCACATCTCGTTTTTAGACTATAGTACTAGATAAATCCTTATTTTAGTGTTACATTGTGCAAATCGGACTGTTCTGAAAACGAGTCGCATGATTTAAATGCGCCGCAGCGCAGAAAGAAGACTTGCGCATCTATCTAACGGCCGGAATCGTCAAATGAACGCGGTCGGGGTCTCCTCGAGTCGCCGTCGGTTCGCTTGTGATCGACCTTATGCGTGCGTTATGCCCCGTCACAAAGGGGAAGGGATGACAGTAACCACGGAGCGGTCACGGCGAGGCGGAAGTAACGATTAAGCAGCGAAGAAAGAGCTGTTATATTGGTCGGCGCAGCATTGTGCGACGGGACCTGGCGTGATGTGTCGCTACCTTTGTAGCGATCGTACGACATGCGTCTAACGTCCGCCTCATTGAGGCACGCTCCGGGATAATTCGCGTGTTTTACGATCCGTACGGGACCACGCACGGCGACGCTCATCTTCCTCTCGGCTAGACTCGCCACGGCGACTTCCTGCGCGCTAAATCGCGGACGTGACGGAATCGCGTTCCTCGGGAGACGGACGAGAATCCGGAACGGTAGTAATAAAGATAGAAATCGCGGAACGTGGAGGGCAACAGTTTCATTCGTCCTTCCGTCGTTTTTCTCGGATTCCTTTTTGTGTCGTCCATTTCCGTGTCCGTAGTCTTTCTTGGATTACTCGAGTTTTGGATGAAATATATTACCCGAAGTCCTCAATAAATTAAATATTTTTCAAGATAAAAAATTAACATTATAATTTAAGATCTGTAATGCTGCTTATCTCGTTGATTGTCATTTATGAATTCTTCAAGAGCATGTGCAAGATAGAGAAATTTTTTAAGACCAAGATTTTTTATATTAAAAATTATCAAATTTACGCAATGGTTTGATTATTAATACGATGATTATTAATGGCTCGTAATCAAATTGCAAGCCTCGTTAGGCTGAGAGATACATGCGCATGTGTGAGAATCGAGTTAAACGATACCCATAAGCGGTAAGCCCTGTCGCGAGATTTCACGCTCCAATGAACGATTAATTATTCCCTTGGCGGTGCACGGGAGAAGGCAAAAAAATTAATCTGTGCCGCATACGCCATCGATATCGGAGATACCTTATGCGTAACGAGATGATAACAATAACGAATGGAAATACAGTGTGCGCATTTCGCAATGTATAATTATTGTATCAATTACAAATTCTCCTGAATAAGAAAATTCTAAGCGAGTTCGTTAACTAAGCAAGCTCTTTTCAATTTTGCATAAAGCGCATCTTTTTTGTGCGGTCAAGGGAACTGTCGCTATTGCGTGATTACGAAATTAAAATGCAATGAAGTGAAACTCGAATACGATATCGAATAATATATAAAAATTTTACGTAATACTTCGATAAAAGTAATTTATCTGCAAAATATTTTCCATGAAAGGACTCAGAGAAGGGTCAAGGAATACGTTTACAGACATTTTTTGCCTATGCGTTATACCGTGTCCGGTATAATTAATAATGCGCATGGTAATACGTGGTTATGCACGCGGTAAACGCGGGATTAATCAGCAATAATTCATTCTAAAGTCGATGCATACCTGTGAGGTGCTAATACTGAAATATGTTAAGGGAATTCTTTGCTTCTTTTTCGTAACGAAATGTATTTCTATGTGCATTTAAAAAAATAACGAGAATTACTATTTGGAGACAAAAATAATTTATCAATTTATCGAAGAATATTATTTTCCCAAAAAGGAAACGTTGAGCGTCGCAATTAATTTAAACGAATTCAAAATACTTTAGCTAAAATAACGTATGGCTACGCAACAACTCGATCTTGAATAATCATTAGTCGTTGATCAAACTTAAACTCACCTGTCTCGCAGTCGACGCCTTTCCATCCCTGTATGCACACTTTGTCCCCGTTTTCATCGCAGGTGTAGTGGCCAAAAATGTCGTTTCTAGGTCGGCAGAATTTCGTACAGGTCGCATTGTAGTAATGTTCGGCGCACTGGACCCGCACCCGATATGCTAAATGAGCGTTTCTTCCTTGATGATTGAGAGTGTGCCACGTGGGTCCTGGCAAAACGATGCCACTGTAACTCGCTTCTTCGATCACGCCGGCGCTCACCTCGTCCCTCGCATGCAGGATCAACGTGAACTGTCTCTGTAACAGAATATAGTAAAACCATTTATCGCAAAAGCTATACAAAGCAACAGGTAGTGAAAAAAATGTTCAGCTTAAACTGTTAAAAACTGTTTCGTTCCTCTTATTATTTCATATGTGTAATTCTCTCTTATTTTATTAATTTTAATCATAGAGAATATTATTTTACTTCTTAAAATAATTATTTGAATAAATCTTTAGAATCTCTTAAAGAATGTACAAACGTATATTATGATTGAGAGAGATCATCTCTTATATTTTGACGGATCTATCCGGATCCTCGTCTACAATCCGACATTGCCGTGACGCAACAAAGTCGGATTAAATACAGAACGGTGATGTCACGGACGACAAGGGCTCATTTGAAAGAGGAAGGGAGGTGGTTTGATGAAGGCAGCAATTAACCCTTGCCCAGCTTGAATAATTCCTCGCCAGGCATGGCTCTAAGTGGGACCTTCGGAGCCTGGTGCTTTTGCAAATTTATACAGCGTCTGCTGACCTTTGGGGGCGGTTTAAATTATATGATAGTGTAGGGTTACCAATTTCAGGACTTCAGCTTATGTAACCGAGAGTTACACGAAAGCGCATTCGTCGTGCGAAACTATGCGGTAGAAAACAACTTCCGGTGTAAGCGGGATGGTGTAGAACATATTAATTCCGATGTAATGTAAATCTGATAATGAAACAAGATGAATACGATGCCGAAGCGTGTCATCTCCTGTTCCACCATCGTGTAAAGTACATATAATAAAATTATATAAATTGCCTTGTTTCTTAAATTATACGATAGTGTGATTTACACACTATGCGACATATATATACTTACGCAGGTAAACTCAGCGACATACATAAAGGGCATCGTGGGTAAGGACTTGCGATATTACCGTAAGCCCTGTTGTAATGATTAGCGATACACTGATAATGCCTGCATGATAATGCAAAACTGAAAGAATCGCCGTTAATCAGGATAATTACAACGCCGTTTGCACGAGTATCGACATGACAGTTTCGTCCTTTATATAGCCAGCTTATCTCCGCCATCGTGTTGCGTCGTTCGCTAAGGGGAACCCGATTGGTACCACCAATCAAGGGCCGTGAGTGAGCGACGGTCGGCTAATGCAATAAATAAATTCGAATCGTGCTGCCGCGCGCGGAAGACGCGACTGTCCGTTTCTTCGTGTAGCCGCGCGCCCCCGATGGGGTTACACGGGAGTCGAGCCGCCGATGCGATGGTAGAAAGCTGGAAGTGTTCATCTGATGGAACCGGTCTCGGCGAAAAAAAGATCAGCGCGCATTGGCGTCTCGCGCGGGCGCGCGCGCGCGCGTACATGTTCGCAACACGCCTGCATCGGTATAATGAACTTGACGATCCTCGGAAATTAGACAATGAACGCGGAGTCTCGACTTCGGTATTTGCGAAGTAATAATTGTGAAAACCTCGTCACTTATACGCACACTTTGAAATTTATGTTATATCGACAAGCTAATATTATTATAGATATTTGTTATACGTATAAATATACATTTATTAAAATAAAAATGTATACTTAAACACATTTATTTAATGGAGGTAAATTGATTGCAAAAAGATTAGATTTAAAATTAAAATTAATTTTGGACTGATAGATTTTGGACTGATTTAACAAGATTGGTTGATTAATTTGGCTAACAATAAGTAATCTGTTTTCATTAGAGAAATCCATTTTTTGCGCGAGTGTCGAATTACTTCTTGTTGGTGACTCTTCTTCCGCTTTTGGCGTCGTGCACTAACTCGATTAATTGTATGCTCGTGATTTAACTACTAATTCATGAACATTTTCTCGACGATCGAAATTGTTATGCATCGTGCCGAACGATTCGCGCGAGTTAATTTATCAAAGAATTAGGAAAATTTTATTAAATTTACAAGTGTCAAATCTATCAAAATAGAATAATGATAATCTAGTATGTTTCTCTTATTTCGACGATAGAAAAGGCAACATGCTCGATGATGCAATCTTTGCAGTACAAAGAGCATATTGTGGCCAATCCGCGGCGAGTCAGACGTCTCGCGCTAAACGTAAAGTCAGCTCCGCTTGCTGGCAGTACCTAGAGCAGATGAGCGTTAATTGGTGTTAATTGGTGGCTCGCTCGAGGGCCGGCTTTCCCACGCCCGCGACTTTCGTGCTCGCCTTTTTTTTACACCTTATATACATATACATATATATATATATATGTATATATATATTCTAATGCGGCCGGTCGGTGGGCCGTCGCGCCCGCTTCCCCGTGAAAAGAACGTTCTTTGTGCTCGAACATCGTGACGCTTCTTTTGTCGCGCCGCTCTTATTCCTTCACTACGCTACAATTGAAACGTAAATGGTTTAAGGTTAAGGTCGGAGGAAGTGTCTAATATCGTGTCAGATTTTTCGGCCTCGATAAAGTTTTTCATCATCGGCACGATAAGTCGGGATATCGCACATAAATCCTATTGATACGTTGAGTAAATGTTCGGAAAAAACGAACAATGAAATATATATAAGTAAAATTATTTATTTAAATTTTAGACAATATTCGAAATATTTATTTCACACAAAAATTCTTTGAAAAGACTTAGGAATAACAGCTACGAATTAAGCATGACTTTTCCGTTTCTATTTCCCGATTATGCAAAATGAACTTTAAATCTTCGTTGTACCTGCTCGGAATTACTATATGGAAGCGGTCCTAAAACAAAGGAACGCGTGATGCGCCAAGAGAGGAGAACCAAGAGCTACCAAGACGGTACGATTATGAATCTAGGAATTCACGTGGGCGTTTCGCTACTCCACTCGTAGCTTTATAACCACGCGGGCATATCTGACGAATTTCCCCTTTCACCGTTAAATACCGAGTGGGAAATTGAAAGCCAACTGGTCAGTCATGCAGATGTATTCTCGAGGAGCATCCACATCAACTTGTGGCTGATGATTTAATCAAAGTAGCTAATAATCAAATTTTCCTCGGAACGCCGAGAAATACATGTTGGATAGCAAATAAGGAACAAAATCAATCATAACACAAGGCTGAGAAATTAAGACTGTTCGATAAATACGATATGATAAAATATAAATTATTAATAAAAATAATAGTCATTGCAATTGAAAATATAAGTTATATATTCAATCGCCATTAAAAATAGTAATTATTAATTTTATTATGAATAATTATCTCGACCTTAGAGAAAATATAATAAATGTAACGCGGAAGAAAGAGGAGCGTGGGATGCGCATACGTGCTGCTTCGCGGTCGTATGCGTCATCTCGTATTCCACGGTCGTCCAGTACGTAACATGAATTATCCTGTTTCTCAAATTGTGCGACGCGGGGTACACGCATAAACCATTATTTGAATGCGTGTCAGAGCGCGTAAACAAGTCGAAATACCATAAAGCATCGCGAGCAAGAATTCGTTATGATCATGCCATGTGGATGCAACTGGAAATTTTTCTTTTTCACAAAATAATTCACGGAAAAAATTGAAAAGCAGGCAATTCATGCGAATTAGACACAACCTTCGATACCAAAAGAACCTCTCAATATTGGAAATTGTCGGCACGATTGCACTGTCTTTTCAAGGGACGTGGAAGGAATCTCATCGACCAGCTCGCGTAGGCGTAGGAAATTAATTAAGCTGAACGGTATTCTTGGAGAAGTCGATGCACGTCTATTTCCTCGCAATGGCCAATTAATTAATTTCCTGTGAGACCATAGTCGGTTCCATGTTAGCTAACGTTAAGGTTTCTAAAATGTTGGAGGATGTTCGCGTACACTTTACAGACTAAATATTTAAAACTTAATTTTAAAAAGTAGAATAAACAGACGCATAGCAAAAAGTAATCATCAATTTTTATCAAAGTAAAACTTTCAATGATTTAGAGTGTGAAATGCAACAGGTATTAATCTCAGCTGATTCTTATAATTTTTATTCTCTACTTTATATAAAAGGAAGTTTATACATTATGCACAGTGTAATACACTTTCAGAGTCCCGAGTGTCCGACGATTTAAACGATTCGCGGTAGTGTTCATTAGGAATTTTATTCGCGTTGTATATCTCTCGAGTTCGATGGGCAAACCCTCGTTGGCGGTCGGGTCGGTCCGGAATTCGTGCAATCTGCATGTCCGGCATATTAGAGCATCACGCGGCGGCGCAGGCGATTCGAGGCGAGTCTAAAGAGATCGAAGGAGGCGAGCGGACACGTGAAGCACCGTAGAATCCCGCTGCGAGGCTATCTGGCCGTTTGCCTGCCTGCCTGCCTGCCTGCCTGCTTGCCCGCCTGCCTACCTCGTCCGTCAGTCTATCGGGCCTATGACTTACGTACGCGCGCATACGCGCCCGTGTGTGCGTTCGTTGGTAGGCTCGCGGGCTGGCAGACAAGCAGGTAGATAGGTACTTACGTACGCCGGAATAGAGTGCGCCGAGTCTCCTCTCTCTATGTCAGGCGACGTGTCTTAGGTTTCGCGGAAAAGATCGAACGAGCCGTACGTGAGGACGCGTACAAAAGACGACGGTGTACGATCGAACGAGGGTACCGAAGGGTACGATTTCCCATGCGATCTCCTCCCTCCGCCTGGTCACCGCGTTAGATTTCGCGACGCGACGCAACGCGGAGCGTTCTCACGCATGTGTCAGAGAGTAATCGCGACCCCTCATTCCGACGGGATTTACAATCGGCCACGATAACGTGATGCCAGAGAAAACGATCTCCACAAAGTTAACACTTCATTTCTAGAATCCCGATGTGATTGGGAGTTTGATTGTCATGCAAACTCGAGAACTGAAAAGTATTTTAACAAAGTCAGTTTTAAATAAAATAGATAAATCTTTATTTGTGTCTGTTTCCTATAGAATAGAGTATTACATAACGCAGATTGTCCTCGAGAAAATCGTCGGGAAGATAATCACGTACGTGTTCGACTCGCAGCGGAGAATCAATCTCGCTAATTGACCAAGCCGGAACACGCAGTAGATAGAGCGTCG